GATAGAGCCATCTCTATCACTTTTCTCGTTAGAATCTGTAGTTGTAGTAATGCTATTGCAGATTTTGACTAACTGCTGTGGACACTCCATCCAGAGGTAGCTCAGCATGATCAATAACGATATGATGTTGGATGAACTTGATGATGACACCAAAGGTCTGGTGTGAGTATGATACTGGTGGCATTGACACGAGTGTCCAGTGTGTCGACTATCGCTTGAGGTGATCCCCAGACCGCAGTGGACGACTGCCTTCGGTTCTATCTAATCTGGACCACTGGTGTCATGGGCCTGGATGCGCAAGAAGCAGAAAGGCCTGTAAGTTCATATGAAGGGAGCACAGGCATCGAGGAATCAGGTAGATCGTGGGAATTACAGAAGAATTCAGTGAGATCAGTAGTAGACATGGTTCTATGACAGATCTCATTGAGATCTGCATGAATGAAGTTGATATCACGAATTCCACCAGAATCTGTAGTAAGTATGATCGTATGGCAGATTCCATGGAGATCAGTGACAAGGACATTCATACAACAATTTCACATGCGAGGAGAACCAAGTTCACATGCAAGGAGGACCAAGCTCTGCCAAGACAGGGACCAAGCTCAGGAACATGCAGCTGGTTACCACTCAGGGGGGCTCACAAGATAAGGGCCAGGAGAACCATCGCTGGTTGAAGGAAGAGGAGCTGTGTAAAGGACACTGGCGAGCAAGTCATGAGGAGGAGGAGCAGTGTTGAAGGAGTCGACACAACTCAAGAAGGACAGGAGCGACAAGCAAGCAGGGCTAGAGGAGGAGGAGGCGCCTCATCAGGGGCCCCTGGATAGTATTTGACGAAGAAGGTACTCTCTGGAGAGAGAGCCGGAGCAGTGTCACAGGCGACACTGCATAAGATGTATAAAAGCATGCCTCCTCATCATCGGTGGATGAGTGGATCCTCATCCACTCTACACACACCATAACTAGTATTACTTCAGAAGCATAAGTACTCATTAGTTCAGTCAGCATAGTAGTAATCGATAGATTGCTCCTCCTTGTAGTGCATGTGTTGTATCACCACTCACTGACATCTGAAGGCAGTTCATAGCAAACCAGCAGTCCAGATAAAGATAGAACCGAAGGCAGTAGTCCACTGTGGTCTGGGGATCACCTCAAGCGATAGTCGACACACTGGACACTCATGTTGATGCCACCTATCACATTACCAACAAGATACTCACACCAGATCTTGGTGTTACCATACTCACATATTGATATTGATCGTGCTGAGCTACCTCTGGATGGAGTGTCCACAGCGGTTAGTCGAAACCTGTAATAGCAATACTACAACTACAGATTCGAGCAGGAAAAGTGAGAGAGACAGCTCTATCGCATGTTTCACTGAGAATCGAAATACCACTAGTGTTGTTGCATAACTCAACAGAATCGGTAATAGTATCGACACTACTACCGATCTCAGGTTTCAGGTGTGCGACCGCTGACAGCTGGTTTACTATGAACCGCCTTCGGATGTCAGTGAGCGGTGATACAACACACATGCTACAATGAGAGGCAATCTATTTGATTGCGACTATGCTGACTGAAATTAATGAGTACTTATGCTTCTGAAGTAATACTAGTTATATGGTGTAGAGTGGATGGGGATCCACTTGACCATTTGTGATGAGAAGGTATGGTTATATACCTCTTCACAGTGTTGCCAGTGACGCTGCTCCGGCTCTCTCTCCAGAGAGTACCCTCACTGCCGAATACTGTACAAGAGTCTCCACTGAGACTCCTCCTCCTCATTGAGCTTTGTGTCAGGGGTCTCGCGCCTGAAACCCAGGTCGGTCTGTCGAGATACTCGGTGACTATCAAACTGTGCAATAGCTATTGTCTCAGTATCGGTCTCGATGAGCTACATCGCTTGGCGACTATCAAGTTGCACGATGACAGTGGGTGGCATTCATTGTATATACTATTGTAGGTTTCAGCTGACCTCTGTGGACACTCTGTTCAGGGGTAGCTTGGTGTCAGGGGTCTTGCGCCTGAAACCCAGGTCAGTCTGTTGAGATACTCGGTGACTATCAAACTGTGTGACAGCTATTGTCTCGGTATCAGTCTTGATGAGCTAGTCACTCGGTGACTATCAAGTTGCGCAATGACAGTGGGTGGCGTTTGTTGTATATACTATTGTAGGTTTCAGCTGACCTCTGTGGACACTCCATTCAGGGGTAGCTCAGCACAATCAATATCAATATGTAGGTTATGATGACACCAAGGTCTGGTGTGAGTGTTGATGATGATGAGGTTGATGGTGTTGGTGGTAATTCGGTGGCGTCAACACGAGTGTCCAGTGTGCTGACTAATGCTTGGAGTGATCCCTGGACCACAGTGGACTACTGCCTTCGGTTCTATCTATATCCAGACCGCTGACCTGCTATGGGCTGCCTTCGGACATCAGGTAGTGGTGATACAACACATGCACTACAATGAGGAGCAATCTTGATAGATTGCTACTATGCTGACTGGAACTAATATATACTTATGCTGAAGTGATAACTAGTTATGGTGTGTGTAGAGTGGATGAGGATCCACTCAACCTTTGATGATGAGAAAGTATGGTTATATACCACTTCACAGTGTCGCCAGTGACGCTGCTCCTGCTCTCTCTCCAGAGAGTACCTTCTTCATCGAGTACTTGTACAGGGGGCCCCTCTAGCACCACTCCTGTCCTCCTTGAGCTATCGACTCCTTCAACACTGCTCCTCCTCCTTGCTATCCTGCTTGCTTGGCACCCTTGTGCCTCTTGAGCTGTGTCGACTCCTTTGACACTGCTCCTTCTCCTTTGACCAGTGATGGTTCCTTTGACTCTTGTCTCTCGAGCCCCTGAGTGGTAACTGTCTGCATGCTCCTTGAGCTTGGTCCTCTTTGTGGCTGTGCCTGGCCCTCCCTCACATATGGGCCCAGTCCTCCTTTGCATGTGAGTCCATAGGAGTCCATGGTCTCCATGGAGACTGCACTATGACCATGCTCTCTACTGGTATCGACTAGATCTCCAATACCTGTGCTCCTTCCATATGAACCAGTGACCCTCCTGCTTCTTGAGCATTCAGGCCCATGACAGTCTGTAGGAGTCCATGGTCTCCATGGAGACTGCACTACGACCATGCTCACCACTGGTATTGACTAGATCTCCGATACCTGTGCTCCTTCCATATGAACCAGTGGCCCTCCTGCTTCTTGAGCATTCAGGCCCATTACACCTTGTCGCTCCTGTCCTTCCTGAGCTGTGTCGACTCCATCGACACTGCTCCTCTTCCTCATGGCCTGTTCGCTGGTGCCCATCACACAGCTCCTCTTCCTTCAACTGGTGACAGTTCTCTTGTCTGCTTATCTCCTGAGCCCCTGAGTGGTAACCATCTGCACACTTCATGAGCTTGGTCCCTGTCTTGGCAGTGCTCGATCCTCCTCGCTTGTGAGCATAGTCCCTCTCACATGTGAAACTGTCATATGAATGTCGTTGTCACTGATCTCTGTGAAATCTGCCATACTGTCATACTTACTGCAGATTCTGGTAGGATCTGTGAAATTGACTTCATTTGGGCATATCCCAATGAGATCTGTCATAGAACTGTGTCTACTACCAATCTCACTGAATTCTTCTGTAAATCCACCAATCTACCTGATCCCTCAATTCCTGTGCTACCTTCATATGAACTGTCAGGTCTTCCTGCTTCCTGCGCAGTCAGGCCCATGACACTTTCCTGACTGTGGACGTTGAATTGAGCTCGAAATAGTGGTCCAGGAAGCGAACATGACGAGGCTGGAGTTTTCTCGGCTGGCCCCCCTTTGACTTTGGAGCATCAGCAGAGGCACTTTTGCTGATGCAAGACACCATAGACTTGCTCAGACTGAGTTTCATGGCAACTGAACAGGTAGATTCTCCATTTTGGAGGCAAAGGAGTGCCAATTGGTGCTTCTCGGGAGTGGTTTTTGTCATGATGGTATAGATATGATGGTGTCAGACTGGAAGTGCTGCCAGATTGCTCACAGTCATCTGATTGAGCTGAAACTTTCCATGTCACTACTTTCAATGTGTATGAAGGTGCCCACCAAGTTACATTACAAGTTTCATTGTAGTCAAAAGCCCACAAGGTCAGGAATGGAGTGGTGTTGCTATTTGGGAGCATGCTCCATAAACTGTCCCACAATAAAAAAAAATTCAGCTCTTCTTCATAGCACAATTTTTTTAGTCAATGTCAATATCAATTCCACAGTCTTGGAGAGAAGAAGCAGTGCTTTCAGATGATATCAGACAGTGTGGCAATACAACTTATAGCTATTGAGCATTAGAGTGATGTATGGTGACATGTAAAATCTTGGGACAGTTTACATGCATACTGTATAAGCTGTGTTTTTAGAGGGTTAATTTTCTTAGCCAACAAAGGGAAGTGTCGGCCGGAAAATGAAGTAGTTCCGGAATCCGAACCACTTGTTCTGGAATCCGAACCAGCTCCACCATCTTTGACACTCTCGTCGCACAATCAAAGTAGATACAGTCATTATTAACACCGTGGGTTCATGCAAAATGAGCTGTGCAGGAAAAGTGGAGGCATTTGCGCGAGTAGATCACGTGCAACATCACGTGAGTGAAAATTCAGGTCCAATTCTGAAAACTCTGCCGCATCGGTACCGCTGACAGTGCAAGAGAAAGCTCATTCATCGCTTTACGGAACATTGCAACAGCACAGACGAGAAGAGAAGCAGTACAAGGGGATTGTGTTAAGTGTTCTATAATTATTCGAGATGGAAGGGGGCAGAGAGAGAGAAGGATGTCTTGACCACGCTGCAACTGCGCAAGCGAATGAGTCAAGCATAGCTCTCTGTCGCCAATTAACTATGTACAACAAGTCGAGAACTTGATACTCGATCCTTGCGCTCAGAAAACACATCATCTGTAGAGGATGCAATGATGAGAGACGGAGCAAACAGAGTGGTGTTCAGCCTAAAGATTGAAGCCTTTACTGAGCCTTGGCAGCAGCAGATTTGGCACCTTCCAAAGCCTGTCGCTTCTTCTCGGCCTGACGAGCGCGGGCACGCTTGTATGAAAGGTCAGTGCCCAGGAAGTGGTCCCACCAGCGGAACGAGGTCGAGTAGCAGCCGACGAAAGCCTGATGGTGGTAGTCGTGGTGATCTGCGCCAGCCCAGAAGGGGATCCAGTTGTGAAGCGAAATGGGAAAGTCGTAACCCGAGTGAGCGTCGATAGCCTGGAACAAACGAAGCACGATCCAGATGTAGACCGTCAAGATGTGCAGATCCTTGGTGAAAGCGCAAAGAGCAAAGGGACCGCCGATGGTACCAGTGCCGAGAATGAGGACCTCGAGAGGGTGAGCATACTCGGCAGCGAGGCCGAAGGGAGCCGAGTACTCGTGGTGCTTCTTGTGAATGTGCTTGTACAGAGGTCCCCAGTGAAGAGCACGGTGAGCCCAGTAGTGGAAAGCATCCTCGAACAAGAAAAAGAGCCCGATCTGCCATGCAATCTTAGTCCAGTGTGGGAAAGGTACCTCGTGGGTGGCAAGACCAAAGTATTCGCAAATGGGGTGGAAAGACCAAATCTGTGGCAACTCGACGGTGAAGTGCGAGAGAAGAACGTATTTGGTGCACTTCCACTGTTGTTCAGGGGTGGGCACCTTGTCATCCTGCAACTTGTACTTGCGCATCGATGGCATCGAGTCGATGATGATCCAAGGAATGGCACGGCCAAAGTAGACGATCTCGTGGATCATGAACGACATGATACCGGTGGCAATCACAGGGTTGCCCCAGTAGAGGTACCAGTTGGCCCATGCCTTTTCAAGCAAGTTGAGCGAGGCAAAGTCGGTGTTCTTGTAAAGGTCCGAGGCAAACTGGGTGGTGGCCGGCTTCATCAGGGACCCGACGGTCGAGTTGAACTGCTGTGAAACGAACTCCATCGTGACGACAGGAGCAAAAGCGCTACCAAATAGGATGGTATCGACGAAGCTCCAAGTGTGATGAAGGAGCCTTGACGTGATGGTGGTGGGATGGCGAGCAGAGCAGAGTCGAACAACACGCGTGTTACTTTGGAAGCGAACAGCCCAATTTGTGCTGTCATAGAAAGGAAAGTGTCGATCCTAGGACAGCCTCCAAGAGTCGCCGAATGCTTAGCTTAGATTCAAATTTTCTCATTTGCAAAATAAAGCAGCAGCACACCGCCAAGATGGGGTGATTTTTTGAAACGCGTCTACGCCTGAAAATAGCAGCCACGTCGCCAGTGTCTATCCTTTGCCCTCTTGTGTCGTGAAAATCACCCGATTTTGCGTCGCCTACTAGCGGCTAGCGCTGAGCCTTTTCTTTTTTCAGTATTCGTACATCAAAGACAGGGTCTAACAAACATCTTTTTTTAATGCGGCTATGCTTTCGGATGTCGCCGAGTCCACACAATCACACACAACAAACGAGTTCACTTTCACAAGAACGGTCTGCTAGTAATACACCAATTAGAGAGTGAGATACGAGTATAATGGTAGACACACGCATCTTTGTCATACAATGTATCGCTTCTTGTTGCTTCTGCCTGCCAGGAATGACCAACGGAAGCATGCGCTTGAAATCAGGCGCTTTGGATGATGTAGTTGACAATGGAACCTAGACTGTCGACATCTTGACGAGCCTCGTCCAAAAGTCGCGTGAGTTCGGGCTGATCCTTCAACCATTCTGTTTCCGCTGTGAACGGCAACGGAATGTCTACCTGAGGCTGCGGTTGCGATTGCGATTGCGATTGAGATTGTGCTGCTGCTGCTGCTGCTGGCGGCGGTGGAGTCATCGTTACGGCCACTTCTGACTTCTTCCCGGTATTGTCGGCAAGCAGCGAGGGGTCGAGTCCCTCAACCTTGTGGCGGGTGGCCTGCTCCTTCAACAGCCTTGCCTCGACCTCTTCCACATCGAGCGCTTCAGAGCCTTGTGTCTTGAGATAGACTGCAACAAGGTGAAGAACGTCCAACGTGTTGCCGGTGATAGGTCGGATGATTTCTTCCTCAACCATCTGAGCTAGAGGCTTGGGCAGTGGCGCTAGCTGTTTTTCCACCACATCAAGTTCCTCCAACAACCCGGAGATGGCCGGCTTGACTTCTTCTATTCCTGCGACTGCTGGTGTGCCGATAGCGGTCGTGTGAGCAGTTGAAGCCCTACCCTGCTGCTGATCCTGATCGCCGTCGTTCGGAGCAACCAAAGGTGTGCCTGTACCGCCACCCGGCTCTTCGGTCGTGTCACGCCACATGAACGGTCCGCGTCGAGAAGCAGCTGTCGGCTCGGGGATGTCGATCTCCTCCCTGGCTTGACCCAGTACTGCGGCTATCAAGAGTTGTCTCTCTGCCGCCGCAGCTTGATGCTCTTCCTCGTCGTCCGCTCCATCCAGCAGCATAGCGTGATGCATTGCACCTCCAACAAATTCTCCAACGCTGCGAATGTAAGCATTGCCGACTACTCCAGCATACACCATGTCTGACAAGATACGAGATGCATCCTGTCTCTGCTCGACCGTCAGGAGCTCCTTCCCAGCCTTTGCATCGCCGTTGCGAGCAGCTTGAATGTATCGATCGAGCAGCTGCTCTGGCAGGGTTAGACCTTGCCTTTTTCGCTTCAGCTCAACCTTGATGGCTTCGATGCCATCCTCAGCTAGTAGTGTCGTGGCAAGTCCGGTGCCGCTCGGTGCCTCGATTTGCTCAGCAGCTTTGCTCTTCGTGATACCTGCGTCTCGAGCATTGATCTTTGCCGTTGGGACAAGCGCGCTGTACGGCCCAAGATCAGTGATCTCCAGCAACCGCGTCAGGATCGGTCGGAAGTAACTCCAATCCTCCAGCGTCTCGCGTTCCCTTTCTCTTTCCTTGTCCTTTTGCTTTTTCGGCCGCTTGTCATTCTTCAACGCTTCTATGTAGGCTGGGTTGCTCCATGAACAAGGCACCTCGGCTTGTCTGTCCTTCTGAGTTTCCGTGGGCTTTGCCATGTTGATCTCAGCGCGGAGACTCGGTGTGTAGAAAGGCAGATTGCGGAAATGCGGCGGAAGAGCATCCACATCGTGGCTGAAATTGCACTGGAAGGGCTCGGGTTCAGGTGCAATCGCCGAGTACAGCGGATCTGGCGCACCTGGTCGTGCGGGGGGCAAAGTCGAGAGCGGATCCTTATCGCCCTTCTCCCTTCCCTCGCCCTTTCCGTCCTCATCATCATCATCGCCATCATCGGCGCCTGCTCCCTTGTCCTTAGCTTTCTCCTTGTCCTTCTCCTTGCCGTACTTGTCCTTGTCTTTATCCTGATCCTTGTCCTTGTCGCCAACACCGCTGCCAGCATAGTCGCTAGGGATAAAAGGAATCGGATGAAGTGATTCGATTGTCGGCATGAGAACATGTCTGTCACTGTGATGAAGGGTTAAGAAAGTCTGCAAATCATCGATGTCTTCAGGGTTGATGGAGCCGTCGTCATCAAAAGAGTAGTTTGCGATGCCTGGTTGCAAATGCGTTTGAGAGACATTGGCCATCACTTGTGCTGCTGCTGCAGCGGCGGCAGCGGCAGGGTCCGTTACAGCACCAGTTGAAGCACCAATGCCAGAGAGAGGTGTAGCCGGACCAATGTTCCCTGTTCGCGCCAACAGTCGCTTCGGTGTACCGGGCGCACCAAGTCGCTGCTTTCCTTTAGCATGCTTGGACGCTCTACTCGTGCCTCCAGCAGTCGCGTTCGGTCCGATGGGACTCGCTAATGCTTGGATCGGTGTACCCCTCACAGCTGCAAGACGTTTTCGCAGCGCATCTGGACTCGGCTGTCTTTGGCCCATGGGTGTAGAGGGAGTGCCTCCGGGCTGTGATGAGCCAAATCGACGGCTGATAGAGCCTGCCGGTCCATCCACGGTGACGGAACGTTCACGAGACTCTCTTCCTCTGGCAACACTTGCACGGCCACCTTCCTCGTCCGACACGTCCATATCGTCCTCATCATCTAGATCCATCTCAACATCTCCTTCGCCTTTGACCCCATAACCTGGTTGGACAGAGTCTTCGCGGGTCAGTGTGCCGCCCACAAGGCCAAGCGCAACAGCAGCTCTTTGTCGTGCATGCGATGGGACGCGAGCAGCTTCCATGATAGCCTCGACACCGGCACTGAAGGCAAAATGTGATCCTCGCGCCGCGGAGCGAGTGTACAGGTCGCCTGACACGCCATCTATGCCTGAGGGCGTCGATACATGGATCATCTGACTGCCATCGTCCAATGCCTGTTGTTGCTGAAGGGTCGAGACACGCAGCTGTCTGCGCCCAGAGGTTTCGCCAGCGGGCGTATCCGGACTCATGACTGCGGCGGAAGACGAGGCTACAGCATCTCTCGCCAGTCTCTTCTGACGCCTGATCTCGTCGCCCTTGACACCTGCACGACCGTTGTCGTTGACTGCCATCCCTTCTCGCTCGATGGCCCTGTTGCCCCAAGTACCGATTCGCTTGGCTTCGTTGTAGTAAAGCGTGCCTTCTGGATTGAATGTCTGGGCGTTCAAGATGACAAGCTGGAAATCGACCCTGAACTCGTCCATGTGGCTGTACAAGCGGTCATCCACTTTGCGCTGCATGGTGCCAAAGTCCATAGGCGTCTTGATGACGTCGGTGTAGCCGGGCACATTGTCTGGGTTGACAGGTTCGCAGAAGAACTTGTAGCTATCACGACGTTGAAGGTTTTCGATGAGTTTTGGAAGTGCTTCGTAAAGACCTTTGGAACGGAGGCGCTTGATGGGTCGACGAGAGGGATTTGAGCTGCTCCCACTCGTCCTTCTAAAAGCACCATTCTTGCCGCGCACACGTGGGCTCGTTGCTCCGCCGTTGGCATCAGTAGCATTGTTGTCTAGCCCCCCATCGCCTTCTCCGGTTCCAACGTCTTGTTTTCCATCGGTGCCGTCACGGTCACCGTCTGCGTCGTCCTCGTCACCCTCCTCGCCATCTTTGCCCTCGTCCTCTTCGTCCTCTTGATCATCATGGCCGTCCTCGTCATGCTCGTCTTCCTGATCTGAAGTTGCACCGGTGTTTACTTGCTGCTCCTCATCATCGTCGCCTTTGTCATTATTGTCACCTTCATCGTCTTGGTAGGCAACTGCAGCTGCAAAGCGAGGTCGAGTCGCATGCGATTCTGGTATCGAAGGTTTCCTTTTGAGCGAGATGCGGATTGCACGGTTGAGCGACGGAGATGCCTGTTCCGGCTGCTGAAGGTCGGTCTGTGGACGTGGTCTGCCTAGCTTGATCTGAAGCGTCCTTCGTTTTTCTGGAGGTTCGTCTGGATGTGAGTCGGCCCCTCTGCGATGCTGCGACATATCTTACGACTTTGTCGGTCCGCCCTTATGATCCTTGCTGTAGTGATGCTCTGAACTTGGCGTCGAGCTTATCGACTGATCTTGCGATGCAAAGTTGATCTTCTGGCGATCCTTCCAAGATTGCCGTTGCTGCTGACTTGCTTTTGCCGAAAGTGTTGGTCTGTTGAGTTTCTCTGCCTGAATCTCGCAATGGTCAGCTCGTGTGCGTGGTGAATATCGAAATTTGCAAGAGACGAAGGTTGTTCTGCTGAGCCCTTTTTTCCGAGCTCATCAGCCTTCGGCCAAATTGTTTTTTTTTTTTTTTTTTTTTTTTTTTTTTTTTTTTCTCCCCGTTGTTCGTTGGGTGAAGATTTATCGTACGATAGATCCCCCCCCCCCAGCCACAACAGTCCTTTGGCATCCTCAGTCTGGATGGAAGATGGCTCACATTTGACGCTTGAGCAGTCATTGCAGTATACGCAGGCCAACAAAGAACAGCAAAGACAGCGATGAGGCTCTGCAGAGCATGTAGATGTGGGCAAGTGCGGTAATGATTTGTTAAGAGTGGATGTAGAAAAATACATCATTGTACAACGCTATCGAAGCAACAATCAAACCTCCTTGTAGATTTTGATTGTTTTATCCGCACCGCCAGTGATAAGCCTCGTGCCAGTCTGGTCAAAGGTCGAGCAGAACACACCTGCCTCAGCATCCAAAGATCCAGGCTGTGGTACATCTTCCGCAACCTGGAAGGGAGTTCCTGTGGCATAGTCAAACAACTTGAGACTTCCATCGTCACCACCACTGAATAGCACACCGTCAGCATTCGCACTCAGGGTGTTGACAATCGTATCGTGTGCCATGTTGCTGACAAGCGTACCTTCGGGACATCGCCATGTCTTGATGTTGTTACCTCCTGCACTTCCAGATGCGAATGTGTACTGTGTCGGATGGATGGCGAGAGCACGAACACTCTTCTTGTGATGAGTTAGCGTGGTAATTGCCCTACCCGCTGCCAAGTCCCAGAGCTTGACTGTAGCATCCATCGAGCCGGAGATCACTTGCGGTTCCGAGTCCTGGCATACTACGGAAGCTACTGTACCGCGGTGTCCCGTTAGTGTATGGATCGCGGTTCGTGTCCGCATGTCCCACACACGCGCTGTTGCATCTCTGCCTCCAGTAACGACGACATCCAATGTCGGATGCAAGGCAAGCGAGTAGATGCCTGAAAGATGTCCACGGTATTGTCGAATGACTCTGTTGGTCTCCAAGTCCCAGCACTTGACCACCTTGTCTTCACCAGCCGAAAACAGGTAGGGATGCCTTGCGGACACGGCGATGCCACGAACAGGTGAGATGTGACCCGTGAGCGAAAGCTTGAGCTCGCCGGACGCCAGGTCCCAGATCTTGATCATACGATCACCTGCACCTGTAGCAAACCACTTGTTGCCTGGCTCGACAGCCACGCATCGTACCCAGCCGAGATGACCTGAGATGACACGCGAGAGCTTCCAGTTGGGATGGAAAGCCGGTTTCGCTTTGCGGTTCGCCATCTCCTTCTTCTGGATAAGAGTCTGAGATAGCAGTCCTGAGGATCCACCGCGATGTGACGCAAGTGCTAACGCGGAAGATGATGCTGTCGATGAAGACGGTCGCGCTGCGGACGAGGTGCCATTCGTGCTGCGAATCGTAAGCGCTTGACTAGAAGATGAAGGCCCCACCGGCCCAACAACCCCGGTCGATGCTGCTGATCCTCCATCCAGCTGGTCTATCAGTCTTGATAGGTATGTCTCATCTCCTCTTCTTTTGGCGGGTCTCGCTGCTGCGCCGGCCGCATTGGGTGCTCCTGGGCGCGCAGGCCCTGCTGCTGCTGCTTGTTGCGCTAAAATGGCAGGCGGCAATATCTTTGCATCAGCATACTCCGAGCTGATCTTGGACGAAAGATGGTCCTTGGCCGGTTCCAATGCCGATGCTTCGCCGAATTTGTCAAAGTCATAATCGTCGTCGATGTGGAATAGCAGTCGCGCTCGTTTGGACGACCGGGCGAACAGATCTGAAAGTGGAGGCAGGCTAGGCTGTTCGGTCGCTGGAGACGTCGAAGGGCCAGCTTGGTTAGCTGACGTAGATACCACTGCCATGGCTGCGCTGCGTGAATGACCCTTGAGGCTGAACAGGCTAAGTTTCCCGGGGTTTTGAAGGATGATGTCGATGAAAGCAGGGTGTTGAGAGGTGAATGCGACTGCGAAGAATCACCAAAATGTCAACTCGAACTCGGCATTCGGCATTCAAATTCAAATTCAAATTCCTCGACAGACTTTTGCCCGGCTCATTAGTCGCATTCAATTCTGAGACTTAGATTTTGTGAGCATGTGAGCTCAAAATTGAATGTTCCTGCTTTGTCACGTCCGACACCTTTCGTGTCTAGACTCAGCCTGTTCTTCATCACACCTTCACACCTTACCTCCATCTCCAACGCCACCTATACTATCAAACCCACACTCTAACAGCTCAGCAGCGATAACCCCGAGCAAGAACATCGCATCCGCATACCTCACGAAGGCAATGCTGAACCTTTCATCGTTCTTGGACTGTGATACACAATAACGTTCTTTCTTTAACGTCAAATAGACGGCTCGGAAGCCCACACTCTCTATCTCACTGGCCTCCAACACAGACACTGGGATACATAGGACCGGTACAATGTCTTCGAAAGACCTCTCGCTCGACGAGCTCAAGAATCTGCAGAAGCAGTTATCCAAACTTGCTGGCTCTTCCGATTCCGAAGCCATTCTCTCTGTCTTCTCCACGCTCAAATCCGGCCTTTCGACACCGACAGAAGATATCATCCGTCAAAGCAAGATTGGTGTCGCTGTAGGAAAGCTTCGTTCGCATTCAGACAAGAAAGTGGCAGATCAGGCCAAGTCGTTGGTCAAGGATTGGAAGGCGACTGTAGACAAGCAAAGAGCACAGCAGCAGCAGTCAAGTGCCAACAGCAGCAAAGCTCCTTCCTCCACCGCATCCCCTGCACCACCATCTAAAACAGAAGGTACAACCGGCAATGGTGCATCAGCAGCAGACATATCACCTTCGGATATACCAACATCAGCAGCACCAGCCTCCAACACCAAAATCGACTTTGAAATCCTCAACGACAAAGTTCGCAATGCCTGTCTCAAGCTTCTCTACCAATCTCTCGAGATCAACAAGGAGCAACGCGGCTTCAACGACTCACAAGTCTTTGATGCCGCTGTAGCTGTCGAAGCGGCCATACTCGCCAACCAAGGCAAAGGCTCTGTCACCGCTGACTACCGCAACAAAGTTCGCAGTCTCTCGCTCAACATCAAAGACAAGAACAACCCGGACCTTCGCGTACGTGTCATTGAACGCGATATTCCAGCTGACAAGCTTGTCACGATGACCAACGAAGAGCTGGCAAGTGATAAGAGGAAACGAGAGATTGAAGAACTGCAAATGCAGAACTTGTTCAAGGCAAAGGGAGCGGCTGCGCAGGAGGCAGAAACTGATGCTTTCCAGTGCGGAAGATGCAAGCAGAGGAAGACAAGGTATTATCAGATGCAAACAAGGTCGGCAGATGAACCGATGACTACGTTTGTCACTTGCACCAACTGTAACCACAAATGGAAGTTCTGTTGATCGTGACAAGATCCTCGTGATCTTCTGGCTCTCTTATTTACTTGTCAAAGTGTACTTGTAAGCTCAGAAACATACCTAGCGTCACCATCCAAACGTCGTGAGGCTGGCGTGCGAACCTTGTGCAGGCAGCCTTCAGACAGTGTGCGGACGTCGGACGCTTTTCAGATGGCGTGAAGTGGAGATGTACAAGCATCATGGTAAGACGAGATGGGCCAGCGGACGACGCTATCAATCTATTCCTGCCCATTCCACTCTATCAGGATGAGGAAGAAATGTATAGGACTCGATGTCACAGTCAAGCTCAAACGGCACAAGGGCTACTTTTTTTGCACCATCTGGTATTACTGAAAACGAAAGTGATATTGGTGACAAGAGGCTAGGAACAAGAAATCCTTGCCATTTACGAGGAAGTGCGCCGAGCAGCCTCGAGATCCTTCTCGCTGTGTGATGGCGAGTACTTGGCATCGACCGATCTGGTAGCGTGAGTCACCTCAGCGCCAGCCTCTGGTCGGTGAAAGTCATGCAGCAAAGGCACAGAGAAGACCTCCTCGCCGATCTGAGCCAGGTCGATACCGAGCATCTCGTCGTCCTCGCTTGCCCTGAAGTGGCATCCAGGAATGCGATCGATGGCGAAGAGCAAGATCATGGTGACGACGAAGGACCAGCCGAAACCCGAAGCGGAGTCGGCAAGCTGGTAACCGAGCTGGATCCAGTTCTTGTTGATCCAACCACCGGGGATAAGCGCCGAACCATCGAAGGAAGCGACCCTGTTGTCGGCGAAGAAGGCGGTGAGAATGTTTCCAACCACACCACCAATACCGTGTGCAGCAAAGATATCAAGAGCATCGTCGTAGCCAAGCACGTTCTTGAGACCAGTGGCAAAGTTGCAAGCGGTACCACCAACGACACCAAATGCGACAGCAGCTGGGGTACCGACGTAACCAGAGGCAGGGGTGATAGCGACCAACCCCGAGATAGCACCGGAGCAGAAGCCCACAGCAGACCACTTCCTCTCGAGCCTCCAGTCCCAGAACATCCAAGTCAAGGCACCAACGGAAGCAGCAACCTGGGTAACCATCATAGCTTGGACAGCCCTTAAGTTGGCACCGAGAGCAGAACCACCGTTGAAACCGAACCAACCGAACCAGAGGAAGACGGTTCCCAAGATGCAGTAGGCGACGTTGTGAGGACGGTAAGCAAGCTTCTCGGTACCGTAGCCCTTGCGCTTGCCGAGGAAGATGGAAATGGCAAGAGCGGCGGTACCAGAGGCAATGTGCACGGGTGTCCCGCCAGCGAAGTCCAGACCGCCCATCTTGTTCGACCAGCCAAGGCCGACGTTCCATGTCCAGTAAGCGATGGGGCAGTAGACGATGGTGATAAAGGCAAAGGCGAAGATCAAGACGGGCCCGAGACGAGCACGATCAGCGAAGGCACCGCATGCGATGACAACGGTGATGCAAGCGAACATCATCTGGTAGATGCAGTAAAGGAGCTGAGGAACAGCAGTTCCGCCGGTGGATGCATTAATGTCGACGCCCATCAGTCCGAAGTTGTCCAAGTTCTGCATGATGAAAAGCAATTCAAGTTAAAGTATGAGGAATGAGTTAGTCTGACTGCAACACGGTATGGCGAGGATGTTGCCAGAAGTAGCGGAGGAGCGAGACTTACGCCGATGAAGGGGTTGGTCGAAGAAGTCGAGAAAGCAAGCGAGAAGCCCCAGAAGAACCACTGGAATGACACAACAGCTAGAAGTGCCATTGACATCCAGAGCATCGACAAAGCCGACTTCTTCCTCAACAATCCGGAGTAGAAAAAGCCAACACCGGGAATCATGATGAAGACAAGCGCTGTGGACACGATGATCCAGGCCAAGTTGCCAAGGTTGTAGACCACCTCGGTCTCTTCACCTGCCACCATGGTCATGGTGACGATGTTGCCCTCGGGCGTGTACGTTGAGTTGATCATCCTGCGCTAATCAATCGCTGAATGCGACAGTTGGTGGTGAGAAAGGGAAGGGGCACTGCGGCGGGGGCGGAGGCGGGGGCGGAGGCGGGGGCGGAGGCGGGGGCGGAGGCGGGGGCGGAGGCGGGGGCGGAGCCTTATAGTCAGCTAGGGATGCTGTACTGTGCTTGCTTGGTTGCGGCTGCTGAAGGAGCCGGTGGGTATAGGCGCTAGTGCAGGAGGATGGAAGAACAAGAAGAAAGAAGGCGCAAAGTGGGGTGAGAAGGATGCAGCTAGCTTATATAGGTTGCATACGAAGATGGCCATACGGGGCACTAAGGGTGGTGGGGCTTGACTCGGGTCGATCTGTGATCCCTTACAGTATTGTACAAGGACCCCGGATACAGGACAAAACCCACAACATGGCTTACCTGCCAGGAACGGAGCTAAAGCTCGATAAGATCTGCAGCTACTTCTCACAACTTTGTGGAACTTCGAGTCTACCGTTCCCACACACACGGTGCCGGCGAATGAGGAGGAGGCGAAAGGGTCGACATGATTTCCACTCCGCCGCAACTTGCATCTTGCATTGAAGTTATCTCTCTTTCTCACGGCATCCTGATCCGTTGATAGATAGGAGCAGAACGGAAACAAACTTCAAGCCATCGCTTTCTTCGGCTCCTGCTTTCATTCTGCACATACAATTCCGCGCTCCAGTCATCAGCCACCATCTTATCTCATCTCAGGCGGTTGCCAAGATCGTCTAACACCACCAAGACATGGACTACGATATTTTGGAGAGGGCCAAGAAACGAGGGGCGAAAGAATGTCTTGCCCATCCACGACTTGAACCCCACGAGGCATAGATGAAGGCCGCTTGGCTGACCTTGCGGTACACAATAAGGAGACGGTGTTGATCAAAGGAGGATGAACAACCAGCGACAGAAGGACTGAGAAGAAAAGGCATAAGACCTCGGCAAGCGACCCTTTGCATCCACTATCTTTCGCTTCTTCGTTCCTGGTTCTACGATCGAATTTGGCCCCTGCTTCACCTCTTCGTGGGACATTGTCAACGTTGTCCTATTCATTTGATAACGCCTTGTACTCAGTCGACCCTTGTCAACGTTGACACTTGGGAGATGGTGTGAAAGCGTCGTGTGACGACGAGTATCAGGCAACGCTACCGACTCAAGACAATGGTGGGTCTATCATGCCCCACAGCGCACCGTTGCAATAGGCTTTAGACGGTGCCACGCGCCCACTCTGAGACCCTGAACGTTGTTACACAAGTGTCAGCCCAAGCCACGTTTACTTGGCAACTACTACAGTAGCAACGGTCATTGTCAAAACGCCGGTGGGGGAGACAGCTGCTGCGACGACGAAGCGTGGGAAGGTGGCAAGATTGATGAAATACAAGAGCTTTGCCTGACTTGACACACCTGCCCACCACGCCGAGAACTGCCAAAGATAAGAGGACACGCCCGCAACAACCGGCACAGAAAGATAAGAAGAGGAGTTTCACGCTCCGCTATCTGCTTGTCTGCTCTTGCCTTCAAGACCTTGCCGCATAGAAAGCGACGCTGCAATGCACACACATCTATATAACCTGGACCAAGTGATCACGCTCGAATGGCTAATCGATCACATCCCTCGGAACAATGGTCGGCGTTCATGGCATGTACTCGAAACACTTGAAGAAGAAGAGCATCCATGTGAGGATCAAAGTTTCTGAACAAGGCGTTCGAGTGTGGAAGAGCTGTCGAAAAGGGCGGCCAAGACAGCAAGCGTTGGTAAGAGGTGTTGCTGATTATCTGCAGCCAATGAAAAGTCACGCTTTACCTGACAGGTTGAGACTCTCTAAGACAAATCATGTGCGTAGTCTAAGTCTAACACACTTGTTGAGAACTCACTCTAGAGATCGCAGATCGGGACGTAAATCGCGATTGAGCGATGTTGTTCCCACTCCCTTGCTGCAGGTAAGCATCAAGTCGGTACAATTTTTACTCGCTCAGGGCGTCCAGATTCACATCTCTTTTCGCAAGACATGTCTGTATAGGTGCAATGCTGTTTGCTCGGACCGGCAGACTTTCTCGTGTCACAGTCATCATAGCATTGACGCAGCTCTCGTCACTGAACGCTTGTGAGGCTCGGCTTCGCTCGGCTTTGCACCAAACAATATGAGTACCAACGGGGTGAGTTGCGATACTAGTACACTTGCATTAGTTTCTAGGAGCTGGACTCGTTTACAGACTGATGATGTTACAACCACTCCTTGGGGAAATCCTTGAACGATGGCCTATCGGCCCTCAAGTAATGTCTCTTCTTGTCCTCCCTGATCAACTCGGCCCTTGGATCCAATGGCAATGCATCCACCTCTTCACTCCTCACATTTGCCTCCCTGACCAGCGCATCGAATGTGTCCGAACACCACTTCATGTTCTGTCTCTCATTCGGGAACAACTCGCAGGAGATCTTGATTTCTCCCTTGCCCTGCTCCAAACCTTCCTTTCCACCCTTTGCGTGGAACCTGCTTCCCGCAAGCAACAGCAATTTGTGCTTCGACATTGCATCTTTTACAGCACCGGCCTTTGAGAGAGCGTCGACATCGACAGAAAGAACGACTTTGCGCGATGCTGGGTGCTTTTCGCCCTGGTAATGTTGGAATCGGAACTGAAGGACCTCAGATGGCTTCGGTGGAGTATAGCTTTGACGGAAAGAGGCCAGCTTAGGGATCTCGAACTCAACTGTGCGGAGAAGCTGAAGCATCTCGCGCTTGCGCTGGAGAATGGCGTGACCGAGGGTGGGAACATCGTCGTAATTGAATTTGGCCATTTTGCGAAGAGCCATTGGGTCAGCGGCATTGCGCTGCTTACGTGCCTTGGCTAAGGCTCGAGCTGAAACGGAGAAGGATCGAACAGCGGCGGAGGAAGATGAAGAGGCAGTGGCAGCGGCGCTGTTGCTGGATGCTGTCCGTAAGGACGAGCCTAGACCGGTTGCGAAAGACATCGTGAAGAAGAGCCCTATCGAAGTAAGATCGAACCGACGACGCAGCGAGTGAGGATGAGCGGGATGCGCTGAAGTTGCTACGTAAAGTCAAGAGGCGATGTGGAGTAGCACACTGGTGTTTCAGCTGATGAGGACGATGATGACGAGCAGCAAAAACGCAAGCGATGTTCAGAAGAAAGCTTCACGTCACGTGCAAAAATCAACTAACTTTTTTTTTTGGCTAAGAAGAAAAGAGCTTGCAGTTCCGCAGAACGATGACTTTGGAAGAAAGCTCACTTGTTGGATATGCAAAGGGACACATGTGAAGGACCCTGTCTCCCTTCACTAGGTTAGGTCATCCCGTCATGCTTCCGACACCTGCCCTCGCCACCACGCAGGTCGAGGCAAGCACTTCTCAGCCTGCACCGCCAGAAGCTCCGGCTGCACCATCTTCACCTAAACCCACACAGCCATCAGATGCCGCAAACCAAGATGGACCGGTCCAAGAGCAATACCTTCTCGTGCTCTCAGGCCTGATCGGTAGCGGCAAGTCCACCTTCGCACGTGCCCTAGTCGATCGCTTCCCAACATGGCGTCACTGTAACCAAGACGAGCTAGGCGACCGACGTGCAGTTCTCTATGCCGCCCAAACAGGCCTCCTTGCAGGCCACAACGTTGTCATCGACCGCACCAACATCGACGCCAAACAACGCCGTACTTGGCTCGAGCTCGCACAAGAGATCTCATCAGCCGAGGGTTCCACAAGGAAGATTATCACAATCTCACTCACACTCACCATCTCGATCAAAGCCGCTCAAGAACGTCTGCGCATCAGGAAAGATCACGAGACGATCAAGACAGCAGAACAAGCCTTGGAGATTCTACCGCATTTCCTGAGGACGTATCAGAAGGCAACTACGGAGGAAGGATTTCATTATGTGCTGACGTATCCTGCGGGAAAGATGTCAAGGGAACCAGTTGAGGAGGAAGCGAAGAAAATGTTGTTTGACAGGTTAGAGACAGAGGTTAGAGCTGAGGGGAAGTTGCCAGAGAGACCACCGCCGAGAGCAGGCGGTGCGGGGAGAGGTATGGGTGGAGGAAGGGGAAGAGGCGAATGGAGGGGGAGAGGTAGAGCATCATCTGCTGTCTACACCCCGCATCACACGCATCAGCACCAGCCGTACCCTAGTCAGCACGAGCGTTACCAGTACGCACAGCAAGGGCAGAATGGAATCACACAGCAATCAGTAGCTACAACACCTTCGTTCGCGGCGGCCGCAGCCATCCCTCCGCCACCAACAGCCTTGCAACATCAGGCTCAGCTTGAACCTCAATTTCAACTCATTGACACTACAATATACCCAACGATATCATGATTATACAACTCTGGTCCCAGAGCACTTGCGATCTAATCTTGTTCCTTGATTTAGTGTAATATACAGCGTCTGTCGTTACAGGGAACTTGTTTTCGACTTTCTCGTCTCATCCTTCGTATCTGGCTTTTCGTCATCGAGCTTCGCTTTTGTCTCGAGATCGTGAGTGAGCTCGTCTAACTTGCTAGCATCGTCCTTGATTGTCGGATTGGCCGTTTGCTTGCTGTCTTCAGGCTTTGTGGCTTCGCTTCCATGGTCTTTGCTCGCCACTTCCTTCTCATCAGTTTTCAGTTCTTTCACATCCACTGTTGGCTTCGCCTCTCTGTCCAACTTCTTGTATCCTTCCTCCTTCAGCTTCGCGAGCTCCTTCTCCCATTCTTCGCCCACGAGCTTCACCAATTCTGCCACACCGTCATCAGCCTTACCCTCATAAAACACATCCCTAGTCTTGTCCTTCCCACCATACGTCAAACCATCAAAGTCAAACCCTGTCTCGTTATACATGCCTCCACCCATTCCTCCCCCACCAAACCCATCCGAAGAGGCCCACTCGCCCACCCTTTCCAAATTGATCAGTACCCTCGGACAACTAGCTGACACAGCATCGATCAAACTTGCGAAAGGCTGAACCTGCAGCGAAGTTCCCATTACGATCAGCAGATCGGCCATTTTGAAGTCTGGCATGCACCTGAAAAACGTCGAGGGCAACGATTCGCCAAAGAACACAATATCCGGCTTCACTAGCCCTTCTCCGTCTCCCTTTCCCCTTTTCTTGCCCAAACACTTATCTCTTGGACACCTAGCCACTTCACCATTCATAACCTTCGCCCGGATCCAATCATCATCAACCCTATGCTTGCAGACAATACACGTGGAGGTGGCGAAACTACCATGCGCTTCAACGATCTTGTCTGATTCCACACCTGCTATTCGCTCCAGAGTATCAACGTTCTGTGTGAAGACCCGCTTGAGCTTTCCTTTGTTCTGAAGGAGAGCGAGGAAGTAATGTGCGAGTGCAGGTTTGAAGTTTCCAGGATAGAGATGCTTTGCAAGGGTGAAGAAGGGTTGTGGATGACGCTGAAAGTAGGAGATGTCGAAGATTGCTTCTGCATATGGAAGGTTGCATGCTGCAAGATTGCAATAGAGACCTGTCCCTGGGGAGCGGAAGTCTGGGATGGGTGGGGAGGCGGAGGTTGAGATCCCGGCGCCGGCGAGGACTATGACATTACGGGTTGTGGGCTGGGCTAGCAGAGCAGCTACTCCGGCTAATGTGGGGCCATGGGGGGCAGGGAAGAAAGGATTCATTGCTTCGACTTTGGCGCTAGCGCTATTGCTATCTTTCTTGTCTGGCATCGTGATTTCTATGTACTGAGAGGCAGTTCGAATGATGGTGTGCAGTGGCGAGGTGTCGTGTGGAGGAAGAAGTCTGTGCGCGGGGCAAGACCCTTTTTTTGTGGTCAATTTCTCGACCTTATTTTCGCTTGGCCTTTTCTTTCACATTTTTTCTTTTCTTTTAATTTTCACGCATAAATTTCAGCTGATTTTTGTGGGGCTTCAAGCTCGGCAACCAAACGAACTTGGTACTGGCGTCATACACATGTCATCGCTTTTGCTTCTTCTTGAAACCTCGTCTCACCCTGCGAAGCCGCGGCACATGGACCAGTCTCGTGGTACGTCTCCCGTAAGCGAAGCTCATGTCCGCTGCAGCAAAGTGTGAAATGATTGTGTAAAACGTCGGATGTGTGCGCTGTGTTGTTTGAGTAGTGAGGTTTCGGTCGCCGGAGGCCGTGGACGCTGACCAAGACCCTTTTCCATTGGTAGCAGTCAGGCGTTGGAAAAGTCAACGCCCAACTGCTCTTCAGGCATGTTTTTGAGAGGAATGTAACATATATAGCTTACTAATGATGAGTTGAGTGTGAAAGTATAGTGAGGAGTGTGCCAGCCGAGGCCGTGAACCTCAACTTTACCGGCCCGTGATCCGCCAGCTCACGGATCTCACTGTATCAGCCGGTTCCGAGGGACGCGGGTTGGTGAGCTCATGCTTATTAATCGCACAGACGCATCAAGTGGATTTTTTTTTTAAATAAATAAAAAAGAATTGTGCTGTCCGAAACCCGAGTTGGTCGTTGTAAATGTTGTTGCTTCCGAACCACCATTTTTTCCACCTCTCCGACGTACTCGCTTACGAGTTCGTCGTTGGTCGTAGGTAAGTTACCGAAACCTCTCTAGTGTTGGTGTGCAGATTCGTCCTATCGGACAACCCTCCTTTGAAATTTCCCACAACGTAGGTGGGGCAAGAAGAATTTGTGAACCGTGCATCACCTAACGCTAAGCATCTGTACCCCACCTCTTCCACGCTTCTTTCTCCTCCCCATCCATCCCTATCTCCTCCTTCCTCATTCTACCAACTCACTCTTCGAATCTTCACTATCGAATCTTCCTTATCGAATCAACTCATTCCTCGAACCAGCTCACTACTCGAAGCATCACCTCAGAAAGCACATCAAGAATGTCAGATCTAGCCGTAGCTAAAGACCCGCGTCAAGTCGTCGTGATCACCGGCTGCTCCTCCGGTCTCGGTCGATCCATGGCCATCGAGTTCGACGCTCAGGGAACCTACAGAGTCTTTGCTACCGCGCGCAACGTCGAGTCTCTTCGAGAGCTTCCTGCCGGAATCGAACGTGTTCGGTTGGACGTTACCGATTCAGACTCCATCAAGGCTGCTTTCAAAGTCATCACCGACTCCACACAGGACCGGATTGACATACTAGTGAACAACGCTGGGGTAAATCTTGCTGTGGGCCCTTTGGTGGAAACGCCAGCGGATAACATTAGGAAGACCTTTGATGCCAATGTAAGCACCCAGACCACTCCCTATAAGAAGAGCACAAAGGGAAGAGAGATCTGACTATGTTTGCATTTGTGGTTAACTTCGTAGTTCTTCGGATTGATCGCAGTAACTCAAGCCGCAGTTCCGTCCATGATCCGACGTCGATCGGGCGTAATCGTAAACATTGGTTCTGTCGCCGCCATTGCATGCATGCCTTTCGGTGCCCCCTACTCCGCTTCTAAAGCTGCGGTCCACGCTCTCTCCGATACCCTTCGTCTCGAACTCGCCGGGTTCGGCATCAAAGTTGTCGTTGTCGCTCCTGGTGCCATCAAGTCTTCGATCGCTGATAACACGCTGAAGAATCAATCCGCCCACGGCTCGTCCGAATCTGGCGACTTGGGCTACCTTCCAGCAGACTCAATGTACAAACATGTCGAAGACCTCGTCAAGTTCCGTGCCGAATTCAGCCAACAGGGTGAACCAACACCCAGCGAGACTTTCGCGAGGAACGTCAGGAAGTGGGTCAGCGCAAACAACCCAGGTGCTTATCTCTTCACAGGGAAGAAGAGTCTGACTGTTTGGATCTCTTACTACTTGCCTACAAGGGTTAAGGATTGGATCATTGGCAGGATTTTCCAGATCCACAGGGTTGGGGAGAACGCTCATAAGAACAAGAACATCTAAACCTAATCTCAGCGTTTAGACACATTCGTTTGTATATGAATGAAAAATTCGGCTTGCATTGCAAGCAGTTTCGACCATGCAGTGTGCCGCGGGTATAAGTGATTATCTATGTTTCAATCAGGAGTCTAAGAGCTGGAGCGAATGGGAAGCCAAACAGTCTTACCCTGATCAGCGACTAAGAACACATCTTCGGCTCCCTCCTCTTTCTCCTCTTCTTCTCCCTTTATCAAATCACTCCCATCCTTTACTCGTCGGAATTTCAGCTTCTGCATACTACAAGCTTTCTTCAACTCTCTCACATCTGCCTTCGTTTGCTCTTCGTTCCGTACGAAGGTGCCATAATGCACTGCCATACTCACCATTCCCTTCCCACCCTTCTTGGCTCCGTTCTTGTTGAAGATACCATGACACTCGACTGCATCATATGGATCCATGTGAATACTCGATGTCAACGTGCTCGCTACCCGCGGGAAAGGCGAGAAAGCACGAGGGAAAGGATCCCAGGATCTGAAGTAGCTCAGCGAAGAACCGACCGAGATAGGCAGAAGGAGAAGATCGAAAAGTGCAAATTTCTTTGCAATATCTGCAAAAGCAGGACATGCAGGGTACTTGCTGCGTTTATGAGGACTGTCAGGGTGGAATTTGAGTCCGGTGTCTCCAGCGAAGAATGCGCTGAATCTCTTCTTCTCCCCACTTGAGGAAGAAGACTGCCATTGAACAACCCAGCTTGCCCAGAGGGTGGCGTCTTTGTCTCCTGCTCCACGGCCGCTGCCGTGCTGTGCTGGTGTACAAAAAATCTTGAGCTCTCCACTATCTCCTGAAGAGGAAGGGATGGTGAGCGAGGCATTGTCCCACCAATCCAGCTCCGAGACTTGGTCTTTGTGCCATCCAAGCCCGCCGCTTCCGGTGAGCTTATCTTTGACTCCTAACGGAACAATCGCGTGGATCTTGTCGCCCCGATGGTGTCTTAGCTGACGGAACGTATGGTAGTCCAAATGATCGTAATGCGAGTGCGAAATAATGACGAAATCGATCGGTGGTAGGTCGTCAACAGAGCAAGGAGCTGGTGTAAACCGTTGTGGTCCGGCTGATTGCGAAGGTGAACAACGTTCTGAAAAGATCGGATCGAACAAAATGTTGATCGATCTCGAAGTCACATCTTCTCCTCCTCCACTCGCACTCGTTGTGCTAGTGGAAAGCGGCGGAAGCTGAAGCAAAGTAGATGCATGACCCAGCCAAGTCACCCTATCAGCGACCTTATCTGGATTCGTTGGATCTTGCCATTCTTTCACACTCTTCTCTTTCGCCTTATCGTCAGCATCGCTTTCATTCATTTTGCTTTCTGGCTGCGTATCATCTTTCTGTCGAATATGATCAACTTCTTTCTTGAGGCCAGAAGCAGGCCACCCCCAATCAGGATCCACAACTTCTACGTTATCCCATCCTTCCCCTAAATCTGCCTTTGCCCCTTCCAGCTCCCTCGCAATCTTCTTGTTCGACTTGAACCCACTCGCACGTACGAATTTTTTGCCTGATCCTTCAATATAGCTATCCGGTAGACCCCATTTCAATCCGCCGTTCAAGACAGTTTTGATACTAGGTTTACGGAAGCTATGCTCCCACGGATTGACGAATGTTAGGCGATGCAGCATGTGTGATTCTTCCTTTTCGTTCTCCTCCTCCTCCTGTTGCTGCGATTGCTGTTGTTTGAGGGATGAGGTGCTGTTTCATGGTAAGGTTAGATTGCCGAACGCGGTCGAGGATACACGAGAGAGCTGTGAGATAACGGTGGGAACCCAATGCGATGGTAATTCGTCTGGAGGAAGTGTTTGAGAGTCAGCTATGGGGTCAAAGGATCGACAATGAAGCTTGATCTTGTAGGCTGATCCCCTGGGGCCTGAGGATGAGGAAGAGGGTTCTGCATCGCCGTTGGTCTTGGGTGCACCATCACCGTTTTCTTTCGCAGAAGCATGCTGGCCATCTTCGTTGGGTGAAGGAGAGCCAGAGCGAGAGGAAGACACAGATTCGGCGCTAGTGGTCTTGTCGTCGCCTTCCAGAGTCTCTTTGAGCGTTCGATGGTGATGTACGTGTGGAAAGCCGGGGTGCAGCTGCTGGTGGAGTTGTTCTGCTGAAGCCATCCTTGTCCTCTAGTTTCGGGTCTATGTCTATGTCTATGTCAGGGTATTTATATGAAGCAAATCGGAGGCATCTAGAGGGAATCCTGGGGTATAGGTCAAATCTCGAGCGAAAGTATGAAATGGTGGTGAGGATGAGGAAGCACGGATGGAAGTGGTGGACGCATAGATAGCACAAGGGGCAGAAATTGTAAGCGAGGCTCAAGGAACGTGAGGGCTTGGCATGTCAGACGCCGATCCGCCTGCCGCTTTCGGAGCGTTTTCTATAAAAAGCAACAAAACGCAAATGATTGCCATCGCGCATTCACCGCCCATATGTCGAATTTGTGAATTATTGCGGTCTAACAATCTTTTTTTCTTTATTTATTAATTTTTGTGCCTGGCGATTGGACCCTGGATTGCATTCTTCTTGACCGCTTGTCCTTTCCGTTCGCAACAACCACACTCCCTCTGCTTCTCCTCTCAGGTGGGGCCAGGATGCTTCACAGCACCGAAGCACAAAGCAGAGAGATCGACCATGAAAAGATTGCATCTCTAGCGATCTCGACCTACCTCAACAAACTACCTCCCCGTGGCGCCAAACCGGGAACCAAATCCAACGGACATCTCGAATGGACTGTTCTCGCCGCCTTTATCCTTTCCTTCCCGTCTCCGACGTCTCCCTCTGGACGAGACTATGCGCTTATATCGCTAGCAACTGGACTCAAGTGTCTACCTTACACCTCGCTACCGCCCAATGGAGATGTGCTACATGATCAACACGCAGAAGTTCTCGCACGAAGAGGCGCTCGCCTTTGGCTTCTGAATCGGCTGCACAGCGAGGTCAACACGGGAGAAGAAGGGGGGCCGAAGCTGTTCGAGAAGGTTGAGGACGGAGAGAGGAGGAAGCTAAGCCAGGAAGTGCAAGTGCACCTGTACGTGTCGACGCTACCATGCGGAGACGCAAGTAACAAGTTGCTCGAGTTTCAGCGTGCCGCTCAGGATCAAGTTGCTGGCAAGGATGGTGCACTTACGCTTGCTGAGCTGCTTGAACTCCACACCACCGATTCCGGCTTATGTCGGAATGCTGAAACAGGAGGAACAGGAGGAGAGGGGAGCGTCGTCCGAGGCCGAGCATCATCCTCCCACCCTTCGTCGTCCTCCAACAGCGTCACCGGATCACTCCGCACCAAGCCCGGCCGCCCAGATTCACCGCCAAGCATTGCCATGTCTTGCAGCGACAAAATCGCCCTATGGAACGCATCCGAAATAGGCATCCAAGGCAGCCTCCTTTCAGCCCTCCTCACACCAATATACATTAACTCCATCACCATCTCCGACCATCCTACACGGCACATCTTTCCCTCCTTTCCCCTCGACCCATCAGGTTCAGAGACGGAAGAGAAGCAAAGAGCAGCCCTCAGAAGAGTATTGGCGAAAGACTGCAAACGAGCCCTCAACCGAGCCCGAACGCAGCAAGAAGGTCAGGAAATGGAAGCAGGCTGGTCACATCAACCCTTTGCAGACAGTCGAGAATCCAAGCTTGAACAAGCTTGGTCTGCTTTCTCCTCAGACATCACCACCGCTCAACAAGGACCGAAAGATAAGACGGAGGCGTTCAAAGCGAATCATGATCCAAGCAGCTGCCCGAACTCAGTCCTTCACATTGCTTCACCGACTTTTGAGGGTGGGAAGACGGAGAATCTGGTATCGGGCACAAAGATGGGTGCACCCACAAAACGGGCAAAAGCAAAAGAAGGAGGCCTGGGCGAGCCATTGAAGTCAGCAGCTAGGTCGGTGGTGTGCAAGTTGAACTATTATCAATCTGTTGTGACGTTGTATAGCTCAATAAGCGGAAAAGATCTTGATCAGGCGAAGGGAGAAATGCTATACTGCGATGCGAAAGCAGGTTTGCTTGGAGGTGGGACTAAGGCGCACAGAAAGAGAAAGGATGAGCTACTGGGTTCGAGGGAAGATGCGCAGAAAGTGGTGGAGAGGTTTCTGAGTCGGGCGAGGGATGCGACAGCTATAAGAGGCGGGCAACGCCGGGAGGAAGAGAAAAATTCGATGGTGAATGCTGGCAAAGTCGATGAAGAGCTGGAAGAGGAAGAAGCAGATGGCCAGAGGGGTCCTGTTGCGACTTTCAATGGCTGGCTGAGGACTCCAGCCTCATTTGCTCGATTTGATTTGCATGGCCGAACTACATCTGTACAATAGCCAAGATTGGGATGTTTGTCCACGTATAGCACAGGTCACTGCTACGAAGTGACCGCCTGATTGTTGCTGTTGCTATGATCGTCATCGCTGGCTTGACCACCTGCTTGCAGCTGGAGCAGCTCCTGCTGTCCTTCTTCATCGAGAATTGCCCGATCTAGATGAAAAAGTACAGGGTAGAATACCCGCTTGCCCAGAGGTACCGTCAAAGGGGAAGTGACGACATTCACTGCATCTCGTGGGAGGAAAGCTGTCCAAAATGCTACCTTGCCATCCTTTGTTCTCTGATACGGTAGCCAAGGCTGTGTCATGACGAGTGAGAATACATCCGGATCGGCGCGAACCCCAACGTCGCCCCTCATCACGCCCCTCGCCGGCAGAAGCTGATGCAGCTTGGCGTTCTGTTCCTGCAGTGCAACTCGTTTTTCTGTCATGATCAACTGGCTAAGCGTCAGGCTTGCAGCTTGACTGTAGAAGTCTCGCATCGGATCGTGATTGAACTCGAAAAAATGCCTTGTAGCCACGATGCGGATCTCGGTCTCGACCCGTGCAGTGGCTCTCGGCGTATTTGCGGAACGAGGCATGTCTGCAGAATGATCGTGTCGAGCAGCATCCCATAGCCTTACTAGTTCGCACTTGCCAATCTGAACAACGAGGGAGTGAAGGTACAAAGCTGGCAAACACACCAGCCATTCGAGCGAGTCTGATCAAGTCGCGAGAATCGAGGGTGTGGCCCTGTCATGTCGCGCAGACCTGTCTTGTGATTAGAGTGTGACATCCGCGGGCTGTTGAGCTTCCGAGCCTTGTCGTGCGGACAGAACCAGAGTTTCGATTGCACTCAGGCTCATGGCCGTGTGACTTGCGAGGGGAGCACGGCTTTCAGTCGATCACTCGTCTGGCGAGGCAGCTCCCCTGTCCAATACCAGCCGCGATCGGCTTCACCGAGTGACTTGAAAGAGAGGTACGGCGCACTTGTGACGAGCGAAAAGACGTCTGGATCTGCCCAGCATCCCACCTCGTCGGCTTGTCCGTAAAGTCGCTTTGCTTCTGCTGAGCAGCTGTGACCATTCGAGCGGCTTGCTGTGGCTGTGGCTGTGGCTGTGGCTGTGGCTGTAGCTGTGGCTGTAGCTGTGGCTGTAGCTGTGGCTGTGGATGGCTCGTGCTGAGCTTGACAGTAAAAATCGAGAAAGACTTCTCTTCGATCGTGTCCTCCCCGTCTGGCAGTCACGACACGAATGTCTGGCACATCAGGCTCAGTTTGCGACGGTCGCCAAAGCTTGATGAGTGCCCTTTTGCCTTCTTCGACGAGACGCCAATACTTGTCTCTCTCGGCCGTGCGTAGTTCTTCTGGCGTCACGGCAGGCACTTGGCTAGACTCTTCGTCGAGACTGTCGACTGGATCGATACCATCCTCCTCCTCTGGCAATCCCAAAGGGGAGGCAGCTGCCGTATCTGGATGGTTTGCTGCCACTGGAGGTATCTGCATCGCATCCTTGAAGTCATGCAGATTCGAGCGTTTTGCTCTGACGTCAGCAACACTTGCTTTTCCTCTTCTCCCCGTTTCGCGAGCGTCAAGCATTGGCCAGGCCGGAGCGTTCCTTCCCACCCTGAAGAACGTAGCAGAGGGGTCATTCTCGCGTTCTTCTACCATCGGTGATGGTAACGGACCCAACGGACTAAGCTCGAGTAACAGCAATCCGAGTCGTGGTAGCCGAGATGAATGCGTCGCGAGATCATACAATGCTTCTTGCACTGCAAAACGTCTTGCTGGACCACGTGGAGCGCGAGGGGCAGGCTCGTGAGCCTGTTGCTGCACAGGAAGCTGCTCATACCCCTTCCATGCCTTCCTCCAACCTATGTACGCTCCGAACTCGACCAGCGCATCCGGCGGCAGCAGTGACAGGCGCAGGCACTCGAGTGTTTGACGTGGCGACAAGCCTGCTTCAATGCTCTTTGGCACATTGCCCTGTTCATCTGCGTTGATCGTCTTGCCGATCAGAAACGAGATCAATGTGGGCGGAGGTACTATTTTGATGAGGTGAAGATGTGTAAGCTTGGATAAGGGTGCCAAAGACTGCATCGTCGAGAATGGCGGTGCCGAGAAAGAGAGGTTCGAAAGCGTCAGTCGGCGAGGTCGACAGGTGGTTGCAGGATAGAGAAATTCAAGCAAAGCTGCACCTGCCTGGCGGTGTTCAAGCGAGACGAAATCAAGCTGACTTGCATGATTGAAGAGCGTCCGCAGGCTCTCAACGTAGTCCGCCTGGTCTGCCAACGTATCGCCGGGTTGAAGCAGTCCGTCGCCAGGCGGCAGGTGGAGCGAACGGATCCATGTGGCGCGTGCCGAGGCTTGACCATGGTCAGGACTGTACAGCTTCTTGGCGTCTGCAAAGATGGTGCTAGCTAGAGAGTTGAGCGACTTGAGTGTCCCAAGAAGCGGCCTTCGGTAGAGAGCTCGACTTGCGATCTGGTGGAGTAATGTGCATGAGGATGCGGCCGAGAGTAGGTCGCTACTTGTCGATGATGGCAGTGCAGGGGCATAGTCAAGGTCAGCGCCTGACGGGTGCGGTAGTGTCGAATCGTTGGGATCTATTGGCGTTACGAGCCAGTCGATTATGTGAGCAAACACCTCTGCCGGCAGTGCAGGTGTCATGTTCTTGATGGCTTTGTCGATTTCTGCAGCCAGCTGATCGCCATCTTGCATCCTTTCAAAGCCTCTCAAGCTTCTTTCGCCGACAAAGCGAGGAATGGAGGCGGTCGCGGAACCCAAAGCAATTGCGAGTCTGGAGGTCTTGATGGTCGTGGTGCAGAAGCAAAGCTGTGCAAACCGACTTGCCGAGAATCCGCGGAGCCTTTCACACTTTTCAACCGTGCACGCGACCACACGCATTGCATAGCCGTTTTCTCTTATCTTGCCTTTCCACCTTCACTTTCATCGACAACATTCGCAAAGATGGGTCGACATGAAGAGACGAAGCATGCCTTACCGACCGCTCTCAGCCAAACAGCACATCATCCTCGTCACAAGTGGTGGCTGAGATGGCTGCAGTACTGCACCTTTGGTCTTATCTGCTTCATGTTCTTCCACAGAGCAGTCGAATGGCCCAAGCAGACGATCTCTCACGACAACGAAGCATGTCCACAAGTTCCCGCTTTCGAGCTTCCAAAATCCAATGTATCGCTCTTAGACGGCTCTAACAACGATTTCGAGCTGCCATCCAGCTCCGAACTGGCTCAACTCCTCTCCGGCGCGGTGCAAGTTGACACCACCGTGGGCGATGACTGGCCCAGTGTCGCTCAAGACCCAGCTCGATGGGAAAAGGTCTTTGCTCCCTTCCACGACTATATACGCTCCTCCTTTCCGCGAATTCATGCCGATGACTCGCCCATCAAGCTAGAAAGAGTTAACGAATGGGGTCTCGTGTACACCTTCCCTGGCTCCAACGAGTCACTTGCCCCGCTCGTGCTGATGGCCCATCAAGACGTCGTCCCTGTCGAGCCCGAGACCATCCCATTCTGGACACACCCACCGTTCTCAGGCTTCATCGACAATGACCTTGGCCTGGTCTGGGGCAGAGGTGCAGGCGACTGCAAAGCATCCCTCATCTCTATCCTTGCTACACTCGAGAGCCTTCTCAAGTCTAACTTTACACCTGAGCGAACGGTTGTATGCTCATTCGGTTTTGACGAAGAGAGTGCAGGTACGCAAGGAGGCATCGAGCTTGCCAAGTTCCTTCATGAGAGATACGGCGACGATGGAGTAGCGATGATTGTCGACGAGGGCGGTCAGATCGATTTGAACCTGGGCATTCCTGTTGCTGCCCCCGCAGTTGCTGAGAAGGGCTACCTCGATGCCCGAATCACTGTCTACACTCCTGGTGGCCATTCTTCAGCGCCTCAACCTCATACCTCTATCGGCCTGCTCGCCCAGCTCATTACTGCCATTGAAGCGAAGCCCTTCACTCCCGCCATCCAACTCTTCGGCAAATCCCCACAAGAAGTAAACCCAGCTCTCCAGTATCTTCAATGCACACGAGATGCACCCAAAGCAGATCATGAACTTAGTATCGCGCTCAAAAAGCTCGCTCATCTCGAGCGCAAGGTCAGTTCTCGTTGCAAATGGGCAGAGCGAAAGCTACAGAAGCAAGCCCAAAAGGTCCTTAAATTTATGTCCCGAGAACAACGGTTCGGTTTTCAAACAACCCAAGCAGTCGACCTTGTCTCCGGCGGCGTCAAGATCAATGCTCTACCCGAACAAGCCTCTACCGTGGTGAACCACAGGATTGACGTGACGTTGAATACTGATGATGTGAGGAAACACATGCATCGTACTATCTCCCCTGTTGCACGCAAGCTCGGGCTAGAGGTGGAGGGCAATGGAACACCTCAGTGGTCATTCATCTCTTCTTCAACGAAAGGAAAGAAAGGCAGAGTGGTACTCTCGGACGCATTCAACTCAGCACTAGAGCCAGCACCATTCACACCACTCGGCAGCGCCAAACCCTGGGTCCTATTGCAGGGAGTCATGCGAGCTGTGTGGAAAGACATCCTGATTGCCCCCGACGTAATGGGTGGAAACACAGACACAAAGAGCTATTGGAAGCTTACGAAGCATATCTTCCGTTTCAGTCCTGGTTCGGATTTGCCGTTCCCGATCAAAGGAGAGGAGGAGAACATTCACACAGTCGACGAGAGGACGACAATTCATGGGTTGGTAAAGGCTACTGAGTTTTACAAGCTTCTCATTCAAGCTGTCGGGTCTCAGCACAATCTGTAGTCACACGTTTCGCGCACATCAGTACTGCAATATTGCCACGATTGCAATGCATAAATGATCTCCAAAGTAAGATGGGAGTGTGTAGTATCTAGTCACCGAGTCGTTGACCACTCCCACCCCAACTATGACCCGTACTAACATCCTCCTCCACCTCATCATCGCTATCTTTCGCCTTCGCCTTCGCCTTTTCCGTTCCCCATCTTTGCTCCGCCACAGCTCCTCCGCTTGAGCTATGATCCTCTTCCCCCTCACCTTGCTTCCTCGCACCTTTTTCATTGAGCTGACCGAAAGTGAACATATTCGACTGTGCTCCACCAGCGGCTGTCTTTCTCAAGTTCGCACTTGGTGAAGCACGGCTTGCTGCTGCTGATGAACGAGCGTTCAAGCTGGTGCTACCTGCTGTGTTTGATCCTGCTGGTTTTGAGGGGACTTTTTCAGCAGCGTTTCGTCCTACAATAGATGAAGATTGAGAAGCGCGAAGACGACGCTCAGCTGCTGCTAGCATTTCTTCTCTGTTTGGACCTGCGGTGCGGGAAGAGCTGGACGAGGAGCTGCGGTTGAATGGGTTGAGCGTGGACAAGGTAGATCGCGCTCCTGCGCCAAGAGCGGATGCGATGCTTGTTGGGCGAGGTGAAGCACTACTGGCGTTTCGGTCAGAGAGTCGATGACCACGGTCACGAGCAGCGTTCCAGACTGTGCCTCCTGCGAAGCGGCGTGCGTTGCGGTCTCCCATGTTGTGTCCTGCCAGTGCTGGGTCTACCGAGTCCGTAAGCAGAGATTGCAGAAAGCCTGGGGTGGGGATGTAGCTCCTCCCCTGAGCTCTGCCTCTTCTTTGCGCTGGCAGAAGCTGATCGAAAAGCCAGTAAGCATAGCCAGCCAACAAGCCGGTTCCACTCTGAACCGCCAATGCAGGCCCTCCCTGGAGTAGATCTATTCCGATATACACATATGGCAACCACCTACTCGGACAGTTGACCATCCCAAAGAATGAGACGCTACTACTTGGATTCGCCCTCGCCCATACATACACTAGCGCGTTCAGCATGGGACCAAACAGCACCGCCGATCCGAGGGGATAGTTGGCAGCATGAATCACGGTTCCCATAACCAGCAAAGCCCAAGTGTAGTCTGCTGTACGACGACCAAAATGGTTCAATTCCAGATCTTGACTGTTACGGAAGAGCAAGAAGAGATCGAAGAGGAGCTTGAGACCGCTGCCGGCGAAGAAGAAGCAGGAGAAGAGTCGGTGGATATGGAATTTGGAAATGACCCAAGGCCAGAATAGGACAAACCGGGTGGGTGTAGTGATGGCCAGAACGCATGGTAGGGTGACGGCCCCGGTGGCACCGAGCAGGAAGCGTGTCACGGGCGGGATCTTGCGTATTTCGTCCATCTTAATCCTGCGGTAAGGGAGTGAAGGATTGAGGATGATGGTGTGAAAAGAACAGAGGGTTACGAGCGCTCAGAAGACTGAGCTTTCTGAGGGTGCGCAACGTCGACGTGGCCCAGTTGAAGATGCACCGACATCGCCAACGCGTGATGTATTAAATAGTAGCTCACAGGATCGGGGAATCGGGAAGGCATCAGGCGATGAGGAGGACAAGCAGAATGCGAAGCTAGTGGGAGCTAACACAGCCTATGCATGAGGATTGACGCCATGGTATGCAGGGGACATGTTGATATGACAACACTTATGAGAGATGATACGTGGCACATGGGCATGACTCGACATAGGGAGCGCAGTCAGGTGCCGAGAATATGTATATATGCCCTTAGCTTAGTCATCACCACCTTACGAAAATTTAAGCCTTTTCACATAGAGCATCAGACTAAAGGAGTGCCTGACCGTGGTCTCCTAGTGGTGTAGCTAATTTCAACTGGCTCCCAACGTGGGGCTCGAACCCACGACATTCAAATATGGCGGGAGATAACGACCGCCAAGCCAGCATGGGTGAAGCAGCCAAGAGGACAAGAAAAGGTAAAATGCCACAACGAGTACAAATTGACGAAGAGGTCACTGACGGTAACGAAACCGAGTATTTTGACAATGAGGATGAAGGAGGATCAGAATCGGACGACGATGATGACCGATACGATTACCGCACCTTGGCCAAAATCTTGGAGACGGTTCCCAAGCTCATGTCACGCAACTACTATAGTTGGAGCACACTCATCAAGGCCAACCTCCGAGTAGTCCCTCATGCCACACGACACTTAGAGGGCACGTACGATAGAAACCACCCGAAATGGAACAGAACTTTTGACAACGCCCTAGTGGGTGTCCTACGAAGCACCTTAGACACCGAAGGAGAGTACAACGTCCTTTACCTCCTACTCGACATCAGCAAGAACCACCTGACCTGCCATCAAGCTTGGAAGAAGATCGAAAAGAGTCTTACCAGCGAGGCAGCTAGAACCTCGCGATGGATAGCATTACTTGCCGAGCTCAATGAGACAAAGATGTTTCATGCTGATGCCCGTAAACTAATCAAAGAGATCAGGGTCATACAGACGGAAACTAGCCTCCTAGGTGCCCCATTTAGTAATGATGCACTATATTCCGCGCTCCAGAGGTGCACGATTCGACACCCGGTCTACACAGAAATATTTGCGCCAGTAGCACCCATCCAAGCAATAAGGGGAGTGCTGGCCATCGCAGCCGTACGGGACTGGGAGGTCGATTCCATCGATGTCAAACAGGCTTACCTCAACTCAAGCCTGCGTCACGATGTCTACCTAAAGCCACCGGTAGGAACCAGGGTACCTCCAGGAAAGGTATTGAAACTCATAAAAGGGCTCTACGGTCTAAAGCAATCAGGTCGGGAATGGAACATCGAGCTGGATACCCACCTCCGAAGTATTGGCTTCCACTGCATGCCGAGCACCCCATGCCTTTACTCAAGGGGAGCGGGCGACCAACTCACAGTCATTACGGCATATGTGGATGACATGCTGATCGCATCGCCATGCAGAAGGGAGGTCGACCGTACCAAAGCCGAGATCATGGACAAGTGGGGAACAGAGGACAACGGACCTGTAGGAGAATTTCTAGGAATCAAAATCACTCGAGAGAGGAGACAAGGCAGGATCACACTCGATCTAAGTGCATACATTAAAAGCATGGTAAGTAAGTGGCTAGAAAGAACAAGTGAACGAACCTGGATACCAATGCAGAGTGTAGCAGGAATCGCTGGAGGAAACAAGTGTAACCCAGATCAGGCCAAACGATATCAAGAGCTAGTGGGGCAACTTTTATGGGTGTCCAACACAGTGAGGCCAGACATCTCGTTCGCAGTAGGAGCTTTGGCACGATATATGTCAGAACCGATCGACAGTGCTTGGAGTGCTGTGATACACTTGTTAAAGTACCTGAACCAGATGAGCGATTACCGCTTAAATTTAGGAGGAGCGCACAGGAGTCACGCAGACCAACCGGTGGTTACGTATACCAATGCAAATTGGGCTTCTGACCCTACAAATGGGCGTAGAAGTACGTCCGGAGCAATCACATATGTGTATGGATGTCCAGTTAGTTGGAAATCACATGTACAGAAGTGCGTGGCACTATCGGCAGTGGAAGCAGAACTGGTCGCAGCCTCCGAAGCAGCAAGAGAAGCACTCTTCTTCTCGTATTTACTCAGGGATCTAGGAGTATTCGGAGTCACGCCAACGCTGCGCACTGATAGCCAGGGGTGCATACAAGTCAGTAAAGATCCGGCCAAACACTGGAAACTCAAACACATCGATACCAGATACTACTTTGTTAGGGATCATGTGCAAGATGGTGACATATCAATCGAGTTCATCGGAATGGCCAACAATGTGGCTGACATACTCACGAAACCTCTCAAGGGACTCAACACAACAAGGATATCAAGAATGATAGGATTGGATATGCCGTTGAGGGGGGGAGTTGAAGATGCACCGACATCGCCAATGCGTGATGTATTAAATAGTAGCTCACAGGATCGGGGAATCGGGAAGGCATCAGGCGATGAGGAGGACAAGCAGAATGCGAAGCTAGTGGGAGCTAACACAGCCTATGCACGAGGATTGACGCCATGGTATGCAGGGGACATGTTGATATGACAACACTTATGAGAGATGATATGTGGCACATGGGCATGACTCAACATAGGGAGTGCAGTCAGGTGCCGAGAATATGTATATATGCCCTTAGCTTAGTCGTCACCACCTTACGAAAATTTAAGCCTTTTCACATAGAGCATCAGACTAAAGGAGTGCCTGACCGTGGTCTCCTAGTGGTGTAGCTAATTTCAACTGGCCCGAACACGTCTAGAAACCTCCACCGCCGGTCACGGCAGTATTTGACAGTGTTAGGGTAAGTAAGATAACAGAATAGAGAAAATTGGACCCTGTAAAAAGCGATGTCGTCTGGGAAAATTTTGGTGGAGAAAGGTGAACTTTTTGAAATTTTGGTGGCGCTCGCACTCTCTTCTTCCTAGAATGACTTGCAACTTGTTCGTCTTCCCACCATACATCAACCCCGACCCTGGACGAAATCGCATAGAACAAACAGGATACCATGACAAGATATACAAAGCTCGATGGAAGGCGGTCGCTCGCCAAGAAGACCGTTGATTCGGATAGCGAGCCCGAGATCAATTCCACACCGGTAGCTTCTCCCGCCAAAGTAGAGATGCAGCCTTCCGAACCTACCGAGTCTCCCTCAAAGGAGAGCAAGAAGAAGGATAAGAAGGAAAAGAAGGAAAAGAAGGAAAAGAAGGACAAGAAAGACAAGAAGGACAGGAAGAACAAGAGCGAGGAAACTGACTCCACAGAATCCACCACCGAAAAGGCAGATGCTGAGTCGACCGAACCCGTTGCATCCACTTCCGCCTCCGCCACTACCACCAATGAAGCCGAAGAGAAGGCCGCAGCCGATGCTGAAACACCAACAGTAGAAAAACTCCTCAAACGAGCCAAACTTCTCAAACTCAAAGCCAAAAAGGCCAAGAAGGAAGAAAGCAAGAAGAGGTTCCAAAAGATGACGCGCGATATTGAACGACAAGTCGAGCAGATGTTTGGATCGTTCGAATACGGACCCAAAGGTCAACTGATCCGTTTGGGTGCACCACAATCAGATACCATGTGGCAGTCTAGGCAGAAGGATGTTTGGTCGGCTCCCACCCACCCTCACTCCCATAATGGCTCCAGTATAGGCGGTGATGGAGGATGGGGCGCTCGCGGAGGCAACCCTACCAACACCTACAGGAACGGCCAGAGCAACGGTGATAGCTGGAACAACAAAACAGATGAAGAGAAAAGAATGGATCGCCGCGATGTGCGTCGAGAGGAACGAGCAGAACAACGTCAATCCAAACTGAAATGTTTCGCTTGTCGTGGAATGGGTCATTCCGCCAAAGACTGTCCAAACGCTCTCGATGCCCAATCCATCTCTCTGAAGAAGTCGGACGACACTTCAGGCGATAGACCCATGATCGGTCGTGATGCAGTGGGAATCTGCTTCCGCTGTGGATCTACGGAACACACACTCTCTAAGTGCCGCAAAGCTGCAATGAAGAACGACGAACTTCCTTACGCCACTTGTTTCATCTGTCATTCCAAAGGTCACCTTTCTTCAAAGTGCCCTCACAATGCAGGTAGGGGTGTGTACCCCGAAGGAGGAAGCTGTAAACTTTGCAGCTCCGTGGAGCACTTGGCGAAGGACTGTCCACTAGCGTTGAGGAACGAGGGCAAGAGCAAAAAGAATGATCCAGAGGCAAACAAGTTGGTCAACCAGGTTATTGTTGGATCGACAAAGGAGGAGAGAGGATTGGGTGGAGATGAGGATGATTTCCATAACTTTGCTAGGAAGAGAGCACAGGTTGAGATTGAGGGCAAATCGGCGTCGGGGGAGAAGAGTGCGAAGAAGCAGAAGAGTGGGGCCAAGGTTGTTTCTTTCTGAGCTCTGTTCATTTGGGCTGCAATAGACACCTTTGCTGAAGAGATTTATTCTGCTGTGCCAAGGATGTGCGAATGAGCGCCTCTAATGACTTGTGAGCAAGTTGAGACTTGATTCAAATACTTTCTAACGGCTGCATCGTCTTCCAAGCAGACACACCGGCATCTCGATACCTGGAATGATCTACATATTGCGCACCCTCTACAGGAGAAGAGAGGGGAACCTAGTTACAAAGAGAAATGATAAAAAGCCACAAAAAGCCTGCAATGTTGGTGGCTTGAACTGTGCTAAGTTAATGAAAGGGGAAGGTAGTTCAGGACATCTTGTACTCCATCCTCCCCTTTGTAGCTGTAGCGCCGTGCACCTCGTAGTCGATAGTAATGTCGAGATCCCTGTTGTTCCTCTCGTTAGGTCTGCAGACCAACTTGCCCGTGATAGAGTCGCCCTGGTTGACAGCCAGAACATCCTTTGTGTAGAAAACAGTCTGTTTCCAGTGGGTGTAACGCGAGTGAGGACCGGTGGAGAACTGTACTGGTTTGTGGCAGGCGTCGAAGGAGATATCGAACCAGCCGAGAAATGCGTGAACGTAGTCGTCCCTTGTTGCGTTGAGAGTGAATTCTGACTCGAACGACAACTCTTGCTTTGTCACAGTGAGAAGGTCGAGCTGCTTGATGGGGTAAGGGTCGCAAACGACGCTCTTGATGTCAACAGTGTCTACGAGAGGTTCACGGAGAGCAATGTCCTTGATGCAAGAGTAGTTGAAACCGTAGACGTCGTCCCAGAAACCAATCTTCTCATCCTTGTACTCTTGGTCTTCGATGGCGGAGATATACATGGTGGCTTTGTCAGGGAACATCATTCCTCCAGGAGCAAGGTACTTGTCTCTTGCCATGAGGACTGTGTCGAGCATGCTCTCGTAGAGCAAGAAGTAACCCATCCATTCGCTGATGATGATATCGACCTTGCCATCGGGTCCGAGACCGAGATCAACTTCTTCGAGCTTGCCCTTGACGAGATGGATAGTGTCCTTGAAACCGTTGACTTCAGTGATGATCTTGGCCTGGTCGATGATGTTGGACATGTCAACACCGATGACCTTTTTAGCGCCGGCTTTGGCAGCGAACATGCAAAGGATACCGGTACCACAGCCGACATCGAGGACAATCTTATCCTTAAAGAGATGAGGGTTGTTAATGATTGAGTTGCGGTAGGAGCGAGTTCGAACCTCATCCTTGAGCATCTCTTCGTGAATGCCGAAATGGGCGTACGAGTCGGCGTAGTAGTCGCGCGAGGTCATGTCGGCGGTCTGTGTGGAGCCGGAGCCGGAGGCGGCTGCAGCAGCAGCGCCGTTAGTAGAGGTGGAAGCCATCTTGATGACAAAGGGCCTGCTGTCGAGACGGGAGGAGAAGAGGAGGAGGAGGAATGATCAGGGGAAGAAGTGGAAAAGTAGTGAGGAGAAGGTTGTACCGGATAACGTTGCCCAGAAGAGTGACCGAAGCGCAGAGCACAGTAGAGCGCAGTATGCCATGGTCCCTCCACGCTTGCCTGAGAAGAAAATTCTGAAATTTCAAGCTGGATTTTTTTTTTTTCTTTTTTTTTTTTCTCCATTTTTCTGCTTTTTTAGCAACTAGTTGAGGAATTTTGTTTATCTTTGCAGTTATGTTTTTTGTTTAATTCTATCTACTAGCTTCTATGTACATTATCATATATATACTTGGTAATCTCTTCCACATATGCTAGCCTGTGTTGAGCCATTCGTTGTGTCGCTCCTGTGTTGTCACTTCCTGCATGTTAGTGTGGCAATGCTTATGCATCCCACATGAGTTGCCACCTATATGTGTCTTTGCCTCATTGATGACTTGCCTATCTTCCATGGGCTCCATAACACTCCGCAGACCCTGTGAATCCCATTGGAGTGCCGATGCATCTCCCTCAACTGTCTCCCTCAGCAGCAAGGCAGTAGGCTGCTGAGCTGCTGTACCTTGTTGTGGTGTCAGTCCTAACCCTTGTCAGGTGCATTGCAGTGCCTCCTTGCCCACTGGTTTGGTAAAGATGTCTGCTAAGTTATCTTCAGTGCTGATGTACTTGATTTTGACCTTTCCATCTTGTACATTGTCTCTTATGAAATGGTATTTGGTGTCAATGTGCTTCAACTTCCAATGTTGTGCAGGGTCTTTGCTTACCTGGATGGTGCCTGTGTTATCTGAGAAAATTATGGGGGTACCAACATCAACCCCGATAGCCCTGAAGAGGTGTCCAAAGAAGAGAATTTCTCATGCAGCTTTGGTTGCTGCCATGAATTCTGCTTCTACTGCCGATAGGGCAGTGCAGTGCTGTAGTGCCGACTTCCATGCTACCAGGTTTCCGTGTATGAAGACTGCTGACCCTGACAAGCTCTTGCATTGCACTGTGGTGTCACTTGCCCAATTCGCGTCACTATGCGCCACCAGAAAATCTTGTTGCTTGTTGCTACTGTATTGCAAGTGAATGTCCTGAGTGCCATCCAAGTATTGGAGCACTCTCTGTGCTGCATTGTAATGTTCCTTCGATGGTTGTGTCATGTAATGTGCAAGGACACCCACAGCTTGGCTGATATCTGGGTGTGTTCCGTTTGACAGCCATAGGAGTTTGCCAACGATTTGTGGATATTCCTTTCACTCGGCTATGCTTGCTGTCATCTCTGGTACTGGGATATCCTGGAGCGGTGTGCTGGATTTTCTTCTACATTTATCTAGATGCTTGTTTAGTAGCTGTTTGACATAGCTGGTTTGCATGAGATCCATAGTCTTTGCCTTGCAATCCCTGGAGATCTTGATCCCGAGAAAATGGGATACGTTACTGCTGTCCTCCATCTTCCACTTCTTGCCTATCTCCTTTTTAATGTGTTTGACCATTGTCAGTTTTGGAGATATAATCAATGTATCATCAACATAGATGATCACTATTGCAAAGTTGTCCCCTTTTCCTCTGGTGTAAATACACAGCACACAATCAAGTCTATGGAAGTTCGAGCACTGCAGGAACTTGTCAAACTCCATGTTCCACTCCCTTCCTGATTGCTTGAGTCCATATAGTCCTTTTACTACCCGATAAGCCTTTCCTTTTGGTACCTTTGCCCCTTCCAGCAGTTTCATATAGATAATGTGCTTGAGTGTGGAGTTGAGGTAGGCCATCATAATGTCAAGTTGATGGACCTCCCAGTCCCGCTCCACTGCCAGTGACAACAGGGCTCTTATCACACTAAGTGGTGCCACCAGTGCAAAGGTTTCTTCAAAGTCTATGCCCTCTCATTGTGTGAATCCTCGTGCAACAAGTCTTGCTTTATGTCGGACAGGTATCCCATCAGCATCCAGTTTGAGGCAGAGGACGATTTTAGAGTCAACGAGTTTGGTGTTTGGCAGTACATCCACAATTTCCCAAGTCCCCATGGCTTTGAGCCCATCTAACTCCTTCCATATGGCTTCTTGCCATTGTTGAGCCTCATCACTGTCAAGTGCTTCCCTCAATGTTGGTGTAAGGTTCATGGTGGTCATGTTGGCCTCCCCAATAATGTCTTCAATGGCAATTTCTGATTGGTTGTCTTCGATGGTGTCGATGGGTTGTGTAGTGGAGGCATGTGAGGATGGGTCTTGTATGTTGATCTCCTCTGGTTCCAATATGGGCTCATGGTCAATGGTCTCTGATCTGGTACCCTCTGCCTCTAGACTTTCAAATCCGATTTGCAGTGGGCTCTTTTCTTTGGGTCGTTCATGCCAGCCTTTATCTTCATGAAATGTAGCTGAGTTACTCCATCGAATAGATGGCATGTGTTCTGGAGTGTGGAATTTCCATCCCTTATGCTTGTTGTCATAACCAATCATGATTCCTGGTATTGCTCTCATGCCATGCTTGCCTGCATGATCTTTCCTTGGGAGGTGGACCCATGTGAGACAGCTGAAGACACACAATTGTTTTGCCAGGCCATGAGCCATTGTGCGATGAAAATCTTCATATGGAATTCTGTTGGCATTTGCTGATGGTGTCAAATTAAGTACATGTCTGGCAGCCATGATGGCATAGGGCCATAAACCTTTTGGCACCGATCTTTGGATGAGCATTGCTCACATCTTTTCTTGTAGCAATCTGATGGTGTGCTCTGCTCTTCCATTTTGCATGCTGACATATGGGGTGGTTTTCTGCCATTTAAAACCTGCCTCTTTCTTCCATTCCTCTGCTGCCAAGCTTGACCATTCTGTTCCATTGTCACTACAGATGCACTTTAGTGTGTGGTCTGTCATTACTTCTGCCCTTTTGATCCATGCTTTTAAGGTGGGGAACGCTTCTGCTTTGCTGAGGAGCGGTTTCACGAATACATATGATGAGGCATCATCTACAACTACTAGCGCATGATGGTAGTTGGGGTGGCCTTGTAGGTCTGTCATTAGGTCAATGTGTATTAATTCTAATGGTGCTTGTGCTCATTCTGTCTTGCTACTTGCCATCCTTGCATGTGTTTGCTTTGCCTGACTACAACTATTGCAGTCCTTTGAGTTGTGCTCAAGCTGTGTTTCTCTTCCTAAATAGTGCGCTTGGATTTGCTGGGTTTTATTTCTGCCTGGATGGCCAAATTGTTTGTGCCATAGTTTGCTTATCGTGTGGCTTGTGGGCCTTGCTGGTGTCATGTTATCATCAATGCCCTCAAGGGGGTCATTGAGCTGTGCTGCTAGGGAGTTGCTGTGAACTTCCCATCTTTTCTGGTGTTGGTTGGTCTTGCTCTTAACCATGCTCCCATCATGTTGGAGGATTGTAGCTCCAGATTCTTCAAATATCACTCGTGCACCATCTTCAGTTAATGCTGGGACAGACAATAGATTCTTGCTAAGGTTAGGAACATAAAGTACATCTGTGAGGGGTATTTTAACATCTCTAACTTGCAAGGTTGCATCTCCTATTTCCTGTACTTGCAACCGTTCATGTCTGGTGGTATCTATGGATCCTTTCTTTGGCATCGGAGCAATTAGCTTATCCTCATCACATACCATGTGATGTGTAGCTCCAGAGTCAAGAATCCATGTACTGTCTTGGTTGTGGTTGCTAGTGTTGCTTACGAAGAGGGTGCACCTGAATCCCTATCCTCGCTCCTGATTACCAGTGCAATTGATTGTGATGTGACCAGGTTGCCTACACTTATAGCACTTGGCTGGTTCATTAGGATTTGCAGGGTCATGCCTACCCCTATTGTAGCCCTCTTGGTTAAGAACCTGCCTATGCTTGCCAATTTGGCCTGTTGAACTTCTGTTGCTTGCAGCTCTGGCAGTGGCTCGGATGCGACCTGAAAGCTCAGCTTCTTGGTATTTCTTGGCTAGTGCATGATATGCATATTTGTAGTTGCAACTGGGTTGAGCTGCCTTGAGGGAGTCTACAGTTTGAGTGTATAGCCAGTTGTCTTTGACACAGTGGTAGAGGGTGGACTTCTTGAGCTTTTCATCCATGTGACTGCCCAGCCTCACAGCATCATTCCAAATTTGGTCTAGTTCCTTTCCAAGGTTGACAATGTTTCAGTGGACTAACTTGATCTCATGTACTCGGTCATGAATGGCAGAAAGTTTAACTTTGTCATTAATTGTGAGCACTGTTTTGAGCTTCTTGTATAGTGTAGAGCCAAGTTGTTCCTCTTCACCTTGTTCTCGAATGGTGTATGTATGGATACTGCTTTCAGGACTGTGGTCACATGACAACAGAATAAGGCCTAACAGGTGACTGTTTAGTTCTTCATCATAATCTGTGTGGCTGCTAGGTATTTCCCCAGTAAGGATCTGCTTTGCATTCTTGATGGGTTGTATGCAGTCCATAAACATTGGCTCCCAGATAGCCCAGTTGTTCTCATTGAGCTTGACTATCTGCAATACAATGCTGAGTACTGATTTAGGAATCTTTTCAACTTGGCTGATGTTTGGTTGGAGGTTCATCATGGAGAAAGCATGCTCCAAGATTTGGTCTTCATTCCAGTCAGTGTGAACCTCTCTGATTACTTGCATGGTGCGTTTGAGTAGGGCTATGCTGTCTACTCTGGGTGGCATCTTGATGGCAAGGTGCCTTGAAGCTGCTGAGCTTCAGACTCTTAATCAGTTGAGGAATTTTGTTTATCTTTGCAGTTATGTTTTTTGTTTAATTCTATCTACTAGCTTCTATGTACATTATCATATATATACTTGGTAATCTCTTCCACATATGCTAGCCTGTGTTGAGCCATTCGTTGTGTCGCTCCTGTGTTGTCACTTCCTGTGTGTTAGTGTGGCAATGCTTATGCATCCCACATGAGTTGCCACCTATATGTGTCTTTGCCTCATTGATGACTTGCCTATCTTCCACGGGCTCTGTAACGCTCCGCAGACCCTGTGAATCCCGTTGGAGTGCCGACGCATCTCCCTCAACTCAACTGCATAGAGTTCAGGGTTCTTCTCAAATCGCAGTGGAGGCGCGCTTCTTTTAATTGTGAGGAAAGTAAGGATCTCACAACGTTGCTCTCCGAAATTCGACTGGCGGAGCTTCGGCGCACGTTGCATCATCGTCGAGAACAACACTCGAAATGTACATGCGTGTTTCAGTTGGCTTTCATATACCTACACTTAGCTCTATCATCCCCTTGTCTTGTCAACCACGCAGTTCTTCACCCGCGCCTGCTCGAAGCACCAGTGAAAGTCGCACTTCTACCCCTAGTCGCATCCATCGGCAGGTTAGCGGACAGCATCTACCAAGATGAACTCACTATACAACCAAGCACTACGTCAATTTTCCTCGATCCAATCCGACATCTCTCGCATCGACTCTGAAGGCGATTCTGCCCCCTCTACCTCCTTCGGACCGGTCACTGTCTCACTCTCTTCTCTCGAACGCACAATCGATGAATACGAAAAGCTCGCCAAAAAAGAGCTCATCCAGTCCAAACAAGAGAAAGCGCTAAACCGTGTCGCCAAATTCCGCACCGACTATTCCGAACTCTCTTCCCAGCTCGCTCGTCTTAAAACCAAAGGTTCCCTCTCCAACCGTGGCTCAGCACAAAACGGGTCTTCTACATCCACTTTACGGTCCCCGACTAGCAACGCTTTCGGTGGTGGAGCGAATAGAAGAGCAAGCGGTATCGCTCTGGCTGAATCCCCCTTCTCTCTTCACGCACGCAACTCGGCAAACCCACAAGAACATGATCCCTTAGCGGCGTACAAGATGAATGATTCGGCAGCTGCCATGTTCGGTGGTGGAGCAAGTGGAGGCTTTTCAGTAAGAGAAAGTCATGCATTGAGAGAACATTCCTTCATTCAGCAGACAGAGCAACAGTTGGATACATTTATTGCACAGGGTAGAGAGGTCTTTGGGAACTTGGTAGAGCAGAGAGGCATTCTGAAGCGTACACAAAGGAGGTTGAGAGATGCAGCAAATACGCTGGGGTTGAGTAGAGATGTGATCGGGTATATCGAGAGAAGAAGTACACAGGATAACATGATTTTTGCACTAGGTGCCATCTTTACGCTTGTTTGCTTTTGGTATATTTACAAGTGGTTCGGTTGAACGCCTCGCCCAGACTGAGAGAAGGCAAAAGAAGCAGCAGGATAGTAGTGTAATACCCATTGAATTGCATCATACATTAGACGTGCACTTTGTTCTTTGCTCTCTTTTGTGTTGATCGTATGTATTGTGCAAGAGAAATGTCCTTCCAACGTCCCAGCAAGCTTTTCAACCGCTTTCAAGAGAGCATTGTCTCGTTCAAACGTTTGCCCTGCGCCAGACAAAGATCATCTCAGAAAGATCATCTCAGAAGGTCGAGCTTACAGAAACAGTAAAAGCGTTGCACCTGTCAGACTGAGGAGACGAACACTGCTCGTGCGGAATCAAGAATGTATTACAAGCGACAACGACAAAATGCTCCTACCTACCTACCCCCGCAGCTGGATTGAATATCTGTGTGTTTGGCTTACTTTCGGTACCAAAGAGTAGTCTTCCTGTTCCTCCTGATCTTCCTGTGTAGCTGCAAAAAGCCGTACAACAGTGCCTCTGCAGTAGGTGGGCAACCCGGCACATACAGATCAACAGGAACAATCCTGTCACAGCCCCTAACAACCGAGTACGAGTAGTGGTAGTATCCACCACCGTTAGCGCACGAGCCCATGCTGATGACCCATCGAGGCTCGGGCATCTGATCGTACACCTTCCTAAGTGCTGGTGCCATCTTGTTGGTCAAGGTACCGGCAACAATCATGCAATCGGACTGACGAGGCGAGGCACGGAAAACGATACCCAGTCGATCCTGATCGTAACGGGCGGTAGCGACGTGCATCATCTCGACGGCGCAACAGGCGAGACCGAAGGTCATGGGCCAGAAGGAAGATTGACGGGCCCAGTTGGCCATCTTGTCCATGCTGGATAGGACATATTCAACCCCGTTCTTGGGGGTCTCGAGCGAAAGCTGGTTGGAAGAACGGTTAGCGACGGACATGAGAGGGACAGGGCCGTCGGGGCCAGCATCGGAGCGCGGGGCAGTGGAGGAGATGGAGCGGGTGTTCGACTTGGAAGGTCCAGCAGCGTTGTTGTTGTTGGCAGCGGCGGCAGCGACCTTAGGTACCGACTTGAGAGTCGAAGTCTGGAAAGAGCGAGTCAAGGCGATGCTGGTGGTGGGCTTGGCGGCGAGGCCTATTGCAGGCGGCGACAGGAAGTAAAGTCGAAGTGCAGTTGCGCGCATCATGGTGGTTGTTGGTGTGAGTTTGTGTACGTCCGTGGTTGGATGCAAGTCAAGAGTTGCAAGTCGGAATTGAAGATCGAGTAGAGAGCACAATGTGGGTCGGAGAGGCGTGTGAGTTGGAGAGGCGTGTGAGTTGGAGAGGCGTGTGAGTTGGAGAAGATCAATCAAAGAAAGACAAAGTCAGTATCAGCTTGAAGCAAACAACAAGTTGACAAAGTGGCGGGTTTCGGGCCGCCAGAGTTGGCAGCTGCATCTGATACATACCGACTCGGGAAAGCGAACGAAGAGCAGCCATATTTGCAATGACCTACTGTGACGATTGACTACGACAACAGATATGACCGGTGGTTGGTTAGTGGTGGTGAAGTGGTGGCGACGACGACAACGACAATGAGTGGCATCGGAGCCAGCTTGAGTTGCGTTCGAACATGTGCGGTGTGCAGTTGGCTCAGCATGGTCGCATTACCAATCATTCAGCGAAATTCGGAACCGTTTGATGCGCGTCAGACTTCCTTTCGTGCGGGACATTAAGTCAGATTTTTACTGTTAAGATAAGTTGAAGATAACAATTAGTATACGCTGTTATTGGGGCCACATTCAGGCTCCCTTACCACAGTTGTATGCTTCTTGTAATGCTTAGTATTTTGTTTGTATGGATCACTATCACAAGCACATATATATACCTTGTTGCTATCTTTAGTCATGTCTGAGTCAGATGAGTCACCTCTTCTGTGACCTTCTGTGTTGCCATTTTCTTTGATGCCCCTGAACCATTGTCATGCCAACCTTGATGTATTTCATTGTGTTCATCACTTATGCACACATCTGGTCCCTCGGTGTCTCGGCTGCAACTCGTGCATTCTTCTTGAGATGCCAACGCATTTTCAACTGATATCCTTCACAGACAGTGCATGGAAAAAGTATTGAAGTCTAACAAAAGCGAAAAGTGTCGTTCCTCCAAGGCCCGCACTGTAACAGAGTCTACGCCACTGAACAGCCCGTCCTGCCTTTGACTTCGGTCTCACTGAAAGATCAACCCGGCGTACAGATGTTGAGAGAGTTCTAAGCGTTTGGTAGTAAGACTGATATAACTGAAGATGAACAAATACTGCTCTTCAGGCACATGACACCCTAACACAAGATGTCAAGTAAGGTCTCCTGCGCAATTGCAGAGAGACGCCATTTGTTCTACCGCCCTTCAGTATGAAGTCATCCTCGCTTGCTTACTTTGGCTTGCATGCCTTGTGTCAAAGGTACATCTTGCTCCTGGCGTGTACATCTTTCCCGAGTCCTTTGCCCTTTGACAAAGATCTCCAACTTGCGCTGTATAATGCTGTAGATGGTGCTCAGCGCGTATCCCTAGCCCCTGAGGTTGAAGGTGCTTGGTATGTGGCAGATCTGGGTCACGAGGTGGCTGCGTGATGGCGAGATTGATGCTGGTTCTGCCGCTCTCAACAAGGCGGCTACTGCAGATCTGAAGGAGAGCGGGAGGGAGAAGGAGATTGAATTCTTCTCACCCTCTCGGAGAAGATACGGAATTTGAAACTCAGATTCCACCTCTTGTATCGGGTTCATCTGAAGCGCTTGGAAAGCCCACCAGCGAGTTCCATGCTTTGATTGCGTTTAACTTATTCCAGCTCCGCTTCGACCAAGTGTGGCTTGTGCAATAGTTATGGGAGGGATAAGGTGCGGAGTATCGGCGGCAAGTGCTCGGTGGCTTAGTCCCTGGCTATTGTCCGTAATAATTCGTGGAGCTCTCGTTTGCCGCTCATTTGCAATGATCACCGTCTCCGAGGACGGGTGGCGCCTATCTGTTCAACTTTTTTTCTTTCTTCCAAACGCCGTCTCAAGACAGTAGCACCACCAGATGGCCAGAGCTGGATTCGTTGGGACACGTGCCGGCGAGCTGAATGCAACACAGGGAGGAGGTGCAGTTATAGTCCGACCTCGGCTAAGCACATGCACTTACCCGCGTCAGCCTCTCCGCCACCCACTATTGCTTTCACCACCTCCGTCACAGAATGCATCGCACGGGACGGCGAAGGCATGCTGAAGGTGGGATCTGCGAACCCACCTTGTCAGTGGCGTACTATATGGTTGTCGACATTTAGGGTACTCTATGCGTGAATAGTGGGATATGCTGGACAGCACAACAGCAGTCTGAAAACTCGACTTTCGGGGTTGCGTTCCTGACCCCGCATTTTTGTGATTGCTTGAGGGATTTGCAGCGTGTTTATACTGGCGAAGAAAATCTCGCTCTCTCTCCGACATCAGCAACCCCCTTGCCATATCAGCTACAATCCCGCCTCCTTGACATTTCTGAAAATGACGTTAGGATGCAAGGAGCTGGGTGTCGACAATGGTGCGGTCTGTGTGTCGAACTGAGTGTGGATCGGAAGAGATGAGGTGAACGAGATACGGTATCACCTTCTTGTCAAGCGATACTGGGCGTCGAGTCCAAATTTTCGCAAGAATTCGCATAATCTAACAAAGCGGCCTATTGGGCATTGGGAGAGTTTGCGAAACACCAACCTGTCAAAGCTTTCCAAACTAAGACCAATCCTAGAAAATGTTCGGATTGCGGGCACTTTCGCGTCACGTCACGACACGTCAAAAGACGCGTTCCTGGGATTCGCGTAAATGTAACCGTTAATCTGCAAATCGGTAAAAAACAAAAAAAAAAAAAAAAAAAAAAAAAAAAAAAAAAAAAAAAAAAAAAAAAAAAAGGGAAGAAGAAATTCGAAAATCAAATCAAATCGGCATTCCTTTGCCTTGGTTCTGCCTGAAAGGCGGATAAGATCGACCGATCGGCAGCTGGAATCAGCTGTGCTTGATGAAGAAGCTTGGCTTCTCCAGCTCGCTCGAAAGCAGACTTCGGCCATGTAACGACATCATGACTATGCTCGGAATGAGAGGAGCCGAAAGAAGGAGGTGTTCAGATAGATGAGTTAGCATGCGTCGATAAGAAGGCCCCATGTCGCGATCTTGAGAGTACCATGGCCTGACCCTTGACATCTTCTCATTGTGGAGGATGATGTCGGTCTGGAATGGTGTTGAGCAAAACCGAGATTGGTTCAGGATGAGGATGTCAAAGGACCGCCGATGCTGGAACAAAGTGATGGTGCAGATGGAGTAGCATGCCCCATGACGAGATCTTCGCCGAGCGTATCTCTGTATCCTCTGTGTTGGGTTTGAAACAGACAGCCAGATGTCGAGCAACCTTGTTTGGGTCTCCGACTAGTCTTAAGCATCGTACTGTAACTGAGATGTGGAGGACATGATCGCATTAAGCATGAATGATTCGAATCGCCATGTAAGGCCATCGCGATTGACAGCGGGGGTAAGGCATGAGGAGAGGAGAAGAACATGGTTCCTGAATTTGATTCCTTGTTCGCCTTCCAGCAAAGCTGACTAGCTCGAAACTCTTGTTTCCTCCTCGATAAAACCAAACCTTGCCTCGCTGACTTGTCAGAGATGATCGACGATCGACCGTCGATAGAGAAATGATGTGAACGAGATGCGACCACCAAGATCGACACGGATTGTCTTTTGGCGTTCCAGTTCGAGTTTCTAGCGAGGCGGCCTACGGTATTCCGGCGAGGTTCGCAAGAAGGATGTGCGAAGGAGGAGAAGAAGCGATCCTTGCCGTCTGCGCAAACGGTTTCGTGCTTGCAGAGCGCGGTATCAAGATGTATGAGCGCACGATCGGCGGCAGCTCGCTTCTTTATAACAATCAAATTGACTCAAGCCTAGAGGAGATTTGGGTAGATGAGATTTGGGTAGAGGAGACTTGGAAAGAAACGGGCTGCTCATACCTCCCCGGAAAGCTCAGTCCAAACCCGGGCTATCCTGCTAGGCCTCCTCCTTGTTCCCTTGATCCGCTGCGACGTCGCTTTCTCTCGCCGTATTGCTGCTGCATTCGCTTCTATCTTGGATATCCAGGTTTGCGCCATCATAGGACCTTTGCACTCTCTTGTTCTTCTCTCGTGCCTCAAGCCCCTGTCCGCTCCTGCCTGTCCGCTCCTGCCTGTCCTCTCTGGAGCTGGGTGCGGGGGCCCTCATCTCTCCTTCTCTCTTCTGGTGCTGTCACTGCTTGCCGCCGTTGACCATCGCCGACGCCGAGTCCTCGTGGCCTTGCCTCTGTCGGACCTTATAGTGGCGATTTCCTGCATTGCCTCTATATCTCGACTTTCATTGCCGTCTGTAGCCAAAAAAAAGAAAAAAAAGAAAAAAAAAGAAAAAAAAGAAAAAAAAAAAGAAAAAAAAAAGAAAAAAAAAAGAAAAAAAAGAAAAAAAAAAAGAAAAAAAAAAAAAGAAAAAAAAAAAGAAAAAAAAAAGAAAAAAAAGAAAAAAAAAGAAAAAAAAAAGAAAAAAAAGAAAAAAAAAAGAAAAAAGCATTCATTCTTCGCCATCCCTCTCGTTGCTGGTGTGCGCTAAATGTCCTGCTAGCAGCAACCCAGAGCATTCCATCTTGCTTCTCTCCTACATGCTCCCTCCCGTTCTCGACCTTCACCACCATCACCATCGTCGTCGGTATTCGCTCTTGACCTCACCAGTGCCTCTGCAACATCTCCCTTCACTCGCTCACAGTCTTGCTTGCACGGCGTAGCTTCTTGCTTGTCAACCTCACTTCCAACACCACCTCTTGTGTTTGTCCCCATCTCTAGCCCAGCAGCAGCATCAGGAACGATTGTATTGCCAGCATTCATCAGAATCCATCCAGCGCCTTTCTCCACAGCAACACTTACTAGCACCCGCGCGCTTTACCAGCAGTCACACACTTTACCAGCAGTCTCACAGCCCCTTGCATCTATGCCTTCGACTTCTGCCTGATCACTTGCTCACTGCGCTACTGCTCCTTTTCCTTCCCAAGGTATGTCTCCGCTCTCTCGTTGCTCTTATTCGCCTCTCTTACTAGCATTCGAGCGTCCAAGCTGACCTCCACCGCTCCGCTCCTACTTTTCTCACATACACAGATGTATGCTTCCACATTGAATTCCCGTGCCAACCAAACGCTTCAGCACCTCGCTCAGCCTGAGCGCGCCTGGAACCCCGCCGAGGATATGGAATGCGATTATGACGAGATCCGTGTTGCTGCCCCTCTCAAGGCAGCTGTCATCGAACGTGCTGTCATCACCCTCATGACCAACATGGTCTCTTCCCAGTCAACACATTCCCTCTCCTCTTCCAGCAGCTCCGGCGACTTTGAGCCCGAGCTCAGCCAATCGCTCGGCTCCGTTTCGAGCTTTGACCTCCGTACACCGCTCAAGCCTAGCCTTGCTGCGAACCAACTCTACGACCCAAGCGAGTCTTTCAACGTCCTTGGTCTTCACACCAAGCATGTCGCCTCGACGACTTCCTCACGACCCACCAAGAACCTCCTCGCCGCTAGAAAGATTCGTCCTGCCTCGAACCCAACTGACTCCCTTATCATGGACCATGCCTCGGCTGCACTATCAACTTCTCACAACACCCTTCCCGCATTCGCAAGCCTCTCGCCCAAGAGCCAAGCACCAGCTTCGTTGCCGTTGAACCGCTCAAACAAGCCCAAGCTCACTCTCCCTGCTTTGACGCCTTCGGCATTTGCTCGTCCCAACTTCCCGCAAACTCCTGGAGGAACTCTCTTCTTTGGTGCTCGCGATGGTGCTGCTACAGGCGCTCCCCTCAGCCCTTTCTTGCCACCAACTCCCCTCGTCGCTTCCATGATGGAGGCTGAGCAGGGCAAGCGTCTCGGAGATGCTACCGACTCATCGATGCGTGGCGATGACGCCTCAACGTCTTCCTTGTCACCCCAGCTCTCCAAGGCATCGCTACCATATCCTCTCGCTTCTACTCCTCGTCTGTCCAAGTCTGTCCGTGCTCCTCTTCAGCGTCACGGCTCGCTCGGTATGTCACCCCTCTCAAGGGAGTTTGCAAGCGTCAGCATGCGTGGCAAGTCCAAGAGCAACGAGCATCCTTCGTCATTGGGCTCTCCCATCCCTCGTCGCGCTCAGGAGCTCTCTCCCGGCCGCAACCTTGGCTCGCCTTCGACACTTCTCACTCCTCCCTACTCGCCCCTCACCCTGACCAAGAGCCTTCCCGATGAGGCTTCCGGCATGGCTCAGCGAAGATCGAGCAGCCCGAGCAGCGGTGTCTCCTCATCAAGCAGCAAGAAGCTGCGTGCTAAGGAGAGCCTTCTTGGCGGCGGCGCCGATCTCTCGCGATCCTTCAGTGCCAACCGACTCAAGTCAAGCACACGCACCAAGGCCGTTCCCAAGCCCTTCAACCTTGACAAGGCCTTCCCTTCCGAGTCTCAAACCCTCAATGTCAACGCAACGAGCCCTCAGCCTCTTTCGGCACCTGCCATGAAGATCTCTTTTGCAGACCAAGAGACCGAGATCGAGATTGACCAGCGCATGAGCCCCGAGCCTATGCTCCCTGAGCAAGCTTCCTCGGATGTCGGTGCTGCACCTGTGCCGGACTCCTCGCTACTCTCACCTTGCTCTGCACTCAAGGCACCTGCAATGGAGAAGTCCTTCAGCGCTCCCTTGCCTCCTCCTCAGACCGTCTCAGCTCGTCATCTGGCCGACTACGAGCTCCATCCTCGCTTTGCTTCATCCTACACGCTTGGCGACGAGCTCGGCAGCGGTGGCTTCGGCTTTGTCGTCGCAGCTAAGCGCAACACTGATCGCTTCCCCGTCGCCGTCAAGTTTATCTTCAAGGACAAGGTGCCTGCCCACGGTTGGGTCCGCGACCCGAAGCTCGGCGTGATTCCCATGGAGGTTTTTGTGCTCAAGGTTGTTGACCACCCCGGTGTAGTCAAGTTCATCGATCTCTTCGATGACCGCAACTTTTTCTACCTTGTCATGGAGCATCACGGTACGCCCTGGCAGCCGGCTGCACCTGAGCCCGTTGTACCAAGCAAGGAGCTCCGCCCAGCTGCTATGCAGCGCCGTACCAGCTGCGACTTGTTTGAATGTATCGAGCAGCACTCTCGTCTCACTGAAGAGCAAGCACGCTGGGTATTTGCCCAAGTTGTCGAGACTGTCTGGCACCTTGACCGCATCGGTATCAGCCACCGCGACATTAAGGACGAGAACTGCGTCGTTGACGCCGACTTCAATGTCAAGCTAATCGACTTCGGCTCTGCTGTCATCACCGACGTTCGCAAGCCTCAGCCCTACTTCAACCGCTTCTTTGGCACAATGACTTTCGCCAGTCCCGAGATCCTCCAAGGCAAACCATACCGTGCACCCCAGGCTGAGATCTGGTCGCTCGGTGTTCTCCTTTCCATCCTCCTTTCCGGTCAATGTCCATTCCCAGACGCAGCCGCCGCGATCAAAGGTCGCATAAGCAAACCCAAGGGTGCTTGGTCTGCTGACGCACTCAATCTCCTCCTCCTCTGTCTCGAGGTTGATCCAGAACGACGTGCTACCATCAGCCAGATCCGCGATCATCCTTGGGTTCACCGCGCATGGAAGGAACGCGCTGCTAAACTCAACCAGCCTGCTCCAACTCCCTCTTCCTCTTCCTCTTCACTTTAAAGTACTCTTCTTTCTTATTCTTTGTAATGTTTTGTCGCATCGCATCTGTTCGTCTTTCAGCATCTGCCTTTTTTTGTTTTTTTGTTTTTTTGTTTTTTTGTTTTTTTTTTGCATCCCACTCACATCAAAACGCTCGACTCGACTTTACAAACCTTCGAGTATCTTCAGCGTAGCATTCTCCTTTGCAGCATTTTCATTTTCTTGTTTGTTATGCTATCGTCTTTCCTGTCTCTACACTGTATTACTAGTTCTTCTCGCTCTCTGACTTCACAGACAGACAATGTCGATAGTCGATAAATCTCTTGCTAGCTTCACTGTGCGTGTCTGTGTGAAACAACCATAGGAGGTCAAGCAGGATTGAGCGAATCGTGTCAGGAATCTTAACTTATGGATTGCAACTTACCCTCTTCTGGGAGGGAAAGTAAACATACAAAGTCGGTCGCAGAACAACACGATCTCCCCCATCAGATAAGGATCTTAGATCTGCAAACTAGACAACCCCTTCTGAATACCACCCACCGGCATACCTTTAGCCACACTGAACACGCACAATCTTCCATCGACACCCGAAGTCGACACCTGATCAACACTGCCCTTTGCACCCGAGAAAGGTCTCACACTAGTGATCGTGTTCTGATGCGTAGTGTGTAGTTCACCATCCGCAGCGACGCTTGCACCGGCAACTGCACCAAGAGCTCCAGCTACGCTTCCACCTGCACCACCTGGAGTAGGAGGAGCGGGCGAGCCAGCACCGCCCCTACTATCAGCAGACTTGAATCTGTTGAACGCTTCATTGTTCAACCTGCCTGGACCGGCGAGACCGGGAGCTTTGGGAGGAGGAGGAGGAGGGGCGCCCTTGGAAGCGGCAGCTCCGGCAGCATCGAGTGATTTCACAATGGACCAACCTTGTTGGGCGTCACCTTGGAAAAGGACTGGTTGGCAGTCATGTCCTGCAGCTACGATCTGCTTTTCGCTAACAAAGGTGAGAGTGACGTACGGCAGAGTGGGAGAACGGATGACGTGGACTGCTGCAGGAGGCTGTTCAGGACCACTAGGGTAAACGACAGTAAGGGACGAGTCGTGGCCAACGAAAGCAAGCACATCGCCACTGGGGCTGAAGCTGACTCCGTGAACCCAACCTCCAGCAGGAGTGGAGAACTCTCCGCAAACCGTACCGAAAGGCAACCTCTCACCCCAAACGCTGGGGGGAGGCTTAGCATCAACGCCCTTGATGTAAGCACTGAACACTCTAGCCTTCATATCAGCACATCCAGCAGCCAAGAGCACATTATTCTCGTGCCATTCTATCGAAAGCACCGTAGATCGCAAAGGACGCTTAATGTGCTTGGCAACCCACCAGTCATTATCCTCTTCAAACGAGCAGATACTGATAATTCTTGCACCGGATGCAACGGCGAACTTGTCCTCGTTGGGACTCCATCGTACAAACGTAGCAGCTCTGTTTAGACGTAGGAGCACAAGCGTGGGCTTCCAGACCTGAGCGCCGGCCTGGGAGTCAGGCTGAAGCTGCCAGACATAGGCGTTTCGATCCTGAGAACAGGTGACGATGCGGTTCGACTGAGGAGCCCAGTCGATACCGGTGACGAGCTTGTCGTGTTCAGCAAGAGTATGCTCGAGGGTCCAGCCGGCGGCAGATTGGGCGTAGATGTGGACGACGTTGGAGTTGGGAGAGACAGCGACTTTGGTTCGATCAGCGTTGAACGAGTGCGCCGTGAGTGGGCCGAGGGATAGCTGGTGGACTTGGGTCGCCATGGTGACTTGAATCAAAGAAGTGGTAAGAGAGAAGGTTGAGGTGCTGGAAGGACTAGCAGTCGACTCCCAGATGTAAGGAGAGGAGATGATGTTGAATGGAGGGGGGGTGGAGAAGGATGGACGGAGAAGGATGGATGGAGAAGGATGGATGGAGAAGGATGGATGGAGAAGGATGGATGGAGAAGGATGGATGGAGAAGGATGGATGGAGCGGTGATGTAGCTATCTAGAATCGAGTGCCTTGCTTGCACACGCTCGATTTGGATGGCCCGTGCACACAAACAGACCGTCATCATCGCAGCGCAGGAGGGCACAAATTCTCCACGCGAAACTGCACCTTGTTGGCAAATTCGAGAATCGGCCTCCCGATCTGACATCGGTCAGCTTCACGCGAGATCTGGCTTCTGCACCCATCGGAACCGATAACAGCCTGCAAAGCAATTTTCGAGCTTTCGACTTTCCGACTTTGTTCTAGCCTCATCTTTCAGCGCTGTTGCAAACACCATCATCAGCCTATCACCATCATCACCCCATCACCCCCCTATCATCTGATACAGATCCGCCAACATGGCTTCTGCTGCCCGCATCGGTAGCTCTTTGCGGCTGATGGCTTCTGCTCCCCTCGTTGGCCCATCTCGCAACTTCAGGACTTCCGCAATCGCTTCGGCAGCCGCCAAGAAACCAGCCGCAGTCAAGAAGAAAGCCGTCGTCAAGAAGAAGGCCGCTCACTCGGGACCTCGCTCTACCGGTGGTCGTCGCAAAGGAGGTGCCGATTCCTCTGTGGGCCTTTCCAAGACATCCGAGTTCCACATCGGGTCTCCTGACATGTCGCATCTGCCCCTTCTTCACGCCGAAAGTCTCACCCGCGCCTCTGCCGACCAGACTTTTGCATTCTCCGAGGAGACCCTTTCTGCATTCAAAACCTTCGGATTGCCGCAGGAGCTTGAACGCGAGCTCGCTACACAACCCAAACCTCGCTCCCTCGTCCGACAACAAACCCTCGACGTCCTCGACAAACTCGATGCAGCAGCAAAAGACAACAAAGGAACAAGCATCATTCTCGATGGCAGCCGGGGATCTGGAAAGTCGATGCTCCTGGTTCAATCTATCGCCTACGCTCTTGACGATGGATGGGTGGTCATCTCGGTTCCACGCGCTATCAACTTGATCAACTCGTCAACTTTGTACACCTACAACGCTCAGCACAAGGCATACCTTCAACCTGAAGCGACCAGAGCACTCCTTTCTGCCATCCTCAAGGTCAACAGTGGTGCTTTGAAAACGATCAAGACTACGGAAGCTTTTGAGGTTGAAGGTGAAAAGGTTGAAGCAGGCACTTCACTTGATGTTCTTCTAAAGCGCGGAACGGGGGACTCTTCATCAGCAGCAACAACACAGACCATCCTGGAAGCCACCTTCAAGACTCTCTGCACTCAAACCGAACGTCCCGTTCTAGTAGCTGTCGATGACGCTCAATCCTTGTTCCGAACAACACTGTACAAAGATCCCGATTTCTTGCCTCTGGAATCGTACGAATTGGGTCTTGCTCGTGCCCTTCTCTCCCTGCTCACCTCATCCGCTATCAAGCGGGGTGCCTTCATCTCGGCCCTCTCAACAACGCATACCGAGTTTCTCTCGCCACCTGAACTCCAGATCGCACTTGCAGAAAAGACTTGGTCAAAACTTACGACTCAAGCCGTCAACGCATACACAAAGCTCACACCACAGCATCTCGAACATGCGAGACAGGTGGTAAAGAAGGCCGATGTTGTTGATACGAGTAAGCCACTGTCGAAGCAGGAGGCGGCGGCGATCTTTGCGCAGTTGAAGGAGGAGAGAAGACATTGGAGCGCAGTGAATGATGAGTTGTTTTTGGAGAAGTTGGTCGAGACGAACGGCAACGCGAGGTTGTTTAGTAAGAGTTTGGTTTCGACGCTTTTGTAAGAATGACTTGGACCATTTCATCACTCAGAATAAAGATTGTATTTCTTCTCAACCTGACTTCGAGACAAGGCGAGTTGATGGATGGAACGAAGACCGCAAACCTGAGATCATGTGTTGGTGATGTCGCAGCTCATCAGAGTGTTGGGACAGGCTAGCCACTTGTGATATGATCTGTGAAATCGGGCAGCCATTCCCGAAACACAAAGATGAAGCTGAAGGCAAGGTGGCAAGACGCCTTAAAGTCATTTTCTTTCTCTCTCTCTCTCTCTCTCTCTTTCTCTTTTGTCCTGTCTCATGGCGAATTTCTTCCGATAAGAAAAGGATGCAATTAAGAACGCGCGCCGACAGAGACAGAGCACAGCGCCAGGCAAGCGTGCAAGTGTGTGTTGTCTGTCTGTGATTTGTGTTCTGCGACGCACGCACGCATGCACGCAAAGCAGGCAAAAAGCAGACAAAAACAGGCAAAATGCGCACACACCCTTGCGCAGCCCGACAGCAACACAGCAAAGCAACACAGCAAAGCAACACAGCAAAGCAGCACACACAATCAAGGTTCCACTCTATCACGAACAACACTCAATCTTGTCGTCGGCTTCCAGAGCAGAGCTGAGCTTGATCGAAAGCGATCACATAAGAGGCTTTCGAACGATTTCGACGACCGACTTGAATGCAAAAGCGGTGATAGAAGAGCCAGTGCAGAACTGGGCTACCTAGGCAAGCTGCTTTTGTGGCTTCCTGTTCCTCCATCACATCTCTCATCGTCCGACGCTCGGTCTACCGCACCAAGCTGGCACAACTCAGCTCTGGCATCGCCGTTTCCGATCAGGAGGGATTGATCCCAGGATCGAACTTTCCCACGCCAACTCTCGCCCACTTCGGCAGACCCGAAGTCACCTTGACCGCCTGATTACTGCTTCGACTAACTTGCTCGGCTCGGCCGATGGCCCCTCACCATGGCGGCCATAAGAGCCTCTTCCACCATGCCGGCTCCCAAAGCCAGCACATCATCAGAAGCAGCTCCCTGCTCGGTCCCTTTCAAATCACGCAAGACCGCCTCTTGCTCCTCGGCCGATTATTCTCGCCAATCCTATTCACCCTGGCTCCTCATCGACATAGACGACACCTCATTCCCCTTCATCCGAACCCTTCATACACACCCAGAGGCTCCTCTAGCCAGCGGCTCAACCTCACCAGCAGCATGTAGCACAGAAAAGCTCACTGAATCAACCAACACCACCGCCTCAAAACCTTCGGTCAAGTCCCAAGCGATCAAGTACGAGAATGGTCTCATCGACCCACCGTCAGAAGCAAATGCAGCGCCGCGAGCAGCGGAGAAGGATAGGCGAATGTCACTCTCCCACCACCCTGCACGAGGCGCAAGTACGGCGAGGAGAGGGTTCATGTCAAGGTTGAGAGGCGCAGGTGGAAGCGTCAGTGGAGCTAGCGTGTTTAGTTCACCTAATCCTGCGGCGAATGGAGCTCAAATGTCGTCTTCGGGTAGCTGGAATATGGTCGATCCACCAACGCCTATCAAGGAGCATCCAACGCCGGCAGCGGTCAGTGGAGCGATGACAGTACATCTCGCGTTCACTTCTTCAGCCACAAAGGCAGCGATAGAGAATGCAGAAGGGCTCGTGGCTAGAGCTGCATCCTCAACGCTTCTCTCCGCACCAGCAGCTCAAACAGATCAGCTCAGGCAGGAGTTTCACCGCGACCGGCTTGAGCCCCCAGCCCTAGCTGAGCTAGTAAATCGCGTCAAGCCAGAAGCCATCTTCATCGGCACAGCACACACCGGTTCAATACAGCCCCACATCGAAGCTCTACTCTCCCCACCCTCTTCCTCACTGAAAACGATCTTGCTCGACCCAGTTCTCGTACGAACTCTCACTCCAGCCTCAGCGAGTACGTTGCACGATCTCGCACGATCAAAGCAGATCACAACTTCGCTTCCCATTCGTTGGTCTTCACTCTGGACACCTAACGTGGAGGAAACGCTGTTTGGGCTGGAGCTGCTGCATGAAGTTCAGCAAGAACAAAGTCAATCGCTGGCGAATGGGAACGGAGATGCGAACGCTGATGGGAATGTGGAAAAGAGCTTTGATGTTAGTATGTCGAATATTCCCACTGGGTTGTCGGATAAGAATCTGGTAGAGCTGGGCAGGATGAAGGGCGAGGTGGAGGTGGAGAGGTTCAAGCGAGAGCTCGCAGCAAGAGATGCGAGGATAGCTGGGCTTGCGAAGCAAGTTGAGGATCAGCGAACGGCTGCTGTAGCTGCGAAACAAGTAGTTGACCCAAGGACACCAGATCGTGCTCGAGCAGCACCGACACTAGAACCAATAGCCTCATCAGTAGTTGAAACACCCGTCGCACCCGCACCCGCACCCGCACCCGCATCATCAGTATCAGACGCACTCTCAATCCCAACCACAGCCCAACCATTGGCTTCTCTCTCCCAGCAGCAACGATCCAACACCGCTACTCCAGCCGCAACACTTGCACCAACAAGAACGATAACCACAACTGCCAAAGCCAGCCTTGGCTCGGGACTTGCACTTTCTCCCGCCTCCCAGACCCGCTCTCCCTCTGGAACAGGAAAAGTACTTTCCCACCTCACAACCGAACTTGAGCTGGTGAAAACTCAACTCTCTTCCACTCTTTCCTCCCTCACTCTTGCCCGATCGCAAGGTGCACAATTTCAAGCACAAGCGGAAGAAATGCGTTGCACGCTATCCCGTGCACGACTGGAGAATGATTCTTCTATCACCATCCTCGCCCGCAAAGACCGTCAAATATCTGAAGCACTCGAGCGCGCACGAAAAGCAGAATCCGAAGCCAAGGAACTAGGACGAGCATCACGAGAGTGGGGAACACGAGTTCGCGAGGTAGAAGAAGAATTAGGAAAGGAAAGAATTAAAAGAATGAGGGCCGAACAAAGTTATGAAGCACTAAGTTCCGAGTGGAAGGGTGCTAGGGATCGATTAGTAGGCGAGGTGCGAGAATTGAAAGAGCAACATGTGAAGAGTGTTACTCAACTTTCTAAAGAGTATGAGAAGGTTCTTATTTTCAAGGATCGATTGAAAGAAGAGTTCGGATATACAAAAGGCAACCATGCATCAGGATCAAGCAAAATGATCGAGGAAATCAAAGGGTTGAATGCAAAGATGCAAGCTTATCTCAACCAACAGTTGCAACCATTACTGGAGAGACAAAAGGCGTTGGAGAAGAGAGAAAGTCAAGAGATAGTGGAGAGGTTAAAGTATCTAACTGATGAGTTGACGAGGTATAAGACATTGATGCGAAGCGGAGACGTTACTGATGAGAGTCAAGTTCCTCCATTGAAGGAGGAATGAGCGGATCCTAGCATCGCATTGTACACTTACTCTTTCTCAATTGCAATTCCTCTGTGAAATCTCATATGGAACGTGTGTCTCAAGGCCTGTGTCAACATACATTGCTAAGGATCATATCGAGAGGGAAAAGTTACACAAACTCGCCGAATCGCAGAAACGGCAAGGTGAGAAACACTGAAAAGACACAAAGCAGCTTATTTTACATGGATCAGAAGACAGTTCGGACAGGCGAGATATTGCCCTTAACAGCTGAGCTCTGTAACTTTTTTTTTTGTTTTTTTGTTTTTTTTTGTTTTTTGTTTTTTTTAGAAAAAAAAACCTTTTTCGACTAGACTTTCGAGCCGACCAGAAGATGAGACTGCTCTTTAACTTGGCAATACTTAAGGCGCACCACCTTGTGCCAGCCTCATCTTCTCCTGCTCCAAACGCTGATAAAGCAGACTAACAGCCATCTGAATGTTGGGCGGAGGACCAGTAATGGTGACCAGCCTCTCATTACCTCCACCACCTGCAGCAATACCGGCACCAGGTTCCATAATTTTGATTTGACTCGCAGACATGCTTCGGATCTCGTTGATCTTCGAGCCTCCCTTGCCGATGATGCAACCAACAAGATCGTTGGGGATGAAGATTTGTTGGGTTTGGGAGCCGGGTGGGAGTTGTGGTGCACCTGCACCTGCGCCTACTGCGGGAGCGGCGGCGCCAGCGAAGGGTGGAGCATGGGCGCCGTAACCAAAGGGCTGCTGGGCAGCCGCGTAGGGGTTGGCGGGGGCCGGTGGACGAGTGGAGGGTCCACCGGCAGTGGGACGGTAAGCAAGGTTGTTGGCGTTACGGTCTTGGTGTTCCAGAAGGATGGTACCGACGTAGTAGACTGCAATGTGGACTGCATCCGCGACACCAGAGATAGACAGGACACGTTCCGTGGAGCCTGGAAGCATGGCTTCACCGGCAGTCAGGCGGGCACCGGAGGCTTCCTGGATCTCTTTGATCTTGGAACCTTGCTTGCCGATCACGGAACCCATGCGCGAGTTGGGCACGATGAAACGGATGGTGACAGACTTGGAACCGGGGACCGAAGGCTGGTCAAATGGCTCGTCATTGATTCTTCTAACGATGAGACCGAAGGCCTGGCGTACGCAAGGCAAGAGAGAGAGAAAATAACACAAGTCAGTTGGGCGTTCTACTTGTCGAGCTGACAAGTTTCGAGGTGTGAGACTTGAGGGTTTGAAGGACTTACCTTGCTGACAGCATCGAGGGGACCGGAAACCGTCAAGATGCGCTCAGGGTTGCCAGGAATGATCTCGCTCTATGAGAGGGATGAGGGAGCAAAGGAGACACGATCCAAGTCAGTATGCGATAACTTTGGGTGGGCTGCAGACTGAAGCTTGGATGGTGGCAGACTTACAATGTTGAGACGTGCATTGCTCTTGTCACGGATCTCGTTGATGTGCTTGCCGGACTTGCCGATGATGATACTGGCGTCGCTGGTAACAATCAAGGTTCGCATCGAGATCTGAGTGGCCTGTGTTTCGGAAGAGTCGCCAACGCTACCGGCGGCCTGGTCACCATCAGCGCCATTAGAGACGGAACCGTTGTCGCCTTTGACGTCGCTGCTGGAGGTTGCATCTGCGGTGAGAGCGGAGCCAAGGTCGACAGCGTCCTTCTCCTCCTTGGTTGGCTTGGTCGAAGCGTCTGAAGCCATGTTGTCAGCAGTGGTGTGATGGGTGTGGTCAATAGGGGAGCCCGGGGCGTCGTCGTCGTCGTCGTCGTCGTCGTCTTCGTTCTCAAGCTTGACTTGATCTTTGTCGTCGTTGTCCGTGTTCTCGCGCTGGACTTGTGGGAAAGTATTGTCGGTCTCTAGGTTAGGACGTTTTGCTTCGGGTTGAGGAGTAGTAGATGAATCTCGTTGACGCTTGACAACTTCTGACATGGTGTGAAGAGGAGGAGGGATTGGAAACCAAAGAAGGGATTGAGTTGATCAGTATTGGCAAACCAGCCTTGTCGAGGCAACAGTTGGAGGAGTTTGAGGAAGAAGGATGGAGGTGGTGGGGTTTGTGCGGGTTGAGGAGGTCCTGAAGGATGGGAAGTTGTGAGATTGGAAGTTGTGTGATTGGATTGGAGAAAGGGATAGCGTACGACTGTTGGAGACAAGCACCAGCGAAAGGGTGCGGAAGGGTTGGTGGTGGAGAGGAGGGTAGATGGGAAGGTTCAGCAACTGAGGGAGGGGGAGATATAGGAGGAAGGATTACAGGGCGACCTTATCGGCAAGCTTGAGCAGCAAGAGTCGAAGCGGAGCTAATTGCAGTTGTCGCTACCATCGATATCGATGGTGACTGGGCCAGTGATCGACTGGAAAGCGGTGTGTTGCGGAAAGCTGAGGCGGTGCGGGCGATGGGGAAAGAAGAGGGCGCGAAGAAGATGCGGAAAGAGAACTTACCTTGTGAACAAGTTGCTACGGGTATGGAGCAGCGATTGCAATACAGGATGAAGCTATGATAAAGCCTGAGCAAGCTTTTCGTTCGTGATGGATGGCAGTCGAGAGCGAGTGACTTGGGTGGTGGATAATCAATGTATAAAACAGGTGCCGGGAAAGGACAAGTGCGGAAGCTAGAGGCAATCTGTTTGTGCGTGCGGATGGGGTTGGTGAGGGTGAGATTGAATACGATGACTGGTGACTGGTGACTGGTGACAAAAGAGACCGATATGGAGAGGTATCGAAGAGAAGCCTAAAGAGGCGATATATGAAAAGAAAGTAGGATGAGAGATGATGGATGTGGAAGCGGAAAAAGGAGCAACAAGGTAACGATGAGGTGGAGATGTGGAAAACAAGGCTCGCTGGCTCTGCGCGGTCAACTGAGGAGCAGCGAGAAGACCAAAAGGAAAAAAGAAAAAAAAAAAAAGAAAAAAAAAAAGAAAAAGGAAAAAGGAAAAAGGAAAAAAGAAAAAGGAAAAAGGAAAAAAGAAAAAGGAAAAAGGAAAAAAGAAAATGCGGTGGAAGGAAGCGTCTGTTGTGAATTGACCCACCTGAATCAGGCTGACGCATTGAAAATTGAGCAAAATGTGCGTCAGTTCTTCTTCTGGTTCGCTGGAGCGTCGGGTGATCGCGTAAAGACAAGATGGCAACTGTGTGGTTCACTCTCAGAACTCAACAGCGATCTACTGCAGCATTGCATCGCTCTCACAAACCTCTCTCGTAGCACGATCGGACTTGCACTGATCATCAATTGTCGGCATTACCGACTAGAAAGACGGCAACAGAAGATTCTTTCTCACACCTCTCTGGCTGTGAGAAAGAATCTCAACGTCTGAGCCCCACGGGACTGCCGTAAAGACTCAAGACAGCAATGCTGCCTTAAGCAGGCTGAAAGCAAGCTCGACAGCTATCGGAGAAACCGAGCCGATATAGATAAATTCGACGAGGCGTGGGAGTCTTTTGTCGGGACCCTTCCGAAAATCGCAACACAATAGCCTCAATAGCCTTAATAGCCTTAATAGCCTTAATAGCCTTAATAGCCTTAATAGCCTCAATAGCCTCTTTAGAGCTTTCCAACCAGCCTTGACCCGTACTTACCTCCTACTTATCGGCTTTGTTGGAATCGTATGATTGGCGAGAGAGTGGTTGTTGCTGCTAAAAGTACAAGACCCTTCAAAGAAAGGCAAAAGAGAAAGGAAATGCTTGTTGTTTCCAGAGCCCTTGCGATCCTATCTTCGAACGGCAGGTCGTGCGCTGGGACCACCGCTGGTTGGACCTGTAGATCCTCCTCGTCCACGCCGCGCTTGCGCTGTCATCATCAGAGATTGCATCGTCAGCCAGATCCATTCAACCAACCATCTACTCCAAGATGGGGAGGAGGAGTGCTTACCTCGGAGGATAGTCGCTCGGCCACGAGCACTTCCGATACCACGGCCTTTCATCGCATTTGGTCCGATACGTTTGAACATGGGCGCTTGTTGCAGCATATCTGGCACAATGATGAATCGAAGCATGTTGCCCCTAATGTAAATGTTTTCCAGATGCGATTGCTTGCCATCCGGTGCTGTCGCTGTAACATCCTTCATTGCTACGTTGAAGCTGTCCTCCGCTGTCAGCACCGATCATGGACAGAAAGCAAAAAGGAAAAAAAAAGGAGAAAAAAAAAAAAAAAAAAAGCGTCAGCCGTCCTGCTAACCTGGGATCGTTTTGGCGAGAGTTGTGCTACTTACCATCGTAAAGAGTGCCGCGATAGCAAGCGCCGCCCTTGAGCTCGACCGTAATGACATGGCCAACTGCCTCGTGAATGAGCTTGACTGGGATCCCGATTGTCCCCATCTTGTCTCCTTATCTCTTCGCTTTCCGTGTGTCCGACGGTCTGTGAAAGTTGAAAGCGGATGGCGACCGAAACGCAAAGAGGCGGAATGCTTTCTTCCAGCTTTTTGACGTGTCAAGCAACCCCCGAATTCCGAGCGTATCCAAAGGTTCACCCCGATTTGATTCTTCCCGATTTGATTCTTCCCGATTTGATGGATTTTTAGATCAATAGGCAAGCCGACAGAGAGAGAGAAAGCGTGCGTGTTCGAACACAGAAGGCACGGAACTGGACAGCTGACAGTTGATCCATCGTCACCCGCCTCGCCCTTGACCTCTCTCCATCATCCATCCTCAGCTTTTGACTCGATCGTCGATCCCACTACTTTGATCGCTCACAAGCAGCTCACTTTAAGGCATAGGCAAGGCATATCGCAACCATGGCATTCTATAACGCAGGCCCGCTCTCCCCAGGCCACAACTCCACTTCGGCTTGGGGCGGTACCGATACTGCCGAAGAAGATCCTTGGGCTGCTCCTGGTGCCTCCTCCTCCTCCTCCTCCTCCTCTGCCACTGCCAGCGCTGTTCCAACCGCAACTTCTTCCACCAGCTTCGCAGCTTCCCCGCCTGGTGCTTTCGCATCTTTCTCGACTCAACATCAACAGCAGCAGCAACGTCAGCAACCAGGCTCCTACTTTGGCGGTGCAAGCTTAGCGCAGGAAGCAGATCCCTACGACCAAGACACAGGTTTTGGCAGTGGGCCAGCACTGCAAAGGGCTGATTCAGGCTTTGGAGCAAGTAATGCCAATCAATACCGTGCAGCATCGGCGACCGCCGCAGGTATTACCCAATCTCAGCATTCGAACGCACACTCTTCTCCCAGCACGTACGGCTCAGCTATCAGCTCCATAGACCAGCATCCTTCTTCTCAGAAGCATCAGCAGCAGCAAATCACTCCTGCCTCTCCCCAACCACAACCACCTCAGCAGCAAACCGGAGCATTCCCATCCAACATCAACGTCAACCAACCCACCACCAACCCTTCCACCTCGGCCTCCCGCTTCCAATCTCACACACCCTCCACCCTCCTTCCAAACGAACACTCCTCTTTCGCCCCTCAATCATCCACTCAATCATCCACAGGTGCCGCTGCTCCCCGCCAACTCACCCCAGGCTACCCACTCCCATCCTCCAACTATACCATCCCTTCCTACTCCCCCTTCGCCCGAGTCGATTCCCTCTCCACCCCACGCCGCGAAACGATGCAAGACATGTACGGAGTCCCCGAAAACTTTCTCGAGGTCGAAGTCCGAAACCCACTCACTCACGGCGTAGGTCGGAAAATGTACACCGATTATGAAATCATCACCCGTACAAACATCCCTGCTTTCAAGCTGAGGTATTCCTCAGTGAGGAGAAGGTATAGCGATTTCGAGTACTTCAGAGATATTCTCGAAAGGGAAAGTACAAGGGTCAACATCCCTCCACTACCAGGCAAGGTTTTTACGAATAGATTTACAGATGAAGTGATCGAGGGGAGAAGGGAAGGATTGGAGAGATTTTTGCAGGTGGTCGCAGGTCATCCACTGTTGCAGACCGGAAGTAAGGTCATGGCGGCCTTCTTGCAGGATGCTGGTTGGAGTAAGGATCAGTGGTTGTAAGACCAGCGCACAGTGCCAGCATGCAGAATTCTGGCACCCTTTGCTGTATAATGTGCCCAGTAGCCAGCAAGGTTTTCTTTGATTCCGCCTAGCACCAAGTCTATCGTCTTTTCGCCTTTGTTCTTTCACTTTTAGCACACATCTTTCATTTTCAATTCATTTATCAGCAAGACACACAAGCTGGCGAAAGACGTCGCATGACGACAAGCATCTCACAGGCTCACTTGACGACAAGCATCTCACAGACTCACTTGACGACAAGCATCTCACAGGCTCACTTCACTCCCCAGAAACACATGACTGCATTCTGATAAGACAACACATGGCAAACTGTCAGTGTAGTATTGAGCCCTCAATCCGAGTCATCGACAACGATAACGTCAACCTTGTCCCCCTTCGTTGGACTGACCGACTTGCTCCCGCCTCTCCTCTTCACTTCGGCCTTCTTCCTCCGTGGAGTGGAAGTATCTAGTTCAGGTTCGGATTCTGTCTCGCTCCCCATCTCCTCCTCCTCCTCCACCTCTTGCGCTACCATTCTTGTGTCTTCTTCCATCTGCCCTCCTGCGACCGTTGCTCTTTGCAGCTCTTCAGAATCAACGTCCATCTCTCCCTCCCCTGCTCCCTCCCCTGCTTCCTCCTCATCTTCCTCTGACGCAAGAAGATCATAAACGCTGTCAATCTCGTCCGGACTTAGAACGATATCTGCCAAGTCACCTGCTACGTCCGCAATCGCTTCGAGTAGCATCGACACCCTGTCCAATCCTTTGATTTCGTTTTGTAGCTCTTCCGCTAATCTTTCTGCCTCCGGCTTGTGGGATGAGTCGGTCTTGCGGCGTAGATCAGTGAGAAGGCAAGAGAGTAGTTTTCGCTCAGGACCAATCCAATCAGGTTCGCTACAGAACGCAACCCTCGATAGGGCTACAACAAAACTTTGCCTAATCCCATTCAACATACTATACGTCTCCGGTTGATCGAGCTTAGTTGCTAACGAGATCGGGCTCATCCTCTGCTCGCCTGCACCTTGCTCGAACCTTGTATCAGCGGGCAAAGGCAGCGGGTAGTTGTAGAGCAAGTTGAGAAGTCTCGTATCCATGACTATCCTTTCTGTTACCTGCACAATATCCGCTCCTGTCTGATCTACTTTTTTATCCGAGCCTGACTTGTATGTAGAATGACAATGGGGAAGGAGAAACGACGGTCGACTCTTCAACCAAAGAAAATCCGAATCCAACGACAAACACCTAATTAGCGCAGCCAAAAGTGCTGCACTGTCAGCTAACACCACCAGTGTGTCTGCGCACTTGAGCGCTGCTTGGCTGAGAAAGGTCAAGATGGCACAATGTAAAGGATGCCATTCTGTTTGGGGTCGATCGAATCTTCTGTCCACCAAATGTTTGACCAAAAGCTCGAGAACAGGGAATCGTGTCTTGGCTCGCAACCCGTGACTCGCGCTCCTACTTGTTGCCGTAGTATCAGCTTTAGACGCAAGACATTCGTGAACAAGTGGTGCGTTGGACACCATCGAACTGAGCATGCGAACAATACACCCAATCACATGACTGCTCCGATCAGGATGTAACAGCTTATGCAACACTCCTGGCCTTGCAAGCAACCGCAAAGGATGATGAGCGCAAGCAAGACTAGCATCTGGATACCGCGACATAGCTTCAAGCACAGACACTGCTGCTAAGAGTAAGTCTTCTCGTGCATCCGAGCTTAGCTTCCACTCGCACATCGCATCATCATCTCCGTGTGATGGCCGACAATCATGTATACACTGAACCAAAATCTCCCTTATCTCAATCGGCGTTGTCCATCCCCCGCACCTCGCTTGCTCATCGCCTGTCTGCCCCGCATCAACCTGTAAAGACTGCAAATCCATCCAAAACCTCGGCACCAAGGCCACCAAACAGCCAACCAACCTCAACACATCCACTAACAAATCCGTCTGACACAACCTCAACAATAACCCTCCCATCGCCATCAGACTCGAAGCTATCGCGTGCGAGAGATGCATGGTGGCAGAAGAAAAGTCTACTTCTTCGGCATTACCTTGGACAGAGAGAAAATGGAGAGCATCATTGCGTTCTTCCCGTTCCATGACTTTAGCGCGACCAAGGCTGGTGAGGAGAGATTCGACTGCGTGGCGATAGCGGGAAACGAGGGGTTTAGGGCAATCGGAAGGCAGATTGGCCGAGATGAGACGGCTGAGTGTGCCATTGCTTGACAAGGAGTCATCTGAGGGGGAAAGGGGATGTGAGCCGGTAGGGTTGAAGCGGTTGGTGGGGTAGGAGGTTGGAGCGGCAGCTGGAGGGGAAGCATGGCTGAGGAGGAGTGAGACGATTGTGGTACGACGATCGAGCATTTCGGATACTGCTGCAAGGTAATTATGCTCCATTTGATTCAGGCGTTCGAGTTCGGGACGAGGTGAGAGTTGATCTTGCTGCCCTGCAGGAGACTTGTGCGTGGGACTGTGGTCATCAGCCATAACAACTTGATCCTCATCGCCCATACCCGCTTCCATCGACTGATCCGCATCCCAATCTGCCGGCGCCAACGTCCTACCCTTGTTTGCACTGCCATCCACTGCCATCGTCTTTGTTGGCGACATCCTCTGCTGCTGCTGATGCTGCCTAAGCTTGTCCTGCACAGGTGCAAAATCAGCAAAAGAGTTTTGCAACCCTTTAAAAGCCTTACTCTTCCCCCCCGACCTCGTCCCCATGGTAGGAGGTTTGGGAAACTTGCTGGCACCCTTCACGGCCGATCTAGACGGCGTCCCCGGCTCCTCCCTATCTGCCACATTTCCATCATATCTCTGTCTACTCCCCGAACTTTCCCCACTCCCCCTCACCCCAAACCTATTCTGCTTGGTCGGAGTAGTCAAGCCAGCCCTGACTTGACTCTCCTGCCTCCTATCCACCACCACACTACCCAAGCCAATAGGCGGCAACCTGGCTACGCTAGAGGGCCATATCCGACGGCTGGTATCTTGTTCTACCCTTCTAAACGCAGTTTCGGTCTCGAGCCGTTGCAATCGTTGCTCCTGTTCTTTCCGCAGGTTCTCGATTGCAATCTTGTGATTTCGATCGCTTGCAGCTTTTCGCTCGCGTAGTTCGATGTTCTCTTGGTTGAGCTTGTTCAAGTTTTGACGGACGACAGCGACTTCACCGGATTTGCGATAGGCTTCTTGTTTGAGCTTGTCGACAATCTCTTGTTGAGCTTTTTGTGCGCTGCGGAGTCTCTCTACTTGGGCTTGGAGCTTGGCGAGCTCGCCGTTGTCCGCTGCATTATGGGTTGTTGCTGCCGGTAGTGGTGGTGGCTTGGTATCTGGCGGTTTGTGTGATGTGCCTACTGAGTTCTGCCGTTGATGCTGCAGCTGAGATGGAGGTAGTTGTTGAGACATGCGAATCGCTTCTTCCTCGACTTGATCGAGTGCATTGTTGCCTGCCCACCATTGTTCGTCGTCGTTGTCGCCAGACTCGTGCTCGCGAAGATCTCGCACAATCACTTGGTCTACCTCCAGCTCACGCTGCCTTGGTGGAGCGGCGGTGACACGGCCGAAGCTGGAAGGTCGAGGATGCAAACGCTGCTTCTTCGCAGCAGGTTCAACGAATGTGCCTTTGCGAATCGCGGAACGAGACCATGGTTCGCCAGCATCGAGTCTAAAAGAGGAGTTCGAAGCTGGAGCTGCCGCTGCGGCGTAGGGCGTGCAGCATTGTTGGACTGCTTGCGAAGCGGTATATGTTGCCTCTGCGTGTGCGAGGCTCTCCTCCAACTCTGGATCGAGAAAGTGCTGATCATCGAAGAGAGAGTCGAACTCGTCGTCGTCACCGTCGAGGCAGTGAGCCGTTGCAGACATGCCTGCGAGCTCTTCCCCACAGTGTCGATGAGAGACGATAAGAGTTGTTGGTTGATGGCTGCATGCTGAGCTCGCCAGTTGGTGTTGATATCAAGACTGGGTGGAGCAACACTTCTGGCCAAAGTTCGGAACTCGGGCCTTTCTTTTTCCATTTTCTTTTTTCTTTTTTTCTTTTTTTCTTTTGCAATTTAATTTTGATTTGTCGTGTCTTAGTCATCTTGTTTGCCTCAGGCAAGCGAACAGAAGGAGAACGCGTAAAGCACAAACACAAGAAAATGAAATCTCACATTTTTCAGCACAGACCCGTTCAAGCTGAGCTCATTGCAACCTCACCACCACCATCATCCTCGCTCTCTCCATCCCCCCCCTACCCGCAACACAGGGCTTAGTTTAAGATGGGCATCAAGGGACTCACAGCACTCATCTCGGACGAAGCGCCCGGCGCAATCCGAGAAATGGAAATCAAAACCTACTTCGGTCGAAAAGTAGCCATCGACGCTTCAATGTCTCTCTACCAGTTCCTCATCGCCGTACGTCAAAACGATGGACAACAGCTCATGACCGAATCCGGAGAAACGACTTCCCATCTCCTCGGCTTCTTCTACAGAACACTTAGGATGATCGACTATGGCATCAAACCGATGTATGTTTTCGACGGAACTCCTCCCGATCTCAAAAAAGAGCTTCTTCAGAAAAGGTTCGGTCGTCGAGAAGAGGCTCGTGAACAGCAAGAAGAACAGAAAGATGTTGCCGATGTGGAAAAAATGGATCAATTGGCTCGACGACAAGTCCGCCCCACGAGACAGCACAATGAAGAGGTCAGACATTTGCTAAAGCTAATGGGTATCCCCTGTGTCATTGCTCCATCGGAAGCAGAGGCTCAATGTGCCGAGTTGGCTAGGGCAGGCAAGGTGTACGCAGCGGGAAGCGAAGATATGGACACACTCACATTCGGCACTCCTATCTTGCTCAAGCATCTGACTGCGTCGGAGCAGAAGAAGTTACCGGTGCATCAGGTGGATCTACCCAAGGCCTTGGAGGGGTTGGGGATGGATATGGCTCAATTCATCGATCTCTGCATTCTTCTCGGTTGCGATTATCTCGATCCCATCAAAGGCATCGGGCCGAAAACAGCGCTCAAGCTGATCCGAGAGCACAAGACATTGGAGAAGGTAGTCGAGCATTTCAAGGAGGAGGCGAAGAAATCAGTCCAGATTCCAGAACACTGGCCGTTTCAGGAGGCGAGGAAGATCTTTGAGAATCCGCATGTACAAAAGGGGAAAGATTTGGATTTGAAGTGGGAAACACCGGATGTCGAAGGAATGGTTAAGTTCCTTTGTCAGGATAAGGGATTTAGCGAGGATAGGGTGAGAAAGGGGTGTGAGAAATTGCAGAAGAGTTTAGGTCAGAAACAGCAGGGAAGACTCGACGGTTTCTTTACTGTCAACCGCGAGGGAGCAGCACCGAAGAGGAAAGCAGAGCAGGACAAGAAGGGCGCTAAGAAGAAGGGTAAGAAGTGAAACACACACACACACACCTTCTTCATCTCTTGCACGCTACGATACCACATTCTTCATCACACACACAGTCTCTGAACACGCAGCGACGGCGAAGCTCTACTACCACAAACGCAGAGTTGATCGAGCAAGCGAGCAAGCTAGCGGTCCCCCTCTTCCGAAGACCACGACCTTACTGATAATTGCAGAGGACCTACTAACTTGCGAATGCAGCTCGGCCATGCATTAGTTGCTACAACCGTGCTCCCGCTTAGCACAAATAGACAACTTCATCGACCAACGCGATATCTTCCCCGCAACACCTCTGACAGGGATAAGAACTACATCAAGTTGGATTGAAAAGCGAGAAATGGTTGTGATGGATTATACACGACTGGCGACCCAAATGGCACCTCTACAACCAACTGCGATGAGGGCACTTAAAAGAGCATGACCAGCGGCTTGCTGACTTTCGTTCTGGACGGCAGTATCCAAATGTTGCAATTCATCATCTCTAAACTCCTTGATGATGCCACTCAGCAAGGGTAAGGAATCATGTACTTGTTCTTTCTCCAAGATTGTCTTGAGCTCATTTAATTGGTCGTCGTAGTGTTCTCCAATAACGCTCTCGACTGCTTCTGTACAGGCCATGGCACTTCTGGGTCCCAATAGCGCGGTAAGACCACCCAGCGCCCTGCCGGCTGCTGACCAGAGGGGTAGAAGAAGCGACGGACGGACATTGTGTTGACGCAGAAGTGCACGCATGACTTGGAGATGTTTCTTTTCCGTTTCCCACATTTCCTTTGCCATCTCCCTGTTTTTGGTGTCACCGAGTGCACCGAAGATGTCTGCTTGACCTTGGTAGATGGTGTTTGCTGCGATTTCGCCTGAGTGGTCAACGCGGAGCATGTCGACTAATGCACGGCGTTGGGATGGGGTCAGGGAGGCGAGAGAGGGAGTCGAGGTTGTTGCTGCACTCTCTTGCTTCGCTGGAGAGGTGTATGCATCGGAAGCAAGAGGACCAGATGGGTGCGACGAGTGCATTCGCACTTGTTGGCCCAATGAGAACTTGGGTAAAGTCGTTCTTCGGGTGCAAGTCGAATAAGTTCTTCTCCAAGTTGGCCATGGCGCACTAGAAGCAGAGGTAGCCGTGGAACCAGCTTGACGCATAAATGCGTTCTTAACAAACCCTAACTCATTGATCACTTCCAACGCGGTACTCCTAGCCCAAACGACTCCTCTACCCATTGCCTCTTTCGCTGCGGTTTTCACCAAGCCATCCCTTTCTCTCTGCGCCATCCCACCATCAGCCTGCTGACTGAGTGGCACCGGTGTAGCGGCATAGAGCCAATGCAAGTGATCGACGGCAGAAATCATCTTTTGGTTCTCCCAATACCTTTGCCTCGCGTACCCCTTCAAGGCATTGTAACTGCCCACATCTGCTCCTGCATCCAAGGCCTTGCTCAACGTCTGTGAAAGCGCTCTTACATCCGCAAGACCCAAATTCAACCCCTGCCCAGCCAAAGGATGGATCGTATGAGCCGCATCGCCCACCAACACCGTCCTTGCCCTCCCTGACCCCTGCCCAGCCAAAGGATGGATCGTATGAGCCGCATCGCCCACCAACACCGTCCTTGCCCTCCCTGACCCCTGCCCTGCACCCTGGGGCGCTAGGCCAAGAGCTGCCATCGCTCCAACCAAAAATCCAGAGGGCAACAAGGAGGAGCTGTTCAACGAAGCCCCCAAATACGCATCCGCATGTTTGAGGTTCAAAGGGAAACTGGCAACACTCTTAACATCAATGCTCCCGATCTTGGGCGGTACTTGACCTGTTCCACTTTCTGGTAAAAGAAGACCGAGGCTCTGCTCTGCCCACTGAGCTTCGGTTGGGATCTCGGAATTGAGCCAGCTCCAATCGCGTTTTTGACCTTCGGCCAACGGGTATCGAGTGTAAGCCTTTACTCTTTCGAAGAGCCTTTCGATGTGAGACCAGGGTAAACGGAAAGCTGCATCGACCAACCTCGCTAGAGGCTCATCTACAGAGCCGGCGGTATCACGATGCAACTGGGTCAAGGCAGTGGCTACTTGCGGTTCTAATGTCCAAACCATCGATCCGCTTGAATGGCTCAATGGCAAAAAGGCGATCGTTCCACTGGGCAAGAACCTCTGATATGCCGTATTTCCCACCATCGGCTCGCCACTCTCTAGCCCCTTACACCTGAGAGTACCGACGAAGCCCTTGCTGTTATAAGGCCAACCATAATCACCAATGCCAGCATACTTTCGAACGGGCGAATTAGGTCCATCTGCACCAACGCACAACCTTGCCTGAACAGCATCTCCAGTACTCAACTGCACGAGTGGCCATGGATCTTGCTCCACCGCTTCGCTGTCTGCTTGGATCTTGGAGCCGGGAAGGATAGAGTCCACTTTGGCACCATGTTTGATAGAGCAGATGTTCTTGCCGGGCCCCTGTTCGAGGAATTGCAGCATAGCTTGTTGGAGGTTGGAAATCTCGACCATCACGCTGATCTGAGAAGTGGAGCTAGGGCTGGAGGAAGAGCAAGAGGAAGAGGAAAAGTCGGAAGAATCAAAATCGAGTAGAGCGCCTGAAAGACCATCCCAAACACGCATAGAGTTGATCGATCGCAGCCGATGTTCGACGAGATAAGGGTAGACACCGAGGCGTTTGAGCCAGTTGAGGTTTTCAGATGTGAGGGAGATTACTCGGTTCTCCCAGTCCAAGTTGTCGGACAAAGGTGGTGCAGAGGAGGATGAGAAGGAGGAGGAGGAAGATGCTTGCTGGGAGGAAAGGTATTTTGCTCGATCGTCTGCCCAAGTGCGTAGGCTTGAAAGGTCGGATGCTTCGATGAGAGTGATGGGGTTGAAATTGGGGGTTGAGGAGGGGTTGAAGGATTTGGAGGCGACGAGATCGCAAGCTAGACCGAGACCGACGACCCCACCGCCGACAATGACAATGTCTGAGTCAATGTGGTGAGATGTATTCGGGAGGGCGGTTGAAGTGGCCAGCTTGCGACTTGAGGAAGGTGTGGCTGCGAAGATCAGACGAGATGGACGAGCTACTGCGCTGGCAGGGGAGATTGTAGCTTGGGTTGCAAGTCGACGTGATTGTATTGTCGAAGCCTTGACTGCTGAAGCAGGGGCAGCAGGGCGACGAGGAGCGGATAGCGACTTACTCGCAGCAGCGGTAAGAGGTCTCGTCGTCAAAGTGGTTCGTGTAAGCTTCGACATGGTGATGGTTGCCGATACAAGCACTGTGGTTGGGATGTGATAGATGCTAGCTATGTATGTGGATGCGGGAAGGTCAAGATTGTGTTCAAGAGGAGAGCAACAGCTTGGAAAGAAATGGCAAATGCCAAGGCTGCTGATGAACTAAGCCATGCTTCTGAGGCGCACAAGGTGGAGGCTAAGCATCTTGAATTGTCATGCTGAGGTAATTTTGGGGCTCCAATCGCCGATATTTTGCTGGAACACTTTCGCACGAGAAATAATTGGGCCTTGAAATCCGAAGCCGAATCTGGAAGAAAGGCCGGCTTTATGGAGAGAGAGATGCGATTCTGGCTATAGGGCCTGAGTTGCGGTGCATAGAAATCGCTTTCAGCGCAGTTCAATCTCGGTCGCAGCTTTTTATTGCAGAGCTCTCAACGAATATTCTCTTCTCTCTACAAGATGAAATTGCTGTTACCCTGTTCGATGTGGAGAGGCCTGGCCCATGACTTGCTGAAGGTTACAAACCAGGATGATGCTAAAAGATGACATGAGACGATATGTTAAGAGATCGGGCAGGGCAGAGATAGTGAGAGATCGGGTATCGCCCGATCTAGTTCGAGGCGAGACTTGATTTCGTGGGGCTCGTCCTTTTTATCATGACTCTGTGCCGCCAGACGCTGGATTTCGATGGAATTATTCGCCAATTTTCGATGATTTTCCTCTGGAATTTGGTGAGGTGCAGAGAGCACTACAGCAGTCTTTGCAATGAGGTGGGGGGGAAATGGCGTCAAGTGGAGGCAAAATTGGGTAAAGAAATGCTCAAAAATTGAAAGCTGTGCTCATGTGCCCTAACAGCCCGAAATCGAGGATGATTTTCCAGGCGGATTTTAGGGAAAGGAGTCACGCGCCGGCCCCTCTGCTCAAGTGCCAGCCCTCAAGATTGATCATGTCAAGTGCGTCAACGCGACGCCCGCTTTGACTGTTCTAGTGCGCGCGCACTTGGAGGTGACTCCCCCTGCGCTTGGACGATTTGAGCTCGAGATCGAGATTGCAGGCGAAATTGCAGGCAAAAATTGCAGGCAAAAATTGCAGGCGAAATTGCAGGCGAAATTGCAGGCGAAATTGCAGGCGAAATTGCAGGCGAGTTTTAGGGTCTTTTCTTGCCGCAACTTTCATTTCCGTCGCCACTCAACTTGAACACTGCTCAACAACAGCAGCACAGCACAGCACAGCACAGCACAATCAACTGAGCCACAAAACTGAGCCACAAAACTGAGCATCGAAACTGAGCATTTGCTGCGCTCCGCCCTTTGGTCTGCCTGGCAGTTGCTCCTCCTCCTCCATCTCGACTTCTCACCACCACCCGCTGTAGTCGTCATCCTTCTTCCCATCTTCAACTACGCTCAACGCTCAGTATCACGACTCAGCCACTCGACATCATCAGCATAGCACCGACTTCAACAGCTCACACGAGGCACGCGCCCCAACCTCTAGGCTCTTGGTATCATTGTCGTCTTTCCTAGTCGATCTGCCAACCCGATCTCACGCTCAGTAGTTTTCCACATCCAGTCGGCCATTCATCCTTCCTCCTCGTCATCTCTATCCCCTTTGCATTGCCACCACTCAGCCTTTCACGTCCATCGCTCGACGCCAAGGCTGAGCAACTCTGCTAGTCTCTTCCTAGCTCCTGACCCTCAGTCTCGTCACTTTGCACTCAGCCTGCTGTTTTGACTTTCTAAGCCACCAACACAGACATACTCTTGAACTCACACACACACACACACACACACACACACACAATGATCTCCCATGTCGTCCGCCCTTCGTGGCGACTCTAAGTAACGTCTTCTGCATCATACAAACATTGTTCAAGCTCCCCCTTTCCACCTTTCTTGATCGGCTCCTTCATTGAAGCTCATCTCACCCTCACTCTTGGTATCAAGAACGTCATCATAGCGTTCTAGCTATCATTACTCGGCGAGCCTCGCTACACTTTTCTTCTAGGGTCCTCGCTTCTCAACCAACACTATCAGGATTGCCGTCCTCACCGCCAATCCATCCGGTCCTCATCTACGTGAATTGGTTTCGTCGCACTGGCTCATAACCCTCCGTCTTTCATTACTCTCTCGTTCCGACACTTGCACCTTGTCAGTCTTGTCTGCCAGCTTCCCTGCTCATCCAGTCAAGTCCAACTCCGACTGCCTTGTTCTCAGTCTAGATACGCTCTACTTGCTTCATCCGCCTCCAGCAATCGCACCTCACCCCCGCATCCCCCCTTGCCCAACATGCAGCCTCTTGGCCCTTTTGCTGTCGATGGCATTGCTGTGCCCATCGCCGACTACGTTGAGCTCAACGGCTTCAACCTCGCCTCCCACACCACTGCCCTTGAGCAATCGGTCCTTGGCAAACCGCATCTCTCATCATCTACCAACACCAACAATCGCGGTCTCACATTGATGCCTCCTACTGTCTGCGGCAAGCGATCTCGATCCAACTCCACCTCGTCTTCTGCCCCCTCCAGCCATGCCTCGGTCTTCTCTTGCTCCGAGAATGACCTCTTCGAGTCCGGCTATGAGACGCAGACCACTTGGCTTGGCGAGCAGACTCCTTCGTCTCGCAAGAGCTCCATGAGCGAAAGCTCGTCTCAGCAGATTGAACACGACCTCGCTTCATGGCGTGCCGACTTGCTTGCTGCTTCTCAGGAGGAGCAACAGCGTTGTGCCAAGCGTCTTCGCGACTTGCAGGGTGAGGTCCTCAGACTTGCCAACCAAGTTGTTAGCACTGCTTCCCAGCAGCCCGTGCAGGCAGCAGCCCCGGTGGTATCTACATCTGCACCTCTCAATATCACTTCTGGCATTTCTCCCTCCTCTTCTGCATCTTCTTCCTCGTCGTCTGCATCCGACGACACCAAGAACTCTTTGGTAGACTCTCTTATTGGTAAATACACCATCTCCACTGACTCCCGCCCCGGTGTTCCTTTGCCCCTGTCATTGCATTCTTCCGCCTCTGTGAACAGTCTCGCTGACCACGGTGATGAGAACGTCTTTGATCTTGACCCTCTAACTCTACTTGCAGATGCCGCCGTCAGAACGCTCGACGCCATCTGGAATGCCTCCACCCCATCCGAGTCCTGTGATCTCGCCAAGGGCAACAGCGCGCTTCCTCTTCAGGTCTTCATCCGCGAAACGCTCCGTCGAGCCCGTGCATCCTGTTCCACCTTGCAGGCCTCGTTGCTCTATTGCGTTCGTCTCGGTGAAGCCTGCAAACGATCTAGACAGATGTCGCTCAGACAATCCACTCGCGCCGCCGGCGTTCAAGTCGAAGTCGAAGCTCAGTCTAGCTCGCCTTTGCACGGCATGAATAAGGAAGAGCTCTGTCTCACTCGCTGCCCCAGACGCATGTTCCTCGCTTCCATCATGGTCGCTTCCAAGTTTGTCCAGGACCGCACCTACTCGAACAGAGCTTGGGCCAAGATCTCGGGTCTTGCTGCCAAAGATCTCGGCAAGCTCGAGCGAGCTTTTCTCAAGGCAATCGACTACCGTCTCATGACATCTGATGTCGAATGGGACAAGTGGACTGCCGAGCTTGCGCAGAGCAACGCTTCCGTCACCGAAGCTAGCAGCAACAAGGGCGTTGCTGGCAGACGCAGCAGCCTCAGCCGCTCGCAGTCTGACAACGTCACCGGTGCTGAACTTGCTCTCGACACCGAGTTGCGCGCTGCCAGCCCACGCCTGCCTAGCCAGGTGCAGCCCAAATATCGTCACCTTGGCGATGCTCAGCAGCAGTCGCAGCCCAGACTCGGCGCGGATATCTCTTTGCCTTTGCCTCGCGCTGCACCTGCCGTCGTCTCTGCCGAGATCTAATCAGATCTGCAGTCAAACGTTGTTGGTTGGAAAAGCAAGTGGACACAGTAGCGGCATCGGTCACCTGTCCTCTCATTTCTCGCCTCGCCCCCTTCTCTTGCCTCACTCTCTCGCATTGACGTCGACTGAGGATCTGTTGTCGTAGCCTGCAACTCCCGTGTACAAGTATGCTTGTCCCTCCGTCCTCGTTCTACTCTCTTTTCCCGTCACCATCGCATTCTCCTCTGTAACTCTCTCTCTCTCTCTCTCTCTCTCCTCTTGCATCATGTACCACCACCATCATCGCACACATCTCTCCACCTTGGCTAATCCTGTCCACCTAGTATACCTTGTTCAGCTGTACCCCCTCTTGCACCTGTTATGACTGCTTCGTCCTGGCTCCAAGGGAAGCTGATGCACTCTCGCCACCCTATGTACCAACACCACCCAGCATCATTCTGCCTGGTCGCGCAAACTCTCTAGCAGTATTTGGAGCCGCAGTACGGTCACCTATATGGGATCTCGCTTCGATATTTCTAGGGATAGCGCTACAAGGCTTTTCTCACTGTTCCCAAGGGCTCATTGTTTTCTCGTTTGTCGTGATGGTCACATGAAATACTATACTTTTTTTTTTTTTTTTTTTTTTTTTTTTTTCTCTTATACTCCACAGTCTCTGCTGGCTTGGATTGAGATTGATTGGCCCCAACCCGTCGCTACCATGACTTGATGCTAGCCGACAGCTGCTTTGCCATCGGTCTCTTTGCAGCTGACAACTGCAAACAAGGCACAAGGACCTTCTCCACTACTTTTCGCACCGTTGCCTTATCTTGATACTCGTTGGCTAGGGGAAGAGCATCCATCAAGCCAGTACCGCTGGTCGGTGCGAAAGGAAGCTTTGACAGAGGAGGTTGAAAATGTTCTGCTTCAGGCCATTGCTCGATCCATGTGGGTAGTCCGAGAAGAGCGAAGATGGAGGCAGCTAGACCTATGTCTCCCCTCTCGCCTTGAAAGAGTTGAGTTCGAATGTAGCCTGAAGCACTCCTAGGATGGTCCAGGGCTGGGTGCGGATGGTATTCTTGGAAATACAACGGGCTATCCGCCTCCCCTTGCGCATCTTGAGCAGCAAGGCTGGTAGCAGAATCGAATGCTTTTTCCCAATCTCTTCTCTCGTCGACCGATTCTTTCTCTTCTGGCTGGTTCCAGATGTCCTCCTCTTGTACATTCGTGCTCGAGGTGGGTGTAAGTGGAGTGAAGAAATGTGCTATGGTCACAGCAAGAGACCAAACATCTATCGCATATGCATCATAACCGGTCTTGGGAGCAAACAGCAATTCGGGTGCCCTAAACACTCCGGTGCCCACTTGATGTACCATTCTTCCCCTCTCTCCTTCACTCTTGACCATCTTCCCACCTTGTTCCAATGGATCGTTTAGCGGCTTGCCGGTGTATGCGGTTCCTAGATCGATCAACTTGACCACCGCAGTGTGACTTAGTAGGATGTTGGATGGTTTAATGTCTCTATGAGCCACTCCTTGTTCATGCAAAAAGGCTATCCCCTCGACCAACTGCTCTGCTACGTTGATCATGAAGCCTTGTACTGTGTTGGTTGCTGTCCAAAGATGCTCTATTGACTTGGCCGGCCTTTGCTGCTCACCTGCATCTTGATTTGGTCGCAGAGAAGGTGGGAGAAGGCTAGGCTCCAAAAGCACCTCTTCCAACGTTGCAGCATACAATGGCATTATTAAATCTACCGTTGCTCCGAAGGCATCTGTTTCGTCATAGACCGCTGCTAACAGCATCGCGACATTTCGATGCTGAGGTAGAGAAGAGAGAAGTGCTATTTCTCGACTAACGTTGTGCGGCTGCGGTTGCTCGTCGGGGCTGACTCTCTTTACACATAGCCATCCTTGCAAGCCTCCTGCGTTGCTTGCTGCATCTGCCAGAGGCACAAGCGACGAGACTGCACGGGAGGATGACGTTGAGCTAAGAGTGTATGGCCATGATGGAGGCGGAGAGGTAAGAGAGACGCGGTAAACGGAGCTACAGAGTCCATCACTATGTGAGATCAACTTGCGCGGACGGAGGATTGAGGACCAGTGTTGCGGGCTCCAGCCGAGGCTTCCACCCACGACCGATAGCTTTTGATTCGATGTGCTGGCATTCGAGTGTTGGTCGAGGTTGTCGTCGAACGATGCTAGCAATGTCATCTTGATTGCTTGTAGCGGTCAAGGCTCGAGCTTGGATCATGGATGGTGTTGAGAAGAGGAAATGCAACCAGTGTTTTCGACCCACTTCTCCAGAGACCAACACGCCGAATTTCAGGTTTCTTTTTTGTGCCTCAATTTCTCTTCCTTTTTTCTTCTTCCTTTTTTTGGAACGATTAAACTCCCGAGCGGGCAAAAAGGAAGGCGGAATAATTGAAGATAACAATTAATACACAGCGTTATCAGGGTCATGATCAGACTCCCTTTACCACAGCCATGTGTTCTATGTAATGCTTGGTTTTCATAGTGTGAACCTAAATGACACTCCATTCACTGCTCTAGTCCTATCCAAGACAGGATGTGTCACTTCATTCATACTCCTGTGTTGCTATGATACTGGGTACCACTGAGCTGTTGCCATGACAACAATCATGTACCTCATTGTGCTTCTCACTTAAGTGGACCTCCTGTACCTCAGTGTCTCGGCTGTGACATGTGCATCTTGCTTGAGATGCCAATGCATCTTCAACTCCCCCCTTCAGCAGGATCTCCAGCCCTATCATCCTAGCCAATCATGAGGTGTTGAGACCCTGTAAAGGTTTTGTCAAGACATCTGCAACATTGTTTGCTGTTCCGACATATTTGATTGCCACATCACCCTCTTGCATGTGATCATGGACAAAATGATACCATGTGTCAATGTGCTTTAACTTCCAATGTTTGGCTGGATCTTTACTCACCTGCATGCACCCCTGGCTATCAGTGTATAGTATGGGCTGAACATCCATGATCTCCAAGTCCTGGAGCAAATATGAGAAGAACAATGCTTCTTGCACCACTTTGGAAGCAGCGATGAACTCTGCTTTGACTGCTGACAATGCCACACATTTTTGAACATGAGACTTCCAACTCACTGGACATCCATACACATATGTTATCGACCCTGAGGTGCTCCTTCATCCATTTGTGGGGTCAGATGCCCAGTTTGCATCAGTATACATCGTTACCAGTGTATCTGAGTGCTCATTTGTCTCCCCTCCTAAGTGCAACTGATATCTGTTTGTCTGGTTCAGGTACTTTACCACATGAATGGCTGCCTTCCATGCACTGTCGATCGGGATTGACATATATCACAACAATATGCCAACAGCAAAGGCAATATCTGGTCAGGCTGTGTTGGAGACCCATAATAGTTGGCTGACCAACTCTTGATACTTCTTTGCTTGCTGAGGTTCACATCTCTCACCTCCAGTGACATTCACTATGCTCAGCATGGGTACCCAAGATTTCTCGTTTGCTCCTCCTAACCATTTGTTCACCATTTCTTTGATGTATGCTGTTAGACCCAGAGATATCATCCTCCATTTTCTAACACATGTGATCTTGATACCCAGAAATTCTTTGATCCTTCCATTGTCTTGTGTCTCCCATTTGTCCATGATCTCTCACTTGGTGCAGTCTACTTCATCACAACTGGGTGATGTTATCAGCATGTCATCCACATATGCTGTAATGATCATGATCTTGTTGCCTGTCCCTCTTGAGTATAGGCATGGTGCACTCAGCATGCAATGAAATCCAATCATCTGGAGATGTGAGTCTAACTCAATGTTCCATTCTCAGCCCAATTGTTTCAGACCATACAGTCCTTTCACTACCTTCAATGCTTTTCTGGGTGGTATTTTGATTCCTACTGGGGGCTTTAGATATACATCATGGTGTATAGTGGAGTTCAGGTACACTTGCTTTACATCAATAGAGTCTATTTCCCAATCTCATATTGCTGCAACAGCAATCACCCCTCAAATGGATTGGATGGGTGCTACTGGTGCAAAGACCTCTGTGTAGTCAATGCCCTCATGTTGGGTGAGACCTTGTGCCATGAGCCAGGCTTTGAACTTTGTCAGCACGAGGTTTGCATTGGTTTTGATCTCAAGTACCCAACACATGTTGATGGTGTTTGCACCCTTCAGGAGGTCAATGATCTCCCACATGCCCATTGCTTCTAATCCATCCAGCTCCTTTTGCATGGCCTCCTCCCAGTGCTTTCTGTCTTCTCCACTCATTGCTTCATGTATGGTTGGGTCCAGGTTCTTTCTCCATTCTGGTTGCATTGTGTCATGGGCCTGGATGCTCAAGAAGCAGGAGGGTCACTGGTTCATATGGACGGAGCACAGGTATCGAAGACCTAGTCGATACCAGTAGAGAGCATGGTCGTAGTGCAGTCTCCATGGAGACCATGGACTCCTATGGATTCACATGCAAAGGAGCACTGAGCCCATATGCGAGGAGGACCAGGCACAGCCACGAGGAGGACCAAGCTCAAAGAGCAGGCGCAGCCACGAGGAGGACCAAGCTCAGATGGTTACCACTCAGGGGCTCGAGAGACAGGAAGTCGACACAGGTCATGAGGAGGAGGAGCAGTGTCGAAGGAGTCGACACCACTCAAGAGGCACAGGGGTGCCAAGCAGGAGAGGCCCCTGAGCAGTACTCGATGAAGAAGGTACTCTCTGGAGAGAGAGCAGGAGCAGCATCGCTGGCAATGCTGTGAAGAGGTATATAACCATGCTTTCTCATCATCATAGGTCGAGTGGATCCCCATCCACTCTACTCACCATAACTAGTTATCACTTCAGCATAAGTATACATTAGTTTCAGTCAGCATAGCAGCAATCTATCAAGGTTGCTCCTCATCGTAGTGTGTGTGTTGTATCACCACTACCTGACGTCCGAAGGTGCCCATAGCAGGTTAGCGGTCCGGATATAGATAGAACCGAAGGCAGTAGTCCACTGCGGTCCGGGGATCACTTCAAGCATCAAGTCAACACACTGGACACTCGTGTTGACGCCACCAACCTTATCACCAACACCATCAACCTCATTATCATCGACATCACCAATCTCATCACCAACACCATCAACCTCATTATCATCGACATCACCAACACCATCAACCTCATCATCATCAACACTCACACCAGACCTTGGTGTCATCATAACATTGATATTGATTGTGCCGAGCTACCCCTGAACGGAGTGTCCACAGAGGTCAGCCGAAACCTACGATAGTATATACAACAAACGCCACCTGCTGTCACTGCACAACTTGATAGTCACCGAGTATCTCGAGACAATAGCTGTCGCACAGTTTGATAGTCACCGAGTATCTTGACAGACCGACCTGGGTTTCAGGCGCGAGACCCCTGACATTAGAGTGGATCGTTCAAGCAGCTCCTCACGATCACCATGACGGACCCAGACCTCAACAATAAGCTCGATAGACTACTCACTCTATTGGAAGCTCAGCTAGAGCTTACTAGGCAGGGTCATCGAGAGGAACGACTACAACGAGCTCAGCTGGGTAGGGAGGAGACAATGGACCTCTCTCACTCGGAAGACCAAGCAGGAGGAGGAGATGAGTCTATGATAGGAGACCCACATACTCCTACTCCGGCTCCACGACCAAGACGATCAGTCTCATTCAACCTGGATGAGCAGGAGGACATCAACTACGAGAAGTATGCTTCACCTACTGGGCCAAGATATGTCAAGACTAAGCTGGACCCCTACAGCAGGACTAGGACGGATCCTTACCCCCTGGACCACGAGGAGGATACCAGCATCATGGCAGAGCTTAACCGGTCAAAGCCCATTGCCACCCCCTTTCCAAAGTTCAATCCCCGAGACATGGAGATCTTCATTCTAGAAGCCGAAGCATGGTTTAAGTTCAACCAGGTGTATGAGCAGTCTAGGATGATCAATCACATGGGTGCTCAACTGGAAGGGACAGCAAGAGAGTGGTGGACCTCCAAGCTCCGCATTGATAGAGCTAGAGAAGGAAGGTTGTTCAATGATTGGCACTACTTCACAGAGCGACTGTCAGAGCAGTTCAACCCACGCAATGCTAGGATGGAGGCATACAACAAGCTGTTGGCTCTCAGACTCACAAGTGATGCTCCTGGTGCCGCCACACGTCATGTAGAGCGGTTCAGAGACTTGGAGGGACAGGTCAACCTAGATGACAACGAGCTAGTGATTGATCTCTTCAGAGGAAGTCTCACTCGCAGCATACAGGAGAAGTTTGAGAGGAATCCACCCAGGAAGAGATGGGAGTGGTATCGAGAGGTTGAGGAGATCGATCGACAGAGGATGCTACTACAGCAGTCTGTCAGGGGTCTCGCGCCTGAAACCCAGGTCGGTCTGTCGAGATACTCGGTGACTATCAAACTGTGCGACAGCTATTGTCTCGAGATACTCGGTGACTATCAAGTTGTGCAGTGACAGCAGGTGGCGTTTGTTGTATATACTATCGTAGGTTTCGGCTGACCTCTGTGGACACTCCGTTCAGGGGTAGCTCGGCACGATCAATATCAATGTTATGATGACACCAAGGTCTGGTGTGAGTGTTGATGATGATGAGATTGATGGTGTTGGTGATGAGATTGGTGATGTCGATGATAATGAGGTTGATGGTGTTGGTGATAAGGTTGGTGGCGTCGATGATAATGAGGTTGATGGTGTTGGTGATAAGGTTGGTGGCGTCAACACGAGTGTCCAGTGTGTTGACTTGATGCTTGAAGTGATCCCCGGACCGCAGTGGACTACTGCCTTCGGTTCTATCTATATCCGGACCGCTAACCTGCTATGGGCGCCTTCGGACGTCAGGTAGTGGTGATACAACACACACACTACGATGAGGAGCAACCTTGATAGATTGCTGCTATGCTGACTGAAACTAATGTATACTTATGCTGAAGTGATAACTAGTTATGGTGAGTAGAGTGGATGGGGATCCACTCGACCTATGATGATGAGAAAGCATGGTTATATACCTCTTCACAGCATCGCCAGCGATGCTGCTCCTGCTCTCTCTCCAGAGAGTACTTTCTTCATCGAGTACTGCTCAGGGGCCTCTCCTGCTTGGCACCCCTGTGCCTCTTGAGTGGTGTCGACTCCTTCGACACTGCTCCTCCTCCTCATGACCTGTGTCGACTCCTTTGACACTGCTCCTCCTCCTCATGACCTGTGTCGACTTCCTGTCTCTCGAGCCCCTGAGTGGTAACCATCTGAGCTTGGTCCTCCTCATGGCTGCGCCTGCTCTTTGAGCTTGGTCCTCCTCGTGGCTGTGCCTGGTCCTCCTCGCATATGGGCTCAGTGCTCCTTTGCATGTGAATCCATAGGAGTCCATGGTCTCCATGGAGACTGCACTACGACCATGCTCTCTACTGGTATCGACTAGATCTTCGATACCTGTGCTCCGTCCATATGAACCAGTGACCCTCCTGCTTCTTGAGCATCCAGGCCCATGACACAGTCCTCGGCTAGACACTCACTCCCAAATGCCATGTCACCTCCACTAAGAACTGGGTCTCGGCCAAATCAAAGTTCGATCCCCATCCGACAACCCACCCAACCTTATCCAGCTCGATCACCATCACAAGCAACTACACAAGCAACTATACAAAACCTAAACCGACCCCTTCCTCATCATCCCACCCAACCCTCGAAGCAAGGAAGCCCTGCTCCATCAGGTATCAACACCTGTCATGTATGCAAGGGTATCGGCCATTGGGCCAGAGACTGCCCCAGCAGGAGGGTAAACCCTCTTAGCTCTCGACCCATGGGACCAAAGGTTATGGTCACCACAGCAGACCCCTTCGAGGAGGCCACCGACTCAGGAGATGGCCACACAGGCAGCACTGAGACGGGTGACCCCGAGGCCATGGACCTCAGCTCATACCAGCAACCCATGGACCCCGATCACGAGGAGGAGCACGATGATGATGACAACGAGGGAAACGTCAGTGGGGTGATGCACTGATGGCATGCATTGCTCTACAAACCTCCTCGCCATCACTCTGTATATATCAAGATTGTCAAGTATGTTTCTCTACCAGTGGAGGCAAAGCAGTACTGGAGCTCTCTGGAATGGTTCAAGACCATCCTGCTCGGATACTAGCTGATACCGGTGCTGGTTTGTCCATAGTCTCAGATTCTTTCATTAGTAAGTACCAAATACCCACAAAACCCATAAAAACAAGATCGATCCATGGTGTCACTGGGCACCAACTCTCCATCAATAGTTCTGCGAGCATGCAGGTATCTATTGGTACACACAATCTGGGTGTGGTCGAAGCTTCAGTGGCCGACACTGCGGACTATGACCTCATCCTGGGGTTCACTGAGCTACGGAGGCTCAAACCCACCATACAATGGGATACGGGCCAGCTGGAGTTCAAGACTCAGGAGCAGGACCAACCCCCTAGGAGACCCCCTGAAGCAGCAAGAGCAGGGGACCTAACCATGAGGAGACCAACCCTTCATGGTAACGAGTTTGTCTCAGCAGAGCGCATACTACGAGCAGCTCTGGAAGATGGACCCATAGGGTTCATGCTGTTAGAGGAGCCACCATCATCACTCCCGGCCTTTGGTTTTGTACCTACAGGCGCAGACAAAGGAGTCGAGATGGAGGTGGAGGTAGATAAGGTGGTGATGGCTGCAGACATACCAAAGCCATACCAACACCTGCGAGATGTGTTTGATGAGGTGGAAGCAGACAAGCTGCCCCATCATACCGAGCATGATCTCCACCTCGAGTTGATAGAAGGAGGTAAGCCACCTCAAGGGCCCCTATACCTTAAGGGACCCAAGGAGATGTCCGAGTTGAGGAGATACTTGGATGAGAACCTCGAGAAGGGGTTCATAAGACCATCGAAGAGCCCGGCACGATCACCAGTGCTCTTCGTACCAAAGAAGGATGGAGGTCTCAGACTCTGTGTGGACTACAGAGGTCTCAACGAGATCACTGTCAAGAACAGGGCACCATTGCCCCTCATCGAGGAGCAGCTGTTCTTACTCAGGAAGGCAAGGATCTATACCAAGCTAGACCTTAGAGCAGCATACAACCTCATCCGGATTGCTAAAGGAGATGAATGGAAGACAGCTTTTGGCACTCAGTTGGGACTCTATGAGTACCTAGTGATGCCCTTTGGCCTAGCCAATGCTCCGGCTCACTTCCAGTCATTCATCAATGACATCTTCCGAGACATCATTGGAGTATATGTAGTGGTATACTTAGATGACTTCCTGATCTTCAGTGACACTGAAGAGGTACATGTGAAGCATGTCACCGAGGTCCTCACTCGCTTAAGGAGCAACAGGCTCTTTGCTAAGCTGTCGAAGTGTGAGTTCCACACCAAGACAGTCGAGTTCCTGGGGTACATCATCAAGCCAACGGGCATAGAGATGGACCCAGAAAAGGTGCGCACTGTCAAGGAGTGGCCAATGCCAGAGTCAATCCATGACATCCAGAGGTTCCTGGGTTTTGCCAACTTCTATCGAAGGTTCATAGCCCACTTTGCTCGCATAGCCAAGCCCTTGACAGCACTGGTAAAGCCTATAGAACGGTTCAAGAAGTTCGAGCTACCAGAGGAGGCCCAACAGGCCTTCCACAAGCTCATCCAGGCCTTCACATCAGCAGGAGTGCTTCAGCACTTCGACTACCACCTTCCAACAAGGTTGGAGACTGATGCAAGTGACTTTGCTATAGCAGGAGTGCTCAAGCAGGAGCATGAAGGACGATGGCATCCAGTGGCCTTCTACTCTAGGAAGATGTCTTCTGCCGAGAAGAACTATGAGATCCATGATAAGGAGCTCCTAGCTGTGGTCGCCTGCCTCACTCAGTGGCGACACATGCTAGCTGGACTACCGAACCAACTGGTCATCCTCACTGACCATGAAGCCCTCAAGTACTTCAAGTCACAGAGACGCATCACAGGTCGACAGGCTCGATGGGCCATACTACTAGCAGACTTCGACTTCATATTGCAGTATCGACCAGGAGACAAAGGTGGTGAACCCGATGCTCTCACCAGAAGGACAGACATGCAACCAGCTGGTGAAGAGCAGGATCACAATGTGAGGCAACTACTGCCTCCTCGAGTGTTCAAGGAGACAGCAGACCATGACTCGCTCCTAGTGGCCCCCATGATCTCGATGGAGTCCATAGCATCAAAAGGTCTCAAAGACCTGGTCCAGATCTTCCAGCCCTTAGACCAAGAGCTACAGGAGATACATAGGAAGAAGCCCTTCGAGGTCAGGGATGACCTATGGTACAGTGGAGGAAGGTTGGTTATCCCCAAAGTGATCATGCCAGGGAGGACCAACAACTGACACTCAAGGAGTGCCAAAGAGGTAGATGGACAGTCTCTCTCTGTAGAGCATCTGCGATTCATGGTGATGACCCAATGCCATGATGGTATTACTGCTGGACATGTAGGAAGAGATGCTACCATCAAGGCAGCTCAATGACATTACTGGTGGCCAAACATGACAGCTTGGATTGCAGACTATGTAGCAAGTTGTCCTGTATGTGCTAGGTACAAAGCTCCTCGTCATCGTCCATATGGTTTGCTACAGCCACTAGCAACCCCAGACAGGCCCTGGGGCTCCATATCCCTCGACTTCATCGAAGGACTACCAACATCGAAGAAGTATGACTCCAAGACCTATGACTCTATCTTAGTCATTGTCGACAGGCTAACCAAGTTTGCCATACTAGCTCCAACCCATAAGACAGTCACGGCCAAACAGACTGCAGTATTGCTATATGGACACATGGTTAGACTCTTTGGATATCCAGATCACATGGTCTCGGACCGAGGCAGGCAGTTCATATCAGGAGCATGGAAGGCATTTGCAGAGCAAATGGGTGTGAAGCACTCACTTAGCACGGCTTACCATCCTCAAACTGATGGTCAGACAGAGAGAGTCAATCAGGTCATAGAGCAATATCTCAGGATGTACTGCAACTATGAGCAGAATGACTGGGCCAACCTGCTGGACACTGCGGCCTTTGTATACAACAACACGGTCCACAACAGCATTGGTGTCTCACCATTCTTTGCATGCTATGGATGGAACCCCAAAGCTCATCCTGACATCCCTCAACGACTAGGAGTCAATGATCCAGGTCGCTTCGAGTACCTCATGGATGGAAAGGAGCGTTGCAAGTACCTCCAGGAGCAGATCAGAGAGGCACAACGTAGATCAGTAGACCAGTATAACAGGAAGCACAAGGACATTGAGTTTAAGGTGGGTGATATGGTCTATATCAACCGCCGAAACTGGAAGACATGGAGACCCACACCCAAGTTGGATACCCGGTTTGCAGGACCCTACCCAGTTCAGGAACGGGTAGGACGCCGAGCTTACCGAATCACATTGCCAGCAAACCTTAGGGTGCATGATGTGTTCCATGTCTCCATGCTCGAGCCAGCAAGAACAAGTTCTCTTCCTCAACGTGCTGAACAGCCCACCATACCATCACTTCCAGATGAGGACCTCGATTTCGAAGTCGAAGCACTCATCGACAAGCGTTCACACAATGGGACTACGGAGTACAAGGTGTTGTGGAGAGGGTACTCAGAGGAAGCTGCTTCATGGGAACCAGTAGAGAACCTCAACTGTCCCGACCTCATCCAGGAGTATGAGGTGTCGGAGGGGGGACGAGTGAGTAGACAGAGTGGAGAGAGGAGGAGAGAACAGGAGGAGTAGAGAGAGGAAGAGGAAGGAGGATGACGTTGAGAGAAGGAGGAAGGATGATGTTGGCGATGTTGTCAAGGAGGAGGAGTCAGCATGAACCAGACCAGAGCACGCCTCGACGGAGCTCGGCTCTTAAGAGGGGGGTAGTGTCATGGGCCTGGATGCTCAAGAAGCAGGAGGGTCACTGGTTCATATGGACGGAGCACAGGTATCGAAGACCTAGTCGATACCAGTAGAGAGCATGGTCGTAGTGCAGTCTCCATGGAGACCATGGACTCCTATGGATTCACATGCAAAGGAGCACTGAGCCCATATGCGAGGAGGACCAGGCACAGCCACGAGGAGGACCAAGCTCAAAGAGCAGGCGCAGCCACGAGGAGGACCAAGCTCAGATGGTTACCACTCAGGGGCTCGAGAGACAGGAAGTCGACACAGGTCATGAGGAGGAGGAGCAGTGTCGAAGGAGTCGACACCACTCAAGAGGCACAGGGGTGCCAAGCAGGAGAGGCCCCTGAGCAGTACTCGATGAAGAAGGTACTCTCTGGAGAGAGAGCAGGAGCAGCATCGCTGGCAATGCTGTGAAGAGGTATATAACCATGCTTTCTCATCATCATAGGTCGAGTGGATCCCCATCCACTCTACTCACCATAACTAGTTATCACTTCAGCATAAGTATACATTAGTTTCAGTCAGCATAGCAGCAATCTATCAAGGTTGCTCCTCATCGTAGTGTGTGTGTTGTATCACCACTACCTGACGTCCGAAGGTGCCCATAGCAGGTTAGCGGTCCGGATATAGATAGAACCGAAGGCAGTAGTCCACTGCGGTCCGGGGATCACTTCAAGCATCAAGTCAACACACTGGACACTCGTGTTGACGCCACCAACCTTATCACCAACACCATCAACCTCATTATCATCGACATCACCAATCTCATCACCAACACCATCAACCTCATTATCATCGACATCACCAACACCATCAACCTCATCATCATCAACACTCACACCAGACCTTGGTGTCATCATAACATTGATATTGATTGTGCCGAGCTACCCCTGAACGGAGTGTCCACAGAGGTCAGCCGAAACCTACGATAGTATATACAACAAACGCCACCTGCTGTCACTGCACAACTTGATAGTCACCGAGTATCTCGAGACAATAGCTGTCGCACAGTTTGATAGTCACCGAGTATCTTGACAGACCGACCTGGGTTTCAGGCGCGAGACCCCTGACATTAGAGTGGATCGTTCAAGCAGCTCCTCACGATCACCATGACGGACCCAGACCTCAACAATAAGCTCGATAGACTACTCACTCTATTGGAAGCTCAGCTAGAGCTTACTAGGCAGGGTCATCGAGAGGAACGACTACAACGAGCTCAGCTGGGTAGGGAGGAGACAATGGACCTCTCTCACTCGGAAGACCAAGCAGGAGGAGGAGATGAGTCTATGATAGGAGACCCACATACTCCTACTCCGGCTCCACGACCAAGACGATCAGTCTCATTCAACCTGGATGAGCAGGAGGACATCAACTACGAGAAGTATGCTTCACCTACTGGGCCAAGATATGTCAAGACTAAGCTGGACCCCTACAGCAGGACTAGGACGGATCCTTACCCCCTGGACCACGAGGAGGATACCAGCATCATGGCAGAGCTTAACCGGTCAAAGCCCATTGCCACCCCCTTTCCAAAGTTCAATCCCCGAGACATGGAGATCTTCATTCTAGAAGCCGAAGCATGGTTTAAGTTCAACCAGGTGTATGAGCAGTCTAGGATGATCAATCACATGGGTGCTCAACTGGAAGGGACAGCAAGAGAGTGGTGGACCTCCAAGCTCCGCATTGATAGAGCTAGAGAAGGAAGGTTGTTCAATGATTGGCACTACTTCACAGAGCGACTGTCAGAGCAGTTCAACCCACGCAATGCTAGGATGGAGGCATACAACAAGCTGTTGGCTCTCAGACTCACAAGTGATGCTCCTGGTGCCGCCACACGTCATGTAGAGCGGTTCAGAGACTTGGAGGGACAGGTCAACCTAGATGACAACGAGCTAGTGATTGATCTCTTCAGAGGAAGTCTCACTCGCAGCATACAGGAGAAGTTTGAGAGGAATCCACCCAGGAAGAGATGGGAGTGGTATCGAGAGGTTGAGGAGATCGATCGACAGAGGATGCTACTACAGCAGTCTGTCAGGGGTCTCGCGCCTGAAACCCAGGTCGGTCTGTCGAGATACTCGGTGACTATCAAACTGTGCGACAGCTATTGTCTCGAGATACTCGGTGACTATCAAGTTGTGCAGTGACAGCAGGTGGCGTTTGTTGTATATACTATCGTAGGTTTCGGCTGACCTCTGTGGACACTCCGTTCAGGGGTAGCTCGGCACGATCAATATCAATGTTATGATGACACCAAGGTCTGGTGTGAGTGTTGATGATGATGAGATTGATGGTGTTGGTGATGAGATTGGTGATGTCGATGATAATGAGGTTGATGGTGTTGGTGATAAGGTTGGTGGCGTCGATGATAATGAGGTTGATGGTGTTGGTGATAAGGTTGGTGGCGTCAACACGAGTGTCCAGTGTGTTGACTTGATGCTTGAAGTGATCCCCGGACCGCAGTGGACTACTGCCTTCGGTTCTATCTATATCCGGACCGCTAACCTGCTATGGGCGCCTTCGGACGTCAGGTAGTGGTGATACAACACACACACTACGATGAGGAGCAACCTTGATAGATTGCTGCTATGCTGACTGAAACTAATGTATACTTATGCTGAAGTGATAACTAGTTATGGTGAGTAGAGTGGATGGGGATCCACTCGACCTATGATGATGAGAAAGCATGGTTATATACCTCTTCACAGCATCGCCAGCGATGCTGCTCCTGCTCTCTCTCCAGAGAGTACTTTCTTCATCGAGTACTGCTCAGGGGCCTCTCCTGCTTGGCACCCCTGTGCCTCTTGAGTGGTGTCGACTCCTTCGACACTGCTCCTCCTCCTCATGACCTGTGTCGACTCCTTTGACACTGCTCCTCCTCCTCATGACCTGTGTCGACTTCCTGTCTCTCGAGCCCCTGAGTGGTAACCATCTGAGCTTGGTCCTCCTCATGGCTGCGCCTGCTCTTTGAGCTTGGTCCTCCTCGTGGCTGTGCCTGGTCCTCCTCGCATATGGGCTCAGTGCTCCTTTGCATGTGAATCCATAGGAGTCCATGGTCTCCATGGAGACTGCACTACGACCATGCTCTCTACTGGTATCGACTAGATCTTCGATACCTGTGCTCCGTCCATATGAACCAGTGACCCTCCTGCTTCTTGAGCATCCAGGCCCATGACACAGTCCTCGGCTAGACACTCACTCCCAAATGCCATGTCACCTCCACTAAGAACTGGGTCTCGGCCAAATCAAAGTTCGATCCCCATCCGACAACCCACCCAACCTTATCCAGCTCGATCACCATCACAAGCAACTACACAAGCAACTATACAAAACCTAAACCGACCCCTTCCTCATCATCCCACCCAACCCTCGAAGCAAGGAAGCCCTGCTCCATCAGGTATCAACACCTGTCATGTATGCAAGGGTATCGGCCATTGGGCCAGAGACTGCCCCAGCAGGAGGGTAAACCCTCTTAGCTCTCGACCCATGGGACCAAAGGTTATGGTCACCACAGCAGACCCCTTCGAGGAGGCCACCGACTCAGGAGATGGCCACACAGGCAGCACTGAGACGGGTGACCCCGAGGCCATGGACCTCAGCTCATACCAGCAACCCATGGACCCCGATCACGAGGAGGAGCACGATGATGATGACAACGAGGGAAACGTCAGTGGGGTGATGCACTGATGGCATGCATTGCTCTACAAACCTCCTCGCCATCACTCTGTATATATCAAGATTGTCAAGTATGTTTCTCTACCAGTGGAGGCAAAGCAGTACTGGAGCTCTCTGGAATGGTTCAAGACCATCCTGCTCGGATACTAGCTGATACCGGTGCTGGTTTGTCCATAGTCTCAGATTCTTTCATTAGTAAGTACCAAATACCCACAAAACCCATAAAAACAAGATCGATCCATGGTGTCACTGGGCACCAACTCTCCATCAATAGTTCTGCGAGCATGCAGGTATCTATTGGTACACACAATCTGGGTGTGGTCGAAGCTTCAGTGGCCGACACTGCGGACTATGACCTCATCCTGGGGTTCACTGAGCTACGGAGGCTCAAACCCACCATACAATGGGATACGGGCCAGCTGGAGTTCAAGACTCAGGAGCAGGACCAACCCCCTAGGAGACCCCCTGAAGCAGCAAGAGCAGGGGACCTAACCATGAGGAGACCAACCCTTCATGGTAACGAGTTTGTCTCAGCAGAGCGCATACTACGAGCAGCTCTGGAAGATGGACCCATAGGGTTCATGCTGTTAGAGGAGCCACCATCATCACTCCCGGCCTTTGGTTTTGTACCTACAGGCGCAGACAAAGGAGTCGAGATGGAGGTGGAGGTAGATAAGGTGGTGATGGCTGCAGACATACCAAAGCCATACCAACACCTGCGAGATGTGTTTGATGAGGTGGAAGCAGACAAGCTGCCCCATCATACCGAGCATGATCTCCACCTCGAGTTGATAGAAGGAGGTAAGCCACCTCAAGGGCCCCTATACCTTAAGGGACCCAAGGAGATGTCCGAGTTGAGGAGATACTTGGATGAGAACCTCGAGAAGGGGTTCATAAGACCATCGAAGAGCCCGGCACGATCACCAGTGCTCTTCGTACCAAAGAAGGATGGAGGTCTCAGACTCTGTGTGGACTACAGAGGTCTCAACGAGATCACTGTCAAGAACAGGGCACCATTGCCCCTCATCGAGGAGCAGCTGTTCTTACTCAGGAAGGCAAGGATCTATACCAAGCTAGACCTTAGAGCAGCATACAACCTCATCCGGATTGCTAAAGGAGATGAATGGAAGACAGCTTTTGGCACTCAGTTGGGACTCTATGAGTACCTAGTG